TTTAATTCATTCTTCGTAGTTTTTGCTTCGTTTTAGACGCTCATCGCAATTAATTGATTGGTATCAAATCTTCCGAATGTTTCTTTCTGAAAAAAAAACTTTTTTGTGAAACATTATCTCGGCTGTTAATAATTGATGAATCATAAAAGAGAAATCGGCGGTTTGCATTCGTTCAATAGAAAAAAACGCTTCCTTGTTGTCCGAACCCAACAAAAATTCTTTTTTTTTTTAAGTGTTAGAAATAGAAATTCAATTGAATTACCAATTTTTTGCTTCTTATAACAGAACTTGTGTAATCGATGATTAATTATTGATTGATACGTTATTTTTCTCATTAAAACATTCTTTCGAAATAACAATAATAGCAAATTGTTTTAATAAAAAACAGACAAACGAAACAAACAAACAACAACATCATACAATTCATTTTTAATGTTCGTCTCATACATATTTGCCCGGTTTCTCATATTTTATGTATTATGTATCAATTTTTTTGCCTTCGACTGACCACCACCTCATACATTTTTTATTTCATTTTTTCTCCTTTCTGATAGAAATGCACAAGATGGAATATCTGCACCATACGTGTTTTCATCAACGGGTCTCATCCAATTTTTGTGTTTTGAGCATGCTGAGAGCTACAATAAATTGTTCTCGCAAGTACAACTTTTTACATCTTACCGTATATAAAAAAAGAGAAAAAACACAAATTAAAAATTGATGGAATCAACAAGGCGCATTTGTGAATATCATTGCTGAGATTGTCAGGTAATAATAACGAACGAATCGCATATGATCCCTCTATCCCTCGCCTTCTTTTTTTTAATTGAACTAAAGCATTTGATAAGATAGTGGATGTAATGTTACACACGATTATTGCAAAAAAAAACCAAAGAAAAGATATAATTAACATTATGATTGAATTGTTGGTTTGATTTTTCAATTGAATTCTATTAGTGTGTTAAAGGTCGTCTAAGTTCCTTGTTCGATAGCTGTAATAAAATAGTGAATTGAATTCTTTAGTTCACCTGCAAATCCTCAAAATATTTTTTGCTAATACTGTTAAATAGTATTATCGGATTGGCATTAATCCCCCAACTTCGTTATTATGAATGTTCATCTAAACAAAGACCAAGTCGTATTTTGAATTTTTCTTGTGTAATACTATATGATGAGGCGAAATAATTCGAGCTAATACAAGTTCAAATACATATTCATTGAGAATTCATCCGGCGCAAAGAAATGAATTTACTTTCCCTCGTTTTAAGATGCCTTTTCCGGATTATCGATATAGGCTTCTTTTGAGATAAAATTCTGATTTCATTTGCCTCCTTCATGAATTTAGTAGTGCTCTTGGTGCACTTGCAAAAAGATATTGCATTTTATCAACACCCACCAGCGTGCATCTTTTTTTTATTGCTTCCACTTTTCTTGAGATGAGATCTATCGCAATATAATTTGATTTTTCGCTCGTAAACTTATTCCATCAGTGCCCAATAAATAATAAAAGAATTGAGTTTCTCACCAGGCCACCTTCCCCTAGCCCTTCGAAAAATGTATTAAACTCGGCACTCAATAAATCCGAGCAATATTATTGAGAAATAATGGATTTGCTCAGTGGGCATTTCGAGCTCCAATGTTTCTAATCCGCGGTTTTGGTTGAATCAAACACAACGGATTAGAAGCCAATGTCTCGTTTAATCTGTTCTGGCTTCATCTCTCTCCAACCGAATAACAAAAACGATCATAATTAAATATCGCCATTTTCGTGCTCATACGTAATTTGCAGGTGACCAAATTATAAGCCGGAAATTATATGGTCTAGAGATTGGTGGGACCCTATTTCGTTTTCACATAAACACCAATCTCTAATGCGAAATTCGAATTGACCACGTTTCAAATGGTGTATTGAAATGACATAATCGTGAGCGTTCAAAAATAATCTGAATTTGTTTTCGCGTTTTTTTTCTCATTTTTTCGTTTCAATTTTTACAAGCACAAAAAAAAAACATTACCATGAAGTTTATTGTGTCCGAATATATATATTGTGTGCTTCAATGGAATTCTCATCAACAATTCGGGAATTGTCGATTGGCGTCATATTCATCGGTCCAATACCAATATTTTCGATGAAAAGAAACATTTAGCATATTGAAAATCGAATAAAAGAAAATGGGGAATTCATTTTTTTTTTACATGAATCACTATATATTGTCACCTTTTCATGCTTTTGAGAGAAGAGAAAAAGGGGCGGTCCTATTATGCGTAATTATGCTTTTCAAGGCTTCATCTTCCATATCATATGTATGTACATACATATTATTACTATTGAGAATTATTTTTATATATTTGTACCCTCAGAATGTATATAAATTCTGTATTCCTCAAAAGCGCTTCTTGTGTAGATTGATCCATTTTTTGCAAATCTATTGGAATCATTATGAAAACTCAAGAATACTTTATTGGACTTTTATAAAAACCAAAAATTATTAATGCTATGCGATTCGGCTACCATTGATTCCTTACAACATCCCTCTGTACATATGCTCGACTCGACGGTGTTTTTTTTTTTTAATTTTTCGGTGCAAACAATATTTCGACATCAGCTTTTTAGAACCATCATGTCGAAAAAACAATAGACCGATTCGAAAGTGTGTTCTCGTACATTTTCCCATTTAAGAAAATATGTATTTATTTGGATTTCAATCATTCTGCCATTCGAACAATTCAGAATTTATCTTGGTCGTCCCGTTCACCACTCGGTACCAAAATTCTGAACCTGATTGCTTATCTAGTTTGCTGATAACTGAAGGGGGGAAATCATAGATAATATTAGTCTTGAGGTCAAAAACTGTTGGTTGTTTTCGTGCACTTTTTGCTTTGATCCGCTCCGTGGAACCATCATACATTTGTTAGTTTGCGAGAGCGTCAGTTGTCAAAATCTAAAAGGCGAATCAATCCGCGTCGACCTGGGAGGCGTTGCTCCTCATTATCTTTCAAACCGATGATTTATTTGAGTCGTTCTCTCTTCTCTCGCACACAGATATTTTTATAAGTCAAATATCAGCAAAAGTTCTTCTCACCTAACCGATGAAGCACCAACCTCTCAATTTCGCATTTCTTTCAATATATTTTCAGACGATGCTTCTTTTTTGCTTTACCGTAATCCGGTATCTCACGATCATGAATCCTTGAGTCCTCTCCTTCTGATTATTCAAATAGAATGTTTTGTTATGAATGATAAAGAATATAAATGTGATGCAAATTGTCATTTTGGTCCAGAATTTTCTCACGTTATCATTCAAAATGGACTCATACCGTATACACGCGGATATTTCGCAACATTCTGCTGTTTCATATTCTTATCACAGAAAAAGTTTTAGCATGTCATCGTATTCTGTTCAAATCGGAGTTTTAGATAAAATGGAGTAAGATTCTAATAGACCTGTCTATCAAATGTCACATTTTTGATATCGGCAAAAGATAACCGATAAATTTGAAAAATTTTATGAATTTGACGAACGACGATTCTTCATTTTTCGTGTATTTATTAATTTTTGAATACCAAAGAATGATGATGATGATTCCGATTTTTTTTAATTCCAAGGAATGGAATTCCTTCCTTTTACGTGTATTTCTTGTAGTTTGATTGAGCCGTTTTCATTTTCCAACGAAATTCTCCCTATGTTGTCGCCGCCCCAAAAATCGGGGCGCTACTTTCCATTCAACTCATGCTTCCAATTAGATTCTCTCATTATTTCATGTCCGGAGCATGACGAGACTGGAATCTCTTTGAGTAATGAAACTTTGCATGCATAAAAATATTTCGTTTGATTTTTTTTTGATAATGAATAATAAGAGGTTTTGTTTAAAAGCTTGAGACAGATTCTGAAATCATATTTTTTTCAGAATTCAGCAAATATTAATTTTGTAAGCTTTCGATTTTTCCATTATTTTTTTCGAAAAAAAAAACTTTTTTAAATCAACTATTTGAATATTTTATGAAGAATGCCTATTTTTAAATTTACTGATGTGCAGTAATCATCAACACGATTTGAAGCCTTAAAAAACGCAAACATCTTATAGCGGATAATGTTTGTCGAAAATTTTTAAGCTGGCTTGCCTGCACTTGAATTTTGCGGTTTTGGATCGCTTTAAGATTTCAATTGACAATTTTTATATACTGTTCACGTTTGAAAAAAAATGATTCGGGACATGATATTTTTGATTAATTCGAAAATTTCTGAAACACACCAGCTTTTGGTCATAAACTAACTTTACTTTTTCGCTTTTTTAATGGTTTCAACACTGAAGTTGAATCTAAAAGCGTTCGAACTCAAAGAACGAGCAGTTCGCTTCAATATGCTTCGTCGGTTTATAATGAGTTAATGAGTATGTGTAAAGTAATTATAAGTTTTAAAATGAATCCAACATCCTATAATTATGAGTAGACCTTGCTAAACATGTCCCTTATTTTCGTTTGCGATGTTTCAACTAGTGTTATTCAGAAACACAAAAATGCATCTCGTTATCGCTGCACAATTTAATCGCTATTTTCCGGAACTCGTTTGCAATTTCCTACAAAAAATTGTGTCTTCATATCATACCGTTCATGTTGTTTGTCGTGTCATGCTTTGGCTCTTATCGGGCTCTCCAAACCACCCGACGTTTATCAATTAAATCGCTATTATCATTAGATGATAGCGTTGAAAACTCTAAAATTAAGTATGCATATGATATGGGTCACTCATCAAAATGTGTGTCGCAAACAAGATTATCTTTTTTTTGTTTTATTCTTTTTATTTATTTCAATGATATTTTAGAAGTTTTCAGATATGGATCTCTCGCGAAAACGAATACATAATGGTGCGATTTATGATATTCCCGCAAAAATGCCGATGCCTCCGCAAATGATGTCCCCGTTTCCAGGCGATTCGAATAATTCAACTGACGAATAAATTCAATCATCAGTTTTAGATCCGAACAGCGTTGTTCAGACGATGAGCTTTCAATTGATCAGCAATCTGAACTGCATTGATCCGCGTCAGCGACTTCATTTCCTTCAGGACCTCTCTAATCGGATCGAAACCCTCAAGGTAAATAAATATATCGACTGTTATCAGTTGCTTTGGCAAACAATAACTCGCTTATCAATTGTTTTTAGCAGCAGTTCGAGCCCAACAAGAGAATAGCTGTAACTCCAGAGAAGCCGTCGGTGATTTCACCACCGAAGAAGCAAGGTGAATAATGATTCAAAAAATACCTATTCTTATCATTTAACAGTCAATGAAGTCAGTGAATTATAGCATTTTAGGAAATTAAAAGTGAAAATAAATAAATTTCAGTTCCAATCGAACATGGGTTTATCGATCCGCGCATGATGCATATTCAACAGCAACAGCTCAATTTTTTGGCTCATCAAAATTATTTGCAGACCTTGCATAATAGTCGTCCAGCTCAAGAGCCTAATAAGGCATTCGTACTTTCTTTTAATTTATTCGAAATTTCCATTTCAGAATCCGCCACTTGATATTGCAACTATCAGCTACAATATTATAAAGAATCCGGAGATTCAAGAAGCTCTTTCTGTCCTTCCACCGCTAGATGACCCACAATTGCGAAAAGAACGAGATTCACTTCTCACCAAAATTATATTTGCTCATAACGGGGAGATCACTTCGGAACAACTTCTTTCATACCTACGCCATCCTATCATTCAGTTCAAAGAGAACGGAAAATTCGTGCCGATCAACAATCCGTTCTACGCGCAAACTCAAATCCCGACTATTCCGCCAATGAGTTTGCAACCTGCGCCGCCAAGAATGATGGCTCCACCATCTATGCCACCCCAACCACGACTCATTCCAGCAGCGATTCCACCACCCCCGGTTCTGTTGCCACAGGTTCCGATCGCTTCGATTCAAGCTTTCCAAGAAAAAACCAAAACCGAGCCAGTCAAAGTTCCGAGCACACCTTCCGTTAGCCCAATCAAGGTAACAGTATTCTTGTGTTTCCTTTTTTAGTACTTCATTTCAGATTGGGCTGAACCCTTCCACCAGCGGATCAGCTTTTACCCCAATTGAGAAGCCAAATCCTCAGTGGTCCGTTATTACAATGGCACTTCCAACACAGCTAGTCTGCCGCTGTGGATCCAAGAACTGCAACAATAAATGTACTTGAATTATTTCATTCATTTTAAATCCGTATTATCTCTTGCATTTCAACGTAATCATATAATTTGTCCTTCAATCCTGATCTCACTTGTCAGCGATTTTAGTCTGTTTTGTGTTTCTAATGTGATTTTTCAATCATTTTGCAACATTGTGTGATATTCATTACGTTTTTATTACAATAATAATTTAGCTCCGAAAAAGTTTGACAATGACGCGTACTGAAAACCTTCGATTTCGATTTCGAAATGAGCGTTGAAAACTTTCCATAGAACTTGTGGAATTGAGAGAGATTCGAAATCTTTGCTTATCGAAAACTTGCTACAATTTGAAATTCTGTTTACAAGAATACGCACCATAAATCTACTCACGTACAGCAGTCGCCGGTCGCCGTAAAAAAACTATAATATTTTCTCTGGTACTCAAATCTAATAGAAATTCAATTGAAAAAATATTCAAATGTATATAGCCTATGAATTTAAAGACGATCAGGAAAAGGAAAATCCACACATATTATAGCAAATTTGGGTCTTGTTTCAAAAAAAATCTCTGTTGGCAGTAAATACGAATGACACATTAATCTTAACAATTAATCTTGTATGATTTGTAAGACGTGCGAGAGCTGGAATTCAACAGTTGAGTGGCAAGACCAAAGGTGATCATTACGTTAGTAGTAGTCACATTAATCGAGTTATTTATCCATAAATATACGAAACAAGTTCGAAACCCTTAAGATACGGCCGTGGCCTAGATTATCCCATCATGGTCGTGCGGTTACGTGTTTGGTCCGCGACGCACATTCCGCAATACTACACACTCGATTTGAAGACGCTTTCGAAAAACGAAGTTTTCTCCTAATTCTTTCATATCTTTGTACCCTTTTGCGTTAATTAAATATTTCTTTAAGCGTAGTCGTCTGATTTTTTATTTGGTTACTTTTCAACTAATAAAATGTGCTATTTGAATGTAATAAATTTAAAAATTGTATATTTCAGTTATGCCGCAGCTACAAGAGGATTATAGTTCCGATGAAGAAGCCGCCAATTTAACCAAAAAACAGATTCAGGTTTTTAAGATTAATATAATTATCGGAAAACTATTTTGTATAGGAGTTGAAATGGAAGAAATTAAAAAATAAGAAGAAAAAGGAATCAAAGAAACGTGCCAAAAAACAGGTCAAAGATGAAAGTGTAAAAATGGACGAAGTCGAAGAGAAGAAAAAAGATGAAAATTCCGAAGATTCCGGTCTAGATGTCGAAATTGAGTATGTTGGCGAAGAAATTGATGAAAATGATCCGACATATAAGTATTATGCCTCAGTTTTCGAAAATTTCAAGGTTAATATTGGTTTTCGATTTACATTAAACTCTATTAATTTAGATTTCAACAGATGGCGTCCCTGAGCAGCGCCATCATCCAGTATCACGCGGTGAACGTGTAAAGGATGAACTTGGAAAAGCTGGACAAGCTGAGCGAATTTTGCAAGAAGAAATGGAAGAACGCGCCAAAGAAAATGAAGAGGAGAAACTATCGCGAAGAAAATTGCGGCTTTCGCTTCAACCAAGCATTGCTAAGCTCAAAGAATCTACTGTACGCCCCGATGTGGTTGAATGGGCCGATGTTACATCGCGCGATCCTTTCCTTCTTGTTGCTCTAAAATCCTATCGCAACACCGTTCCAGTACCACGTCATTGGAACGCGAAAAGGAAATATTTGGCGGGAAAGCGTGGATTTGAAAGACCACCATTTGAATTGCCCGACTTCATTAAAAGAACCGGAATTCAAGATATGCGTGACGCATTGCACGAAAAAGAAGATCATCAAAGTTTGAAATCGAAAATGAGAGAACGCACAAGACCGAAACTCGGTAAAATTGACATTGATTACCAAAAGTTGCACGATGCATTCTTCAAATGGCAAACAAAACCGCCAATGACTAAAATGGGAGAATTGTATTATGAAGGAAAGGTATGCGTACCATTAATATTCTTAAACCAATAAAAGTCAATGTTTAGGAAATGGAAGCAATGATGCGCGACAAAAAACCAGGAGAATTAACCGACGAGTTACGAATCGCATTGGGAATGCCAATAGGATCGGTACACTGCAAATCCTATATTATGTAGTTATTTATATATAATTATAGAACGCCTACAAATTTCCTCCACCGTGGCTTATTGCTATGCAGAGATATGGACCACCGCCGAGCTATCCAAATATTAAAATACCTGGTTTAAATGCACCGATTCCAGAGGGATGCGCATTTGGTTATCATGCTGGTGGATGGGGAAAACCACCCGTCGATGAGTATGGTCAGCCACTTTACGGAGATGTCTTTGGCCTTCAAGTATGTATAAAACATCAAACGGGTTTATAATTCAAATTACACAGGCTCCAGCTTTCGAACCTGAAGACGAATCAGCAATCGAGCGTCGTTACTGGGGTGAAATTGGTTCTGATGAAAGCAGTGACGATGACGATGAATCTGATGAAGACGTTGATATGGAAGATGAGGTTGTGGAGAAGGCTGATGGATTTGTTACGCCTGCACCGCCAGAAGGACTCGTCACTCCTTCTGGAATTACAACAGGTGTTACTGGATTGGAAACTCCGGATACTATTGAATTGAGAAAGGGCAAAAGGACTGAAGAAAGGTGTGAACTTTCTAAAAACTCGTTTTATTTATGCGTTTTAGTTCGTTGCATGGATCTGATACTCCGGCTGCAGCATATCATATCATTCCTGAGAAGAAGAATGATCGTATTGGAAATCAAATGATGGCTTCGACACATACTTATGATCTTTCGGTAAACTGTTAAAATCATAATTTTTACTTATTCGGATTTATTTAGAAAAAACAAGCAGTTCGCGAAGACGGTGTCGACATTTCATTGGATCCCGATGCAATTGATATGGATGAGGGAAAGTAAGTTGCTGAATTAAACATTTCATAGGTTCATTAAAATTATGAAGTGAAATTTAAAAATTTACTTACTGTTATCACGGATGATGTAATTACAGATTGGCTGAACGCTACGAAGAACAACTGAGAAAGAGAAAAACTCGCGATGATGACGATGAAGATCGCGAAGATTTGACTGATATGGTCGCTGAACACTCTGCCAAGCAGAATGTAAGTCTGAAATTTCTTCACGATATTTTCACAATGAAATTTTGTACATGTGCATAAAATGTTAAAATTTCAGAGAAAGCGAAAGGCACAAGAAGAGAAAAAGAACAAATCATCGTCGTCTTCATCATCCAGAAAATTCAAATTTTAGACTTAATTTTCTTGTTTTAATATTAAATATCAATTCTTAACTTATTTTCTCGCGGAACGTTCTTGGGATGTACATCGAGTTCTCCATGTAAATTCGTCGATTCGTTCCATATTTTTTGTTTTAACATATATTTATGAATGTTGTTTTAAGATAAATCTGATGGGAAGTTGTTTCTATATTTGACGAGTTTGTTTTAATTTCTCGTGAAAACAAATACCTGCCTTAATCGAACAAACAAGGTTTTAATGTGGAGCGCTTAAAGGGTTTCAAAATGGCTGCGAATGCAGATGATGTAAGTAAATCATGTAGTACATGACAGGGAATTCGTGTTTTTTTTTGTCAGATATATCGTTCTCTATCAGCCGATGATTATGAGGTGAAGCCAATGTCCGTCGAGAGCATGTGCATGAACTGTGAAAAAAATGTAAGATTTCTTCAAACGGTTGAAAAATTCGTTTTTCTTCGAAGTCTAGTCTTGAAAAAGTAGTTGTAATGACATGACCGGATAAATGCGATCAGTATGTGCTCGCGGGATTTTTCCAAACAAATTCGTCGGAGATTTCCCGCAAGTCTTTAGAAAATTAGTTTTTTTAAATGTAGAAGCTAAGGAATTTGATAATCGGTAGTTGAAATATGGATTCATAATTTAGACGGCAATGAGCACACGCTAAAATGCACCTTAAAACGAAAATTTTCCGAGGAATGTATTTTTAATGTTCGTTACAAAAAAACATTATATTTACACTAGGAAAATAGAACATTTTTAATGAATTTGTTTTTTTCTAAATTTTTTAAAATATTTGTTTCAATTTGTAAGCTGGTAGATTTGTGGGCATGAAATGAGCGCACAACAACCGCCGGTCGCCAACTATAATAAACAATAATAAACCATTTACAAACCATATACAAATAATTAGCGAGTCTACAATTTCAGGGTGAGACCAAGATTATGTGCACCGCAATCCCTTATTACAAGGCTGTTATTATTATGTCGTTCGAATGCCCACATTGTGGATTCAAAAATAACGAAATACAAAGTGGAGAAGCTGTTCAAGAACATGGAACGGAAATTGTACTTCGTGTGCATGAGCAAGTTGATCTTAGACGTCAAGTTGTCAAGTCCGAGTATGCCCAAATAGAAGTGCCAGAACTTCAATTAACGATTCCTCATAAATCTCAACCCGGAGGTATTAAAGAATAAATTTCAAGTGATTAATTATATGTTTGAAGAAATCACGACAGTCGAAGGAGTCCTACAAAGGGTGTACCAAGGTTTAAATCAAGATCAAGAAAAGCGTCGAGCTGAAGATCCAGAAGGTGCTGCACAAATCGATGATTTTCTCAAGAAACTCGAATCGTACATGCAATTGGAACATAAATGGACATTGGTTAGACGAAAATTTTTTATAGTTATCTTTTTTGTATAGAAACTTCGTGATCCTACGGGAAACTGCTTCATTCAAAATCCTGATGTTCGTCACGTCGATCCACGATGCATCGTCTCACACTATCATCGATGTTTAAATGAGAAAAAAATGCTTGGACTTGCTGACGATTTGTATGACATTTTTCGGTTTTGTGCTTTAATTATGTCAATACTTTTAGTGAGGAAGATGAGGTAGAAGCTGAACCAGCGCCCGAGTTTACCAGCTATGACGATGTGAAGAATGAAGTTCTGCATTTCAATACGAATTGTCCCAATTGTAACGCTCCAACAAAAATCAATATGAAACCCACAGGTTCAGTTTTCCAACATATTAAAAAAAAGCTTAACTTTAAAATGTCGTTGTATTCCCGCATACCTGAAAAAATTCAAAAATGCACAGTGATTCAATCAGAATGTTGTTAATTAATTTTCTCATTGAAAATATCTAAATCAGGCGGATATCTCGCCTATCCTGAATTTTAAAGTTTCATAAAGAATAATGAGAGGTTGGTAAAGATATTGACGTTGTTTAATTATAAATGAGAGGTGAATATTTAGATATTCCATTCTTCCAAACTGTTATTATAATGGCAATGAATTGTGATAACTGCGGCTACAAATCGAATGAAGTGAAAAGCGGTGGAGCTATTCGCGATCAAGGTTGTCGACTATATGTCAAAATTCGAAGTGTTAGTTTCTCATCGATGTAATTTTTGCCATAACTATTTTTCTTTAGGATGTTGATTTAAAAAGGGATGTTTTAAAATCTGAAACTTGTTCAATGACTATTCCTGAAATCGATCTGAATGTTGGCGGAGCTGCATTATGTGGACGCTTTACTACCATCGAAGGACTTCTCAATGCGACAAAAGAGCAGCTCGATTCTGTATTTAAAATCATTACGAATAAAAAATGTTCTTAAATTGCAGCAATCATCATTCTTCATGGGAGATTCTGCGGAATCTGAAGAGAAACGCGAGGTGATGAATTTCATGCTAAAACTTGATGATATCATAAACTTAAAAATGCCTGCAACAATAATATTGGACGACCCGACTGGTTGTAGCTACGTGCAGGTAGCCTTTTGTGTCATTTCCCAAGTAAATGAAGTAATTCAGAGTCTAACTGCTCCAATGGACGACGATGGATTACATAAGGAGTTTTATACTCGGACTTATGAGCAGAACGACGAACTTGGATTGAATGACATGAAGGTTGAAAATTACGGCGAACTAGAGGATGTGGCGGAGGAAGGAGAGGAGGAGGAGGCGGAGGCGAATGCAGAAGGAGAGAAGTAATTACCACTATTGTCGATAATTGTTCTTGTTTGTTGTTGTTAATTTTTGAAGTGTTGATAAAAATATATACCGATAGTTTGAAGCGTTTATGCATGTTGTCTATTCATTCACATATTATGTTACAAGTGATATCATATTAATATAGAGAGGAACTGAAGATCATGATAGTTGGTAAAGTTGCATTTAAAAGTCACGGGTATATAGAAACAAGAAGTTGAGCACAGAAAATGCGGGAATAAAGCGCTAGACAGTTTCTTGTTTTATCAATTATTTTCTACAGGTTTTGGCTCAGTGAAAGTTGTTGCCTTAGGGACGGATTCGATATCACTGACACGATTGCGGTTTTTCGAATAGCCTGGTTTGGTCCATTCAGCTGGAGAAGCTTTGCCAAATATGACAAAAATGATGTTGAAGACGAACAGAATAACGAAGTGAACCATCCAAACCCACCTAGAATACATAACAATGCGTCGATGGTTTCGAGAAAAGTTGACTTACCACCACTCATCCCAAGTGTCGTCAATTACAAAGATGTTAACAATAACAGGAGCAAGCAATGCCGAGAGACAGTTTAGGAAAGAATTGACGCCCATTATGAAATGATTGTGCTGACTGAAGAACAATCGGAATCCATAAAAGATGCGGCTATAAGGTCGACTTACGCAGCATAGAGTGCTGATGCTCGGAAGAATGCACCGCAGTTGAATCCAATAATTGAGCAAGCAATAATGAGCATAATTAGCCCGAATATTGGCATCGATCTGAAAATATGTGTGCTCTCAATTTTGCAAAATATAAGTTGGCTAACGTTGGAATTAAAGCGAGTCCCAAGAAGGCGAGACTCATTCCTCCCAACGCGAGAGTGTTGAAGATCTTTGTTGAGGTTTCCGGTGTGCAGCACAGCATTTTGTCTGCCGAATAGCCAGCAATCAATTTCAAGACGAATGTGCAAATTTGTGGAATCGCGCTGAATGTTCCTGTCTGCTCGACGGGAAAGTTCATGACTTTGTTTAAATATGTAGGCGAGAATTGCATGGTGACTTGAATGCCCATAAAGTTTCCAATGGCGGAGATCCAGATTGCAATGATGACAGGATCACGAACAATCGCCAAGACAGGCACCGGCTCGCGTTTGCTTTCGCCTTTGCCACGTTGAATCATTTCAAGTTCTTTCTCAGAAACGAATGCATGCCGTGTCGGGCTTTCGCTGAAATTTCCAGAATTTCAGAAATTTTTAGTGTTATCTCACCGATAGAAGAAGTAGAAGAGAATAAAAAGACCAAATGTTACCACGGCGTGAACGTAGTAAACTGCTGGCCAACCAAGATCGGAGGTACACAGGGCTCCAGCAATTGGCATTGTGAAAATGGGCCCAATCTAAATTAGCGTGTTTTTCGAAGCAGGAAATTGTGTATACCTGGAAGAAACACGTGAGGACTGCAATGTAGAAGGCGCTTTGAACTTGCATTGACCATTGTCGAGTTACAATTCCAATAAGAGTGAATGCAGTAGAAAGACCAGTTCCCTGAATGTTTGGACTGACTTTGCATAATCAACTTTCAACCTTTAGTCATATTCATATGTTAATTCTATCAAAACAACACATGGAACATTCTACTGTTTCGTTTTTGTTCTATTTACCTGCAAGAATCTCATGATAAGAAGTGGATAGAATCCGAGATGGGCCATCCAAGGAATAAGAGCGGTTGTGACAGCTGACAACATTCCCATGAGGAATACAATCTTTCGGGAACCAAATTTCTAAAGGAATTGGAAATGATTGGGAATCGGTTTGTATTACTTGTACCTGTATAAGAAACATGATAGGGTATACGGCCACCATTGCACCGACGGCAACCAACGAGAACAGAAGGTTCTTCTCATTTGGTGTGTAGTCATACCGTCCTCGAACAATTTCGGATTCGAGTTCCCCAAAAAAGCTGGTGTCGTTAAGCATTGTTGTCGTCGAGTTTTGTGGTCCCGACATGCAGATGATCGTGAAGTTGAGAGTAAGCGTGTCGGCTTGAGCAATCGACAGGCATAGCGTGCAAATAATCAGAATAATGAAGCGGGTTTTGTGCAGAAAATGAATGTCGGCGTCATTGGTTTGGCTTTCGTCCAATTTACGCGACACTGAAAATCCTGGCATGGCGAAATAATTTTGAGCGCGGGTACCGATGTGTATTAACCCGAGTCGAGTTGCGCTATTTGTAGTGTGCCCGCGTTACGGGAAAAGTGGGAAGGGAAATTCAGAGAAGAATATGCAAAAATTGGTTGAACACAGAGAATAATCTTGACGGATGGTATGGCAGAAATAGTTGATAGACAATAGATCAATGTTCGAAATAATGAAGATTTTGATCTGATTAATGCTAATGACGGAACTAAAATCCTGGAATAAAGTTTTTTTTGTATCTTGTAACATGTAAAATTTTAAAATATTGGACCACTCTTACTTTTAAATTAAGAAATGTGATTTTATACGAAATTATTGTTGTTTAAAATTTTCTAACAAAAAAAAGGCAAATAGGCATTTCTAATATCAAATGTTACAACGTGGTACGCTAAAAGTGTCAAATTCGCTATTTTGCAACACTGCATTCATGAATAGATCCATGATAGATTTAACAAACAAGGGTTCACAATTTATTCATTTTCTCTCATATGCCACTATTCCATTTAAATTTAGATAAAATAAACAAGATTTCGAGAGTTGATTGTTATAATAATTAATTTGATAATTGAAGATCATGAAAACTGATAAAATAAACGTTTAAAAAAAATAACACTTTAGCCTATTATATAATATTAAAATACATCCATTGAAACGTTCTATTTAATTTTAAATTAAATGTCTTTCCTTCAATTTTCAACTCAAACATTTAGTTCTTCTAATTAAAAGTCCTCCTATGTTCTAAATCGAGTTTGATTTCTTCCAAGTTTAAGATTTCAATCGGCATTTTTAGGTTCAATCCCAAACAAGTGCATTCGGGTAAGGTTCATTTTTTAGAAATTCAATTCAACCTCACAACGTCATCACCTCGCGTACATGGCATGCAAATGTGCGAATTCATGTTCTAGGTAATACCGATTCGCTTTTCTCGGCACATGTGATCATAGAACAACCGTTAGTCTTCAAAAGTTCGGTTCTTTGAGAGAACAGAAATTCGATAGAAACGCAGAACTGAGAACTGATCGACAATACGTCATGAAGTCACTGCTCCAGATTCTTGCTTTTTCAGACATGCCGCATTGAATAAATAACTTAAAACCCAATACACCTCATCCTAACATCCTGAATTGAAGCCTTGAATAATATTTGAGAAGAAAAGATTTGATAGTGTTGAAAGTAAATGCAAAGAAGTGAGTACAATGTGTGGGCAACCAATATAAAATGGATAAACATCGGACTATTGCAAATATTTTCAAATGCAAAAAATTAATTCTTTCCATTTCACAGAATAGGTAGAGGAATGATTTTTAAAATATTTCCATTCCTATGCCCCAAAATGGGTCCATAATTTTTAGACGATTTTTTTGCATGCTTTACTCTGATTCTAATAAGAATCTGCTGAAAACTCTGCTCTGCACGCCTTTCACGAATAGGTCCAATTTGACATTTTTGATCAATTTGGCATTAACACATAATCCGAATTGGACATTGCACGATATCAGAAGGAATACGGCAAAAACATATCGAGCATAATAGCGATGAAAACGATGGAGTATGCTTTTATAGAATTCTACTTTTCATATTCAAATGTTGACCAAAAACTGCGCATTCTTCGATAATGTCGGGGTGGAAGACAATAACGTGTTATCTATTCTTTAAAATCAAGAAATCCGAAAATTTTTAGAATTTTTTACCTTTATTTTCTTACCACCCGATAAATCTTTGTTTCCATGTCGTTCCAGAAAAATTGCTGCATTCTCAATTTTCAACAATTTCTGCAATCGACAATTGCCGAACAGCCCTGGCACGGAGGCTATTTGAAATTTTTGAAATTGATGTTCAAGTGACTCTAGCTCAAGAGAATAAGTTTTACCACCTCCTAGAGGCCAATGTTCAATGACTCATACTTTTTGACTTGACTCATGATTTTTGACTCATAAAAATTGTATCATGATTTTTTATTCTTTGACTCATGGTTTTTGACTAGTGATTTTTGACTATTTTTTTTTTGACTAACAATTTTTGACTAATGATTTTCTGAGAATTTTTTAAATAATTTAAATAAATTAAAATTATTCTGGTCTGATGAGAATTGCAATATTATTTAAATTTTTGTACATTAACTCAAACCAAAAAGGATTTTTTTATTAACAAAAAACAAAATTATATAATGAAATGGTGGACATCAGAAAATGGGCGAATATTTCCGTAGTTTTTTTATTTTTCTTTTTTCTCCAGACATCGTTAAGCTCGATTCGAAGTTTGAGAGACTTCTAAAAGAATACTAATATTGGTCCAACTTTTGGTTACTACGGTCAATTACCTTTTATTTTCATTTGGAGTTGTCCAAATCTGTGTTGATGTTTCCAAAATATTGGAAACTGATCCAGAATCGGATTCAAAATCTCGATATCTAAAAATTCAAATATTGGTCCAACTTTTGGTTACTACGGTCAATTACCTTTTATTTTCATTTGGAGTTGTCCAAATCTGTGTTGATGTTTCCAAAATATTGGAAACTGATCCAGAATCGGATTCAAAATCTCGATATCTAAAAATTCAAATATTGGTCCAACTTTTGGTTACTACGGTCAATTACCTTTTATTTTCATTTGGAGTTGTCCAAATCTGTGTTGATGTTTCCAAAATATTGGAAACTGATCCAGAATCAGATTCAAAATCTCGATATCTAAAAATTCAAATATTGGCCCAACTTTTGGTTACTACGGTCAATTACCTTTTATTTTCATTTGGAGTTGTCCAAATCTGTGTTGATGTTTCCAAAATATTGGAAACTGATCCAGAATCAGATTCAAAATCTCGATATCTAAAAATTCAAATATTGGTCCAACTTTTGGTTACTACGGTCAATTACCTTTTGTGTGCCAATGTTGGGGTGAAAGAAGACAAATTTACACTGGATTCATTGTTTTGAAGTACACTGTCTTCACTATCATTGTACATTGTCATGCTGAAAGAAAGTGTTCGTACTTCGAATATTTGAAAACAACTTACAGCGATAAATCTTGCAAAAGTCTTCGCCCATTATTTTTACTCTTGTTTGTTCTCTTCCGCATTGGAGCTTTTCTTCCACATAATACTGGCCTACTCAATGTTACCCTTTTTCTCAAACTAACTTTGCGTGCTTCATCGGCAATCTTTTCGATTTCTACCTCTTTTTCTTTTTCCGTTAAAGAACAAACCGCAGCCCATCTAAAATTTTTTGGAAGGTTAGAAAGATAATTTTTTTTTTACAAATGCTGGCATATTTTTGGGAATCGTCTCTTGCAGTTCATATCGGAGCATCCTATGCGATTGTCCGAAGATTTCACATCGACAATACTGCTGAAATAAAGTTTCGGAAGTTCTCCAGCAAAATTTCCAGTAAAAACATACTCATTTGACTTCACTATAAAACCTTCCTCATACATTATTATTTTGAATTTCTGAACCTGCTGGTGTAACCATACAACATGCGAATCAGGATTGTCTGTGAAATTGAAAATAAGAATTTCCTCAGAGATTGGTGAGCACATACCTTGGGCTAAAATAAGAGGTAGTTTTAAGATTGGTCTTTCACGAAACCCTAATTTAATTAGAAATTGGGTTTTTTCGAATTCCCGGAGATTTGAAAACAATTCTTGATGCTCAAATCGTACGACTTCGTCGTAATCTATCACAGATCGATGATAGCGATCGCTTTCGTCTGAAAATATAATGAAATACTCACGACTACTGCAATTTACCCTTCAAGAACTCCATAATTTTCAAACAAGCATCATCAGCACGTAACGGCGATTTTATCAGCTCAGCCAAAATTGAGTTGAAACATTCAATTGAATTCGACGATAAAAAGGGTTGAATAACACCAGCAATCAATCGGCTCCGCAAGGAATTGCAATCGAAAAGGTTATCGAAATTTCGACGTACCCTGAAAAAAGGAGAAAAACAAGAAAATTTAAAAAATTCGTTTTTCTTTCATTTATTACGATTTATTTTTTTTTTAGTTAATATGCTATTTTAATGTTTTTCCTCGAAACGCCAGCATTTCTTTAATCGTATTTCATCGTTGCCTAATATTTAAATTTAAAATATTGAAAATACCAAGCTTTTGCGCCATCATCATCACAAGTCTTCTCAAACAATTCGAGACGACGGTGATAGTCTTGTATGTTCAAAGCTCCAAGAAGTCCAGTCTTCAAGTAGTTCGGTCCCATCTGTAGGCTCGTAATTTTAATTGAAAAAGTGAATGTAAATGTTTAAACTTGTCCAAAAACCATTCGGACTATTCTGCGACTATAACTCGAATCCTTAGATTTCACACTATCTGCCAAATTTTTTGATCTGTGTAGTTCACAACGAAGAGTTTGTGCGTGGTCGAATGCGGAAACAGTCTATAGTTCTCTCTTGAAATAGATATATGAGTTAATTGAAGAACCTGGCGATATACGGAGAATGAAGATTCACCGTCACAAATAATTGCAGGAGTTTTTCTTAACTTTTTGGCTCAAGCTGAGACAAAATCGATTCTAAATGCTGCGCATGGAACGAATGACTTGCGGAATGTTTTCTAGAATGGAAAAGAACTCCCAAAACAAGAAATCGGGGTTTATCGGAACTTCGAGTTCTAAAGATAACTATTTTTTCAAATTCATTTTTGATTATACCGGAATTGTTTTGAGGCAGTCCCAATGATAGTTATAAAAAGATCCGATAGTGTGAATGTTGTATCAATGAATATAACTCCTTCAAACATGTATGCATCTTTTTCCTTCCTGTTCCAATCGTCTATCAAAATTCAAAATAATATCTAATTCTATACAACAATGGCTATCATACCCAAGTATTTTTGAATCGAACTAAGCGGTCCATCGTCACATAATTGTCCAATCTTTTCGCGATGTTGAACTAGTTCGTCTTCAGTTGGCAAGGAATTCAAATAAATGTTACAGTTTTCACGGATTATTATTGACAAACATTCCGATATATCTCCATCACCTTAAAATATTTTCAGAATTTAATGAAACCCAAAAGTAAGTAAGTGTAAGTGAATGAAACATACAATTTTCAATCGAAAACTTGCAATCTGGAATTTTATGAGAAATACTTGACAGTTGATATGGGGTTGCCACTCGTTTTGGGCCTCGTTTCCCGATTACTGCATCGCGCACATACCGAACTTGATTCCGAATCTAAAGTAAAATAGTTCTATTTTAAATATGTGCCATATTTACCTGTTTCTTATTAAATTTAAAACCTTGATCCAAAAGTTGTTTTTTTGTGCAGTCAACCGTACGCCCCTTCAGCGTTTCTCGAATTATCCGAGCTTCTTGATCTGAAAAAAAAATTTATTTAATGTTGTAGGCAAAATTTTACTTGAAAGCCTCGAAGGCTCCTCAATAAGAATTATGTTCGGAGATTTTTTAATGTATTGGATTAAAAAAATTTCGCCGCCAATCTTATGAATTATCTAAAACTAATAATTTAAAAAATACACAAAATAACAAATACCATTTTTTTCAGATCGGGGTTTTCCACGTATTCGCATTTAATTACTTGGTATTTTTCGTATTCTTGGTTCCAATAAATATAAATGGGAGCAATTTTCTTTTTTCCTAGAAGAATAAAATAAATAATTTAAATTGCAAAAATATTATGAACCTTTTTCCCTTCTTGACCATTTGAGGCCATCGTTCATCGCACTTAGGCCACACAAGGCGTCCTTCTTTATAATGAAATATTTTGAACCAATCCATGTTCCATCAATTTTCGATTTGATTTCGTTCATCGATATCGAATATCTATAAAATACAAATATTGTCGAAGAAGGACGAATTGTACAAATTTGAATGACCAAACGCGTTAGCTATTTTTGAATTTTTGCATGCGCCAATATCTATAAAATTCAATTTTTTCAACTTAATTACTCACCGAATCACGTTTTCGTCGTCGGACAAGAGCAAGCCTAAAGCTTCGTGCTTTTTCAAATAATCCGTTTTAGATTGAAGAGACATAACAAAACCAAATGTGAAGTTTTCCGAGAAGGCGACTGAAAGTGATTTATTAGTGTCATAAAGTTAAACGGAACAAATTTCATCTGACATGTAGTTTCAGCATGTAACTAAGAATTACGGCACGAAAAATAGTGAATGAACGGAGAATTTAGGATTGATAGCAATAAAAACATGAAAACGAAAACGATCTGTAAACACAACGGTATAAAATGCACACCGAGCTTACCGTACCAACCACGTGTATTTTTTCCACAACTACTTACATAATGAACTGCAACGTGTTTTATTTATAAAAACTTATAAATTCATTTTCAAAGACTGTAGTTAAAATATTCTACATAGATTAAAAAAAAGGAAAAACATAGAAAAGCGAAAAGATTAACTAATTTTTATCTAATTAAATTTTTAGATTGTGCACATTTGAGAAAATGTTACCGTAACGCTGCGTCTTTAACTGTCATTTTTATTTCTTTTTTTTTTTTTTTAAATTTTTTTGCCACTTTTTGCAGTTAGTTGCTTCGAAATTAATTGAAATGTTTCTAGTTCAATTTTAAGTCTATTTATTATAAATTCACGGCAATTAAGGCTTGAAATTGCGTAAATTTCAATTATTTCTCATTAATTTTTAGGATTTTAATTTTTCCGCAAATTTCGATGTTTACTCCACTTCTCACAGTTTTTTAATAAATAATTTTTTAGGTTCCGTGCGTTGGCAGCACTATTTGATAGATTCAACATTCGATTCTCTACTTCTGTATCTTTTGGTATATTTTTTCCAGTTTTATTGTCTTTTCTCCACGCTAATTAATTAATTTCGGTTTTTTTTGAATAAATTTATTTTTTTTAAACGTATTTGATTACTTCAAATCATTTAAGTTCATTTGGTCGGTTTTAAGAATTTGAAAACAAGCAACATTGCCAAGCAACACTGGACTCGCACAAAAATTATGTTCTTTCAAATACGTTTAGTTTACTATTCATTGATTGCTCGATTGGGTGAATCAAGGAAAAGAAATCAATACTGCCTGCTGCAAATTTCCAAATTTTCTCTATCAGCCGAACAATCTACACGAATTCAGTGTAGATTTAAATTTTTTGTTAACTGAATATTAAATGCGCGTACGCTATAATGCAATGTACGCAATCTCGCTGCCTCGAGACGCATTGGCACATAGCCGATATTTGCTTACATTTCGTCAAGCCGTTTGACTTCGATAATATGTATATTCTCAGAAAATCATTAGTCAAAAATTGTTAGTCAAAAAAAAAATAGTCAAAAATCACTAGTCAAAAACCATGAGTCAAAGAATAAAAAATCATGATACAATTTTTATGAGTCAAAAATCATGAGTCAAGTCAAAAAGTATGAGTCATTGAACATTGGCCCCTCCTAGATGCCATCGAGTTTTTTTTATGTTTTGTCGATTTCTTTTAAAAACTCATTAAATAAATATATGAAAATTATATTTTATTCATATATTAACAAATGTTCGGATTCTTGTATACAAATTGACTGTACGAGACAATTTCATCGCCCGTTTGATCATATCTCCAGTAGCCGGATTCATAATCGCACGTGAAAGTTTGTCGAAATTGTTGAATCGCGTCCACACACGGAAAGATTTTGTCGAAAATGCATCTACCATCGACAGTTCTGACAACAATTCCACCCCGACTAATGCCGTCGACTGAAACAAAAAATATTCGAAAAACACCATGGAAAGAATAATTCACTTGGTGATTTTGAGCAATATGCATCTCCTTCAATATCAGTCCTTAACAGCATTGTCTGAGCAGAACAATCGCTCAGTGAAGCCCCGAAATCTGGATACGAATACCAGATTGCTTCATCGTTTTCGCACGTCTTCTCAAAGTCTGGCATTTTGCAAGGACACACTAAATAAAAGTTTGTACTAAATTTTTTAATGATTGGGATACATGTTGAGTATTGAGTATCTGGACCGGAACAAGGGCATCCGGAACTTTGGGAGAGGCAGTCTCGTGTTCGAACCAACTGAGTTCAATTGTTATCAAAATAAAAGCAAAAAAAAAATACTTGATTGCCTTCTTTATAAAAACCACTCCATTCACTCCATAAACCATCTTTTGGGCAGCACGAAACGCCTTTTGTAGTTGTGATGGGACCACACTGCATTGTACCATTAACAATAAATGGGACATATGGAATACAGCATGTTCTTTGAGCTGGGGCCTTACACATTTGTGTATTACATGGAATCTTTCTGCTATTGGTTCCACTGATAGTAAATTTTTAATAAGAAGCTTCTCGAAGACAAACGAACATGCATGGGCATTTTAGAACATCACTGAGACACTTCCTTGTTTGCATTTTAACATCGCATGATCCACAGGGAGTATTGCATGTCACTGGATCATCGACATACGTCCATTCACCCCAAATTCCTTCTGGGGGACATTTGCCTGTGCCCTGGCATTCTGGAAGTGCAGCCGACGCCAATATTGATTGGTGGAGAATAATGGTGACGAGAGCAAAGAGTTGCATTTCTATGAATTCAATCGTTCTCAAGACGTTTTATATACCTTATTCATTGATATTTAAATTTTGCCAACAAAAACCTATTCATGGATTCGCGATGATGGGTTTACGGGTTTTATCAAATTGTTGATCTGTCTACAGCATCAATACACGCCCGCCGCAACTCACGTGCGGTCTAGAAAATTTGGTCGGCACTTTCAAAAAGCTAAAATGCAAGTGTGGCACACAAATTCTGAGAAAAACTGGAAGGCTAATTTTTAAAATTATGGGTAATGCTTAGTTACGGTTTTCTTTTATTTCCATGAAGATGTGGCCCAATATTTCGATATTGGGTTTTTTGCTTCCATCAGAGCTGCACGGAATTCCGTCTTCCGTGACATTTTCCTGCTCCGCGTTCCGTCAAAAACAGCACGTCTAGCGAATCTAATGGTTAAAAACCACAGCCGTCGAAATTTATTCGACAGAAAGGTCCTTGTCGAATGAGCAATTGGGAAATGTCACATTCTGCACATTTAATTTCAAAATATTCTAGTTAGATTAAATTCGTGTTCCGTTTTCAGTTAAAAATTTTCTGTTCCGCATTCCGTTTTTGGAAAATTTAAGTTCCGTGCAGCTCTGATTTACCATGCAATTTGAGAAAAATCAGAACGAATAATTGATTATGCTAAAAATAGTCTATTTCGTAAATTTTGATCTTCACTGGGAGTCGGTGGATCTTTGAGGCGACATTCTTATCTAATTATGTTTTTCTGTATACCTTGCGTATAAAACATGGACTATCTAATATTTATAAAAATTCGTACGGATTTTCTTTCGCAAAACGATTCTAAAATACACAGTAAAAATAACTTTTCTACTTAATGGTGTTCGCCGTGATTTCCATGGTGGCGATATTTGTAATGCAGACGCTTTTCTTCAGGAACAGCGAACTCATAAGCGACAACTCCGGCCTAGAAAATGAAATACATCAATTTTTTAAGTGCGTTAATTAAAACCTTAATCACACCTAGAAGAAGAGCAATTCTCCAAAATACCTTCAGATATTGGCCATATGGAGTGGATTTGAAGAAATCAGCATTCTTATTCTTGAAAACAAAGCTAAAGGGTTTTATAATTGACATTTGAAAATTACGATGGCATTGTATGCAGCATAGGATTCCTTCTTCGCTTGTCCGAAAAGGAAAAGTTTAGGAGCATTGTTAATATTATCCCATTTTCCCTCGCTTCCAAGTCGATTGATTTCACGCCAAACTGCATGAGAATCACTAGAAATGGTTTATTTATTAATATAAAAATATTAGAAACTGTGCTGCGGCAAGTTTCTATTGTCAACGTCGCGCAGATTAAAAAAGCGCGCAAAAAAACAACTTTAAGTCTTACTGCGAATGCGAGGAAGCCTGTCTTACAGCAATTCGAGCAACGTTTTTGCTGGCTTGTGCCAAGCTTGACATGGTTCACCTGAAATTGGATGTTGTGTGCAGATAATGTAAAAAAAAAAACTTAAAACACTGAATAAATAATGCTAGTGACTCGCCAAACTCATCGGGAGAACCAGTAGATTTTTCGAATTCCGTGAAACAATGGTAAATTTTGCAAAAATCAATGGCATAAAAATAGAGAAAAAATGGCATAAAAACAGAAAAATGGTTTTTTTTTTCAATTCAACCAACTAGTGTGTTTAGCGAAAACAGGAAAATCCCCTCAATGAGTTTACCGAGGAAGTTCATGTTCCACAAATGTGCCAATTGAAGTATATTGGCGCATTTATTGTGTTGACACATTTTTCGTATTTTTTACTTTGTGGCATTTTGAAGCGTCAATCATCACACGTTTATATTAATCCTATTTTAATCCTGATCTTTTTTAACAGTTTTTAAAATTCAATATTTTGTAGATTATGGATCATACAATTCTTCTTATCCAACCAACCCCAAAGGTGGATTCTCGATCGTGGTCGGATTATGAAAGCCTTCCGGACTGTCTCGAAGGTTAGTTAAATAATTTTTGATAATTAAAATACAATTGTATATTAAATGCACTTTGAAGCATTTAACTCAGAGGTACAATTTTTATTGAATTTAGGAATATGCAAAGTCTTCGAAGAGTTCCTCAAAAAGAAAACTCCAGGACGGACAAGCATCACGTACGACATTAGTCAGTTATTCACTTTCATCGATCGTCTTACCGATCTTTCGATACTAGTGTTCAACAGAGTAAAAACCATTCAATGGGAGTTAAATGAAAAAAATTCCATTTTTAGCAAACCAGCCAATACGTTCCACATGACAAAACCTATATTAAAGAGAAAATATTCGATCTTCTTAAAACTCGAGCAGACAATGGCACTGAAATTGATGATAATGAGACAATTTAATATTGTTCGTATTATATTTTTACCGGTATTTGACTAACAAGTTTATTCATTCGTCTTGATGAGCCTTGATCTCGCGTTTTCCATAAATAATTTTTTATCTTTTCAAAATCATATTAACCGTTAAATGGGCTGATTTCCCTAATTATTTCTACATTGTTTGTTTTAATAATACAGATTTAGTTGATTTTTAAATAGATTATAAAGCGTTATGATATTGTCTCCAGGCGCTCGCGAAGCTGTGTTCTCCTATGAAAGTATGTGTTAATTGTTTTGATATTGTTTTATTTAGTGGCGTTGAAATGTTCAGCGAGAGCCGGTTTGTGCTCTTCTCCATTTCGCGCCGATGATTTATCCGATATATCCTTCGCTGCAGAAGCCACCGACGATATGTCGATGAATACAACGCAAAATGATGATAATGATGACGGATATGAACATCGAAACGATCCTGAAAGTGTTTTAAAAGTAATTGAAGTGGAAAAAACTGGAAATGGTAGGAGTCGTTCGACAAAAAGATTTATAAAATTGTTCTATTTTTAGGGTTTGGTTTCAATATTGTCGGTGGAACCGATGATACACATTATAAGGATGCCATGGGCTTCTATGTTTCGTCTGTCAACCCAAATTCAAAGTCATATGGCTTGATTGAAAAAGGAGACAAAATTTTGAGCGTTCGTATATTTTTAGAATTGTTGAAAATTGTATTAATTCATTTAAGCTCGACAGTGTTGATATGACGAATAAGACACACAATGAAGCCGTTGATATTTTCCGAAGTGTTCCTGTCGGAAGTGTCGTCAAAATGCTTATCGATAGAAATCCAGACGCTCTATTTTTGTTTCAAAATGACAGAACACAAACTCCAACACCGTCATCAACAAGTTACCAAGAGTACATGAATAGAAGACGAAGCGATAGTCGAGCTGGCAGTGTTTCGATACCTTCTTCTGAGACAAGAGGCCGTCTCACACCACACGGTCTTGCCGCGATTGCAGATCGGTGACTTTGTTTCTGTTTGCCGAAACAAGCATTTTGTTTTTACAGTCTCCGTGGTAAATACTCGTACGATGATGAAGACATTCAAAGTGTGACCTCGTATGCGCCATCGACACATTCTGTTATTGATGATGTACCAAGAACACCGCGGAAATCGTTAAGCATTTTGGATCCAAGAAAGTAAATTTTTTTAATTGGTGTTAAGAAGATTAGAAGTTAAGACAAATATTGATGTTTCAGCAATTCAATGTTCACCGAAATTTTGTATGTTTCTGTTGGTTTGGGTGCTCTCGCAGTTACTGGTTTCGCGATTTATCGTTTTTTGCGTCAGAAGAACTAAGAATGACAAAGACAACAATTCTTGTGCTATTCAACTCAAGTGTTTTAGTTTTTTTTTTTTTCAAAAAAGCGGCGATTTCTTCTCTATTCTGAATTTTTCGACTATTGGTGCTCAATTGTAATTTTTTGTTCTTCTTTTCACAGCTCGTTTTCTTGCCTTTCAGGCTTAATAGAATTCGTACTTTTAATCATCTCAAGTAGCCCATTTTAAACATTTTTCTTAAAATTAATTTACTTTCTGTGTGCTACTTCTCCTTATAAAACGTGTACCATCAAAATTAGTGTTACAAATAATAAATCGTGTTTTCATCTATTTAACGAACTTTAATTTTGTGTTCATTTCATTTTTTGTTATTAACAATTTTGATATCTTCATCATCAAGATCTGTGTAGGAAGAAACCAAAAATTCAGAATGTGTTGGATGTTATGAAATCGACCGACCAAATATCGAGTTTTGGTGCGTTCAATGAACGAAAAAGTTCAAAAGTTCTCAGCGGGTTTCAAGAACACGGATATCCAAGGTATATTTTTGAGTTAATTTTCTAACGAATTAGTTTTTTCACCATGTGAATAAATAAAGATTATGAAATGTTCGTATCCTACTGGCATTTAAAATATATATACGCGTAAAAAACTTGCAACATGAAGGTCATGGGAATATTTTCAATTTACTGTTTTATTTTCCCTACAACACGAAAATAGACGTGGTTGAAATTTAGTGAATTTGCTCTTAAGGATATATATATGACTTTCAGTTCAAATTTTGAGGTGTACCACAATATTATATAGTATTGAGTATTCAGCAAATATATCATTTTCGTTTAGATCATGTGAATTTTGTAAACCCCCGATCGAGTTTCTCACGTCTAGTGAGTTTTCGCGCCATATTCGAATGACACACGCAACGCAGGAGGGTGGAAGCTTTTCGTGCAGGTTTATTAACATTTTCTTTTGTCATAATTATTTAGTTGCAGATACGGGGAAAATGGTGTTTGCCAAAAATTGCCACTTGAAGGGGTGTGTGATGTCGATTTTGAAGCGCATCTTCAACGTTGTCATATTTCTAACCGAGGTATTTTTTGTCATCATGAGTTCCTTGTATCCAGACGCGTTGTTTCGAAGCCGACCAGCCCAAAACTGAATATTTAAATTAGGCGGCCACAAATGTGAAACGCTGTTAAATTTGACTCGGGGGGGGGGGGTCAAAACGACAAGCCTGCTGTATTCTTCAATTTTCCTTTTTAGAACACCGGTATCCTGACGAAGATGGATTAAGCTTGCGAAGTGTTCGTTTAACGAGTGAAACTCCAACAGAATTAACCGAAAAAACGAAATTTAGTTTGTTGAGGTTGGTTTATCCATATTTTATTTTGAACTTTATTAGAAAATATTCATTGGGGTGGGAATGTTCTTTGTGTTCCAAAAAAAAAATGATATTGATAATTTTCAATGGGGGTCGTAAGTGAATGGGCCTGAGCGCTACGAAAATTCGGTAAACCTGTAACAATGACTGGGAAGTTTGATTACAATTGAAGTTATAAATTTTACGTTAACATTAATTTATTCGCACTTTTGAAGTGCCACCTGGATTAGAGGTGTAGCTTACTGCTGGAACATTGCTATCCTGAAAATAGGCAATTTAGACTTTTAAGTAAATTATTTACGAACAATAGAAAACTATTAAAAAATGAGCACCTGAAACTCACCGTACGACACAGGGTGCTCGTGTTTTTTAGATTGTAATACCTTATCTAATGATGATTGTCTAGAGCCCATTTTTGGTTTTTTCGCTCCGTCTGACCCGCTTGGGAAGAACTCGGCGAACGGATTTTCGGCTAGCGACATTTTCTTCTTTTCGGTTCCGTTGTCAATTTGGAAATCTGCATCACCATCGGTCTAAAAAAATACGGCAATAGGTTTATTTTTATTTAAGAGCTATGGTTCCAATTCCACAATTTATTAATGAAATTTAAAGGAAGCATTACATTTCAGAATAAAAATAAAAAAAGAAGACAATTTTTTCTGCAATGTAATCCTCTCTCAATAAGCAAAACCGGTTGTTTTATTTTTTTTTAATTTTCTATTTTTCAGTCTTTTTTGATACCTCTTTTTCTGGAGGTCCACTCTTTTTAAGTATTTTCTCATTGACGATCTTCTTTGTAAAGTAGGTGTAAGAATAGGTGACGAGCTGAAAAGTATTTGATTTGCAGTGGTATTGCGCTAAAGCACACTTGAATAAGAGAAAGAATCGAAAGTCCGAGCCACATTCCAATAGAACCTCCGAGAGCCGCAATGAATGTTGTTGTTGTGTACTTCCATTGCTGTTCCATTGAAAGATACTCGAATGATCCCCAGTGCAAATTGACAAGAGTCAAATCAGGTCGAACCATTCGGCCTTTGACGGCATGGTCAACTTCGTAGCGCATTTGATTGCAGTCGTGGTAGCATTTGGCGCTGCATTCCGAATCGGAGAATGTTCCGTTTTGAACACTAACAAGTTATAATCAAAATATTGTTTTGCATGTGTGACAACTTACTCGACATCACACTTGGTGTAGTCGCAGAGTGGAAACAGGTCTAAATCGTCCTTTGCCAAATAACTTAGCGTAAGAGGAGTGCATTTGCACATACCCTTAAACCGAATTCAAAATAGTGTTCGTTCATGCTTACTCACTCTTATCATTTCCATCCTACAACGCGATCGACAATCAAATTCGTTGTCCTCACCTTCTTCAACATCGCGACACGCAGTTCCATCATCATCATTTTCAAGCATTTGATAGTGCGCGGTTACATGTACAGTAACTTCATGCCGTTGACCAAGACAAAGCTATTGCTAACTTCAACTAACTTGTGTTAAGTGTATCCTTACCTCATCAATGAATCCGTCACGAGAACGACCTTTTCCTTCCATGAATCTGTTGAGAGATGATGGTCGGCCATGGAAATCGACAGACATACAAGAGACACTTTGCCCGTCGAGATTTTCAGCATTATGCGATAGAAGCATATCGAAGAAACGCCCCTTTAGAATATTCTGTTTGTTATAATAAGTTCTATATCATACTTGATCATTAATTGGAGGGAAGTTATCCGTGTCGAACATTGGCTGGAAGCACATTTCCATTTGAGAAATCCATGAAATGTGAATTTTTGTTTTAATTATAACATCTTCATCAAATGTGAATCTTTTGAAAACTTGTAGCGAACGGCGAAGAACTTCCATTCCCGTTTTTTGAGTGAACTCATCCATTGTGATTCCACGAGTATCTAGAATATCGCGCCATTTCTAAAAAAATTTCCTTCATTTTTTGTATGACAATATTAAATGGAAACCTTAAACGTTTTTCTTTTTCCGGCAAGTCTCGGGGCATTTTTGAAGCCAAACATGGAACGAGCTGAGCCGTGAGCGGTAGTTTCTCGTTCAATACTACTATGTGTAGCTATCATGTCGTAAGCTTCCATAACTAAGCGGTAATCCCATGGTGTCCCCATGAAGCCGTCGTGATCGGTCATATTGGCGAGGCTTTCATCCACAATCATGTCCCATTCGTCAACTGGAGCTGAGAGATTGAGCTTGAAATGGGACCATGCTTGTTGTCGGGACATGCAGAACGTTATGTTCGGCATTGTCATTGTTTCGTTAAAAACAATATTAATATCAGATTCTTTCGGATATTCGAAATACTCTTTGAACTGAAATTGATTTCGATTTTTTTTCGATAAAATTATGAATCTTACCAAATCGATAACGTCCTTTATAGTGAGGATTGCGAGAAATGAGACAATGAATATGAAGGCGTATTTTCGAGCTCTTCGTCCAAATACTGCATCCGAACATGATTTTGGTTTGTCTTCATCTCGATTCTCAGGCATTTCAACGGCTGTAGCGTCGCCAACTTTAGCGCCACCCATCCTTAAAATTCAAAGAGTGAATAAATATAAACGAACCGAATTTCATTTATGAATATTTATCTACCGTAATCGGTGACCCACTCAAATAGTGCTAATTTGGTAGGCAATAACATTAAAAAGTTAAGTAGATAGACTTGATGAATCAACATAAAATTAAAAATTGTTTTTAGTGTTTTTGACTAATGAAAAAGAAAGAAAACAGAAACAGTTGGTAGTTAAGTGGAATTCAACGCGAAGGAAGGACGGTAATTCGAATTATTGCGGAAAATAGGTTCGTGATCTGTTTTTCATTTGAAGTCACGCCTTCTTTTTCTACTGTACTCGCCGTCGTCTCTAACATCGTCTCTAATGAATTTGAAATTTTCCCAACTGGTAAAGATGGTTGATGGTAGAATTGCCTTCTGGAGAGAAGGTTTGCTGATAGCACAGTAAATCAATGGAGAAAAGGATTGCAAGCAATTGTATTATTTGGATTCTTTCTTTTTTCTATGAAGATGGAAAAATATTTGTACTTAACCTGTATATTTGTGGCGCTGTTTAATAAATCTAAGCGTTTTTAAATGTAAAAATCGAACTTAAAAATTAATTCAGTTTTTATTTTTACTCCCTTCTGCATAGACTGATGATCTCTCTCTCTCTCTCATTCTATTTTATGCAACTAAAGTATTGATAAGACATCGACGATGACCTTTAATTGAAAAGAAGATTCATTTTAATGAGTTTATCGGTCTCTTGGAATTTTGAAATGAAAAAATGACTGTGTTTAATTGAATGACAGTGTTTGAGAAGTTAAATTGAGACTAATTTATGGGACAAATCAAAAATGAGTGAAGTCATCGATTGACCCTTAAACATTTACGGATTCGATTGTTTATGGTAAATGGTGGTGAAGTGTTAAATATTTCAAGTATTTGATCAGATCAAACAAGTTGAAATAATGAATTCGTCAAACAAAAATAAAAGATCTTAATTACTTCCATTGAGTTAAACATCATTTTTGGAATTTATTTTAAGCATTCAAAAGCAGATATGGCAAATTGTTTAAATGGAAAAATGCGCATGGCCAACACAGACACTTCCAGCAATAGTTCTATGGCTCAAAATTTGAATTTCAAAATAACGAAAATTATCAAAAAATATTACGAGTCGTATCTTCAAAATTTAATGGAAAATCTCGGAAAAAAAGAAATGAATACTGTTGTTATTTACAGCCCAACACAGAATTTGTCAGCAGTTCTAGCGGATCCGAATCGGTCTCGTAGTGAGACAAGCTCATTTTTCACTCGTCATTGGGGCGATCAATTTGTTCCTGTGACCACAATTCCACCTTCTAAACACCTCAAACGTGTATCGAGCAAAAACATCGAAAAGTACAGTAAAACTACGGGCGAGGTTAGTTCATATTATTCTTTCTCTTATTTTTGCTCAAAATAGATTTTTTTAATTATTAATATTTGGGATTAAAGAAATTATCTTTTTCTTTCTCCTGTCTGTCATTATCAAATCGAATTGAGTTGATAAAGTCGAACTGTACGTGATCGGAATTCAACTAACTGTTTTCCCATTTTTTCTCGTCCAATGGCTAATGATGCCCGTTCATCAATTAAAGAAAATTAACGACGGAAAACATGAATCGAATTGGACTGATTTCAGTTATATCAACGATATCGGTCAATTCGGAGAGCTTTGAGGATAAGTTACGGTGACGGTGGAGCTTTTGGCGATGAGAAGCAAGATGCCGATGATCTTCCTACGGTATGTTTCAAATTATTTATTTTTTATATAGTAAATATTTGGGAAATATTATCAGTGATCATTTTAATCGTCAAATGACAGAGAACGTTCTGAACGGACAGTATTTTAACCTTGAATTCCCATTTAAAACAGAGAAAAGATTTCCTATTTTCAAAATGTTTTCGAAATACTTACATTATTCGTCTTCGTTTTTGTTCTTCTTGATGAGCCCGCTCATCGTCATATATGGTTTTTCCGAGTGCGACAATCATTGTGAAGGCAGACCGCTTAATTTGTGTCTCGACTGGAATGTGTGCACATAATTGAATTGAAGTCGGTTAATATAGGAGTTTGGCATGGGCGTCAATCGGCCCAAATTTGGAATTGGTGTTAAACTAGTTTCAAGACGGAATATCAATTTCGGTAGATGTCAGCGACGCAATAGTAAGAACACCCTCACCAAAATATCAAGCAATGAATTGAGTGATACAACTCTCCGAGCTCTGCGATCTTCTTGCTCTTCATCTCACGTTTCTTTTTTGTGGTGTGTGTTTGTGTGTGCTGCAGCAGCTATACAACACACACACATATACGATAAAGGGAAGTAGTCGCTGATCTGGTGGGTTTAATGGGCGAATAAAAGTGAGAATACGACTAAATGGTTATGGGTGATAATTATTGAAATATGCTCTTCGCGGTTATTCACAGAGGAATGATTTTTTGCATTATTGCTATAGTCTCATGATATTTTCTCGAATTTTGAGAGAAGAATAAATTTGCAGAAACGTATATGATTTGGAATGTGATTGGAGTAAAAAAAATGAAATTCCAACATCAATGTTGTCTATTTAAGTATATCAACCGCTAATTTTTCGAAATTGACAATATTATTTTTTATTTAGAATTCTCTTCAATTTGGGCTGTTTTCGTCTCGTTTTTGACTTCATTGTTGATACTTGATTGTGAGTACCAGTTTTCGCCAGTTACTTAAAAAATCAGACGATCATTGCTTCTTTTAGCCCATTGATCGGGCATAGCCAAAATAGTCTGTAATTTGAAGATGCGTCAGTTGGTTTCTCGGTATGTGATCCGATCTGATCAGTATAGTCGTTGATTTTAACGTTCGTGTTTTTTGTGGCTCAAAACTAGGTGAGGGTGGATGAAGCAGCTGACGACAATTGTGTTGTCTTGTTCTTTGGTGACGATGAATGGGCAATTCGAACAGAAAAAGTGCATTACTCAACTGATATTTATTTAAATATGGAAACCGTATGTAGTACCAAATATGCTTCATGTGTTTTCTATTAAATAAAAAAATCAAATTAATTTAATTGCGAAACTGATAATATTGTCGTTAACAGACGAATTAAAAGAGATGATGCTTATGAACTTTAACACCTCGCAATCATTTTCGATTTGATTTTGAATGAAATTCATTGAAAACTACGGTAGATATCAAAGGATTACAGAAGAATATTTTTATATCAGGTTGAACTCGAAATTGAAAAAGCGTTGTATAATTCAAATTTTTCAAAAGCGACAGTATTCGTAAAATCATGTCTTGCTGATTTTTTTAAACTCGTATTTTTGCTAATGGTATTAAAGTTTTAATAAAAAAATTTAAACAAAACTTGTTGAAAGTAGTATTTTGTTGTTGAAAGTAGTAGATCTGCTGTGAATTTTTACAGTTTTTCGCAATCTACATTGTCCCTTCATCTCAGTCGAAAATTTGACTATTTTCAGATATTTATCGATCCGAGATTTTCCCTATCAGATCCGAGTACATTTTCGACCGTTTTTACGATACCATCAAATGAAAATGCAGACGCTCTCCGACGGACTTTGTCTGGCAGAAATGTTGTTCCGGCAACTCCTGCTGAAGTCTCTGCAAATTTGGTTAAAAATTATGGAGAAAAAATAAATATAAATCAATTTTTCCAGAAGCCTGGTCAGTTTCGAGATTATGATTCACTACATGGTAGACTCGAGATGATGCATGACGTGGTCGACGGAAGGCTTGCGGCAAAGCTTGTTTCAAAAACAGACGACTTTTGGCAAGTTGTTCGAAGTTATAGTGGATTGCAAGAACAGCTCGCAGTAGCAATGAAAAGTGTCAAGAATGTTAGGTAATAAATCTATAAATATTGGTTTTTATAAAAATAAAAATGAAACTATTTTTTCCAGGTCGAGCTTAAAACAAGTCGATGAGCTGATTTGTGAGCAGTCGAAGAAAATCGTCCAAATTCATGAAAAGAATGAGCAAAAGAAGAAACTTCTAACAAAGCTAAATGTCAGTTTGCGAATGGTTCGAATCGTCCAAAACATTTTTTTGAGGATATTGCATGTCTTCGTGAGGCGCAATCCACTGTACAAATGATGTTATCTCAAGGAGATTATCCAAAAGCCATAGAATGTATAGAAACTAGTTTGGAAGTGCTTTCTGGTGTTCTTAACGGAGTTACATGTTTTAGGTTAAACAATCAGTTAAATGTATTTTGTGTGAGTTTCATTGTTTCAGACATTTATCTTCTCAACTTCGAGAACTTTACGATGTTATTGGACGAATGATGAATGAAGATTTTGCCACGACCATTCAGAGGGAGCTCGGAATGAAGCCTGATTCTGGAAATCTTATTCAGGCGGAAGTATATTTTTTGTTTCATTCTTCACAATGTCCTCATTTCACGTTTTTAGGGTGAACTTTCTGCTGTTTTACTTGGTCTTATGCGTATGCGAAAATACGCATTCATTGGTGTTCTTCGCGAGGAAATTCGAGAAGGCGTCAACAAAGTTATGCGTCAAGTCGTCAAGACATCGGTTCTCAAGAGTGGTGTCGATTTGAGCGATTTCGATCCAAGTTTGAGGTGATGAACACATTTCACTCAATTACAGTTCAATTTGCATTTTTACAGTAAACTGAGCGAACCGGTTCGTCGAATGAAACATCAACAATTTGTCGAAGCGATCAACACAGTTATGAGAGAATGTTACGAGTTTTGTGTTCGTCTTGAGGTTCATTCAACGAATTGAAAATTAATTATGTGGATTGTTTGAAGGCTATTCAAGAACTAATGCTAGAAATTGCGGATCGAGCGCATCCTCCAACTGAAGCTACCAGTGATATGGTAGAAACGATCAAAGACGCTCATTTTAACGATGAATCTGGAAGCGAAGATACTTCAGATGACTCGGATCCATTGAATACTTCAATACACTCAAATGTTAGTGCCCCGACAAGCACGTCAAATGCATCGGCGACGACTTTAATGTCTATTGAAGTGAGGTCGGAAGCCTTTCTGCGAAAGGTTCTTCATCTGATTGCCGAATACGGTCATCAATGTACACAGCATATTATTGCCAAGCTTCTGATTGCAAGAGCAAAAGTATGATGCTATTTTCTTGGTGTTACATAATCCGAATTCGTTTAAGAACGCGGTTCTCACAGAATCAACAACACCAACTCAACTTTGTGAATTATTGTCATTAGTCAGTACGTATCAAAAAAGGTGTGAGCGATGGTCATCAACACAGGTTTCTATTATTGCAAAAATGTTATTATTTTTTATTTGTATATTTAGAGCTTCAAAGCTGGCCATTTGAGCAAGGCTGTCAACAAGCTTTCAATGGATTACATTGAGAAATTTCACGCATCCCGAAAAATTCGCATTGGGTAAAACAATGTTGAAGTTTTCATTAAATTTAGCTTATCTTTTTTAGAAATATGCTTGATACGGAATTGTGGAAAGCTGTTGAAATTAGCCAAAACGATCAGCGAATGATTGACATGTCTTTAGAAAATTTTGAGCTTCGCAATTTTCATAATAATTTGAGTTCGGGTGAATCAACACCAAAGGTGGAAAAATTGAACCGATCAGAAAGCTCATCCACGATAAGTACCCAGGTTTAATATAGATTCAAATTGATTTCGAATTGACTTATTTTCAGGCAAGCAGTCCGAGTTCGGGGTTAATGATTGGTGAGGAAAACTACGTGGTTGTTGGGTAAATTTCAATTAATCAAATTCTTGTTTCTATTCAAATTTAGATCTTGCGTTGCCATGATTAAAATTCTTGCCGACTACTGTGAAGCGGTCTCCCAGATGCCACATTTTGCCCAGGATTGGAATTCTCGAATAATTGAGCTGCTCAAGACCTACAACAGTCGGTGTTGTCAACTGATTTTAGGCGCTGGCGCTCTCCAGCTTGTTGGTCTGAAAACGATATCGGTTAGAAATCTAGGTATGCTTTCCTAAGCATATTTGCTTTTATTTATGTGAATTTGTAATTTCAGCGCTCGCCGCGCGATCCCTTGAATTGGTTATTCGTTTGATTCCAATGATACGCGACGAGATTGATGAAGTTCTTCCTGATGAGAAAAAAAACCTGCTTCGTTATTTCAAACAAGTCGAATGTGAATACAAAGACCATGTGGCTGAAATCACACTCAAGTTGATAAACGTGATCGACCATTATACGGTCAGCTGCCTGCAAACGGTAGATTGACGACGATAAATATCAGACCAAAACTTTTTAATGTTTCAGTGGGAAGTAAGCGGGACGATACCATCGAAAGAATTTCAACAGATTTGTCGACATATGACAAAATTTCATAATGGATTGTTTGGCATTATGCCTAAACGGCAGATTCAGGCACTGTTCGAAAAAGTTCACGAGAACTTCAAGAATAATTTGAAAGAAAGACTCGAAGAAATGAAAATCACGCCACACGATAGTTTGAAATTTGGGTAAATTGAAAATGTTTTGTAAATTTCAGAATATAATAAAATAATTTAGCTATGTCACCAAGGACTACATGTTCTATCAGCAAAATCTGACAATGATGGAAAGTTGTCGATCGATGGAAACCGATTCGCTCAATGATATTTTATTTACAAATTAGATGTTGTATATTCTATTTTGAAACGATTGCTTACTTTTTGTAATTTTGAAATTGTTCAATAATTTATCGGGGCTTTCCTTTATCAACTGTGATTCTGTAATCCGTTTTTGGGTGGTACAAACAAGGCCTTGTGAATAATTTATTGCACCATATTCTATTACGATTGCTTTAATAAAACAGCGAGCTTACGCTCGCTAGAATATTCTGAAATATGATTTCAAACGACAACACTGAAAGTGGCCAATAATTTGAATCGCTTTTTCATCACAATGCCTAGTACTTATACTAATCTGATTTATTTATTTGATTACGTTAAAAATATACAACCATCGGGTTCGGCACAGGAAATAATTATCGTTTGTTGATAAGGTTCAAAAATTCTTCGCGAGTTTTTGGATCGTCTCGGAAGACGCCGAGCATGCAAGATGTTGATGTCGTTGCGTTCAGTTTCTGAACTCCTCTCATCACCATGCACATGTGGCTGAAAAGAAAAATTAGAAGGCAGTTTGATGTATATTAGAAGTTACCTCGCCTCGATGACAACTGCAACACCACTTGGCTGTACAGCCTGAACCATAGCAGTTGCGATTTGTTTCGTTAGTCTTTCTTGTACTGCAAAATTTTCAAAGATATCAATTGTTTTTTAATTGGTTAGGCGGTTCCACTCTCACTTATCTTCAACAGTCATTCTCCAACGAAAAAGCATTTTTTAAAGCGCTTTAGAGGAATAATAAAATATTTAGATTTCGGTATATTTAGAAAAGAACGATCGAAGCTCAATTAAAATGTCTCAACAAGAACTGACCTTGCAATCTTCTGCTGAACATGTCTACGATTCTTGCCAGCTTCGAGAGCCCCAAAACCTTTTTGTTTGGAATATATCCAATGTGAACTTTTCCCAAGAATGGAACCAAATGATGTTCGCATAGCGAAAACATCTCAATATCTTTGACAATCACCATCTCATCGTGATCCTCGTCGAAAACTGCTTCGTTGAGAAGCTCTGAATTCCACTGATACACGATATGTTTTTTTTTCGAATCTAATGTACCATCAAGTTGCTCTTCGTATCCTTTGGTGAAGTACATCATAGCCTTTGCAGCTCTTTCTGGAGTTTTGAGAAGTCCTTGTCGATGAATATCTTCCCCTTAAATATAATAGCTGATTGATGTCGAACTTAAAGGAAACTCTTACCAACGTGTTGAATAATGCTACTGTACGCGTTGCACATTGATTTGAGGTGGTCTTCTTTGCTAGCATCAGGTGTCTTCATGATCTTGTCGTCTTCAGAATGATCGCTGCCATTATCCGACGACATGAAGCCGCTTTCGTTTTCGATTCTTGACATCTTCCGGCTACTGAATGAATACGTAAGTGTGCACGTTTATGGGGTGAATGGATAGACACTCCTCATTTTATACCAGCGATTTAGCAGACATTTCTGTTATCGCCTGATATGACTAGGCTTATCTTATGAAAAAATCGAATACGTTTCTTGGCATGTGTAATTCATCATCAATTAGATGATGACAATTTCGATCATCGCTCTTAATTGAGCCGGACATTACGTAGAATTAGAGAGAAATACGAACACAATTGATAACTTGAAGCGCGAAAGTGATGCAAAGACGACAATCGTATCATAAGCTCTCCAATCTGATTAAAATGATTCCAAGTCGCTGAACCAATTTCATGACAAATAATCATGCACTGTTCTCTATTTCCCTCCTTTTCTCTATTTTTTAAATTTCATTGTGTTTGCAAAGAGACTCTAGCAATATTTTATCAGGGTCAGGCGATTAGTCTATCAAAAATTGATGACACGCAGTATAAGAAGTTGATTGATCAAAGAGTCATGCGAATTTCTTGGTCTAACAACGAAATTTTGCTATTCTGAAACAGCCGATTGGTTTTCTGTTTTCATAGGTGAATGGTTAAACATTATTTTTAAAATAGGCTATTTCGGTCAATAAGGAAACATGACAAAATGAGAATGACGCATTATATAGCCGTGATTGATGCAAATTGCCGAATAACGCAAGAAATATCACCTGAATCAATGACTCAAAGCCCAAAAAAAATCGTGGAAATATGAGACCAATTTTGGACAGCAATCATGAAAAATTCAGGTGCGTGGGTCTCTCTCCAAATTGAGATTTAACGACCGGATGAAATCGGATAGGAATTGAGATTGTGGGCTACAATTTCGAATTTGCACGACCGCCGAGAATGAATGAGAGGAACGCGAGGAATTGCGAAGCATAAAAATGGAACCAAAGCAATCAATCTGAAAATTCCCATAAATGGGAAAACATGCAAATGAGTTTCCGGTGATCCGTCAATCTGGATAAATATAATGTGTATGGAAATTTTTTTTGACGGTGACGTGGAGAAAGAGAAACCATATACATAAGAAGGAAATAGACGACGAATGACGAAAAGACGGCCAGACGCGACTGGCTGTGTTGATTCTGCTGAAGGGGAGGAGGGACTGGAATCGTAAATCACTGACAATGATCTCACGTGGAACCAACCGATCATATCACTAAATACTCTCGCATCTTCACTTATTTTTTTCACAAAAATGCTGACAGATTGCATACCAGACATTTAGAAAAAAAAACGGCGAGAATAGGGCAGATTTCCAAGTAATTATTTCATCACCATTTTAAAAATGCATCTCCAAAAATTGAGTAAATCACGGGAAAATATATTATTAGAAGATGAGAATTTATTTCAAATCACATGGAACTGTTCGCATAGATCTTGCTCAACATTTCGAAGAAGAATAAATGAAAATATGCCAATACACATGTTCCCTTTTTTATATTTCTTCTTTATAAGGATGTTGAATGGTTTCAGTTTTGTGCATCGAACTTGATTAGTGTGAGTTAGTGAAAGGTTTTATTTTTTGTATCAAAACCCACGTTTTCACTTCATAGCATTCAATTTACAAAATGTTTTGGACTGGTCTCTTTATTCGAAATCTAACAATGTCTTGCCTACTCATTATAATAGAGAGGAACTATAAAGAAAACTAGTAAGACTCTCTCTTTGTCTCTTCAAAAATGAAGCAATATAATATTGTTAAATGGAGACAACGCGCAAAATGACACTATCATATTCTTCTAGATTTCTCTTTCACAGTTCGCTATTGAACTTTGTTCACAACAGAATGCCGAACATGTTCGTAAGAATTGGAAGAAAAATGAGAATGAAATAGTGAATTTGAGAATCAAACATTCGCATTCGAAACGGTTTTGGCTATTCAAATCAGATGGTTTTATAAGCATGAGTTTCTTCCAGTTTTTTCATTGCCTATGGAAGGTTTTGATCAGATAATGAAGGCATCGTGTTTGTCGATACAACTAAGATAAACTATTGTCTTACTGTTCAAAAGTAAACAAATAAATAATAAATACGATGTTAGATAGTGTAAAAAGTTTTTCATTTCCGTAACAGGTGAAGGCGAATACATCTTGAACTGAAATAAAACCACACGCTTGGCCTTAGAACACTCTTGAATTAGCTTACTATCTTCCATAATCAAGGATCCGAATACTGCATCAGATACCATCGCACTAAGCTTTATATCATGCATACGTTTTTTGGTTCAGAATAAGACAGATTTATTGAAGGTATGCCTTGACCTTCAAACTGAAACGTTGGATATCATTTTCACCGGCAAGTAGTTTTTTTTAAACAATATTATTTTTTTTTATCACCTTATCGATGTAATTCGATGAAAATTGGTCAAATAGGCCAAAAAACTATCATTGTGTGTTTTCGAAAAGCCTTATTTGTTGTAATTCGCGCTTACAAAAAAAACATCAAAATTTAACTGGTTTTCGTCAATCAAGGGTCCATGTGATACTACCTCAACGGCTACCTCGGGTAATAAGTATTTCTACTCGAGTCAGCTCCTGACAAGAAAAAATAATGCATCTTGACTGGAGACATTTTCCCCGCATGAACACTTCTTCAAGATATAGCGGGTGGCTCAGGCAAATCGAATAAAATATTTTGAGATTCATTGAGAAACTAACGTGTCTCTATAATATTTTAGATTTGTCTCAATTAACTTTAGGAAATCTCATAACATTTTCGAATTTATCGAGATAATTTAGAATTTGCTCAATAAATTTTAGAAAAACTTAACAGATTTAAAAAAAATATTTTTAAGTTTATCGAGTCTCAGTTTTCGAAAGTATCAATAAACTTTAGAATTTCTCAAAATATTTTAGAGTTTATTATTGAATATTTGATTCTCAAAATATTTTATTTGATTTGCTTGAGGGTAAGATTTTTTTCGTAATTTTAACAAAAATTGCTTAAAAATTATTAAAAATACTTTAATTGTTAATTTTGACGGTTTGATTTATCATATAAGAGAACTATTTCACACCTTATATGAGCAATTAAAGTTTTAAATGTTAGATATTCATTATAATTACAATCTCCGCTGGTTGTAGCCATTTTCATGTCTTACATGATTTTCGATTATAATATTATACACAAAGTTTTATTATTCAGCCTCATAACAAATCATTTTTGTGTTAAGAATGAATATGCAAAATGAATGTAGCTTCCAATATGTTAAAATTTTCAATATTGTGCAAAGAATGCGTTTTTTGTAATACATCTTAGGCCATGTCAGCAAAAACGTCTCTTCGAAATTCTTTAGTCGCCGCCTATTCTGATGCAAATCACCATTCGAACGTTTATTATAAAACTCTGTGCTTACGGCATTCTCCATATGCAATGCTTAGCACAGCTCTCTTTGTCGTTTTATTGATCTCCTTTGCTGGCGCACAAAATTGTCCAGCATGCCCGGCGAATGGCATATGGTCGAGTTGGACGAACGTTGGAACGTGCGCTACCACTTGTGGTGCTTGTAGCACCGTTTCTCGAACACGAAAATGCATTTCTGATGAAATCGGATGCCCATGTACTGGTCCGACAGAGTCCGTGGAAGTATGTGGAACACAAGCGTGCAACTTCCCGCGGGTCAGGGCAAACTCCGTGGACTGCTGTCAAGGATCTCCAAAACTCCACGGAAACCTTTATCACTGTGTTCCGCCACCAGAAAAAAATACATTGCCGTGTTGCCCGGCTGGCGGATATTGGACGAATTGGAGCAAATTTACGAAGACACCCAGTCGAATCGAGGTATTACTATTCGAAATTTTGATTAACTTCAAAAATAATTTCAGTGGACAAGAACCAGAAAGTGCTTATCTGCAAACCACGGTTGTCCATGCACTGGCGAATCAATGGAAAGACTCAATAAATGCCCATGCAAGAAGCCATCTGTAGTCCCGTCTTCAGATACTCGTTGTCAAAAACTTGCACAACTTGCTGGCAAATTACCAGTTGATGAAAGTAGAAGACCAGTGATGATAGAAAGACCGTCAAATTGTGAAGCTTATACTGTGTATGAATTCTCAAACTTCCGTCGCCAATTCATTTATAACGGAACCTATGGTAAAGACAAAATGATTGCTATTCAATTAAAAAATATTCGAATTAAGATTCGACGAGAGGAGAGGTTGATGTTTGTTATATCGATGATAAAGGAAATGCAGTGTTTGATTACGAGTCTTACGTGTGGGGAGTGACGGAGAATGGTGCGATCGGAAAAGTTTGGTTCGACTGCAATCTCGACACATTGCACTACTACAGAAGAAACAAGAACCAATTCAAAGATTTCAAATTAACATATATTGCACAGTTTTATAAGCCATAATCAATAAGTCATTTTAATATTTATTCTTTGTTGAGTTGCACTTAGAAAAGAATTAGAGTTCAAACAATGATCGCATGGTCTCGAGACGAGAGATGCGTCTGTGCACATCACACGGATCACACACCGCTAAACAATTCTCCGTAAATATTGGCAATCTTAAATTGTGAAACTCAACTTTAGTATAGACATTACCGTCCGCACGAGGCACCAAAAAGACAAGATGGGTTTATGCAAACACAAATCTTCCGGGTGTAAAATGTTTGAGCAAACACATCCAAGAAACTAGTTGTCACTATTAACTAAGTATACATCAAGTAGTACTATAAAATTGGCGGGTGGAAGTCGAAAGAGAAGCATCAGCAAGTGCAGTCGGTCTAATTCGAAATGTTCGCAAAATTGTAAGTTGTGTGGAAATATGTGTTGGAAATGTTGAGATTTTCAGCATTCTCGCTGCTCTTGTCGCCATCGTTGCCTTATTTGGATGTGGTGAATCTCAATACGTCTATCCAGCTGCTGCTGCTGCTGCTCTTCCTGCTTACTATCCATCCTACTACGGAGCCGCCTATTATGGATACGCAGCACCAGCTTATTATGCTTGGGGATCCAACAAGGGAGCTGCTCCAGCTCCTCGTCAAGCTCCAGTCAAACCAACTTTGACAACAGATAACTAGACGACATCGAACGATCTTTGTACAAATGATAATTGCTTGCCAGAAACAATAATAAATTTGAATATTTCCAATCATTTTCCCTGTGTAAAAATATTTGTAGACTGTTTAGCCTCTGAGCCAGACCAGTTTCGGTGTCAATCGAAATTTTGCATAGAAAATCGAAGATTGTATGGAATATTATTGGCCTTTTGAAAACAATGTTTGAAAATTCAAAGTTCATGTTTAAAAAAATACCAACTGGAGCGATTTGAAAGCTCTGCAGAAAACGCATTGGAGAAGTAATTTCGCGAACTTTGTGGATTCAAAATCAGTCAAAATTCGAAATCCCTTAGCAAAAACACTTTCCTTGTTGGACAAATTATTAAACAAGCTGTTACTAATCATAACAAGCGTGCGTTTGTGCAGACTCTGAGCTGTAATGCGACTCAAAATATTATATAACATTTTCTCGATAGTATTTGCAAAATGAAAAATTTAGTTTCGGACATTGAGTCGATTTCAGCGCGAATCCATGAATAGGTTTTTGTTGGGAAAATTTAAATATCAATGAATATGGTATATAAAACGTCTTGAGAACGATTGAATTCATAGAAATGCAACTCTTTGCTCTCGTCACCATTATTCTCCACCAATCAATATTGGCGTCGGCTGCACTTCCAGAATGCCAGGGCACAGGCAAATGTCCCCCAGAAGGAATTTGGGGTGAATGGACGTATGTCGATGATCCAGTGACATGCAATACTCCCTGTGGATCATGCGATGTTAAAATGCAAACAAGGAAGTGTCTCAGTGATGTTCTAAAATGCCCATGCATGTTCGTTTGTCTTCGAGAAGCTTCTTATTAAAAATTTACTTTCAGTGGAACCAATAGCAGAAAGATTCCATGTAATACCCAAATTTGTAAAGCCCCAGCTCAAAGAACATGTTGTATTCCATATTCCCCACTTCCTATTAATGGTACAATGCAGTGTGGTCCCATCACAACTACAAAAGGCGTTTCGTGCTGCCCAAAAGATGGTTTATGGAGTGAATGGAGTGGTTTTTATAAAGAAGGCAATCAAGTATTTTTTTTTGCTTTTATTTTGATAACAATTGAACTCAGTTGGTTCGAACACGAGACTGCCTATCCCAAAGTTCCGGATGCCCTTGCTCCGGCGAAGACACTCAATATTCCGCAGGTAGCCAAATTAATATTTGGCGATAATTCAGTAAAAACTTTTATTTAGCGTGTCCTTGCAAAATGCCAGATTTTGAGAAGACGTGCGAAAACGATGAAGCAATCTGGTATTCGTATCCAGATTTCGGGGCTTCACTGAGCGATTGTTCTGCTCAAACAATGCTGTTAAGGACTGATATTGAAGGAGATGCATATTGCTCAAAATCACCAAGTGAATTATTCTTTCCATGGTGTTTTTCGAATATTTTTTGTTTCAGTCGACGGCATTAGTCGGGGTGGAATTGTTGTCAGAACTGTCGATGGTAGATGCATTTTCGACAAAATCTTTCCGTGTTTGGACGTGGTTCAACAATTTCGACAATCTTTCACGTGCGATTATGAATCCGGCTACTGGAGATATGATCAAACGGGCGATGAAATTGTCTCGTACAGTCAATTTGCATACAAGGATCCAAATACTTGTTAATATATAATTTGAATAAATGATGTTATTAATATACGAATTATGTGTTACCCATCATAAGAATAATCGAAATAATATGATCACGTGATCTCGTGTTCCACTCAGATTATCGAAGAATATGCCGATAATCAAGTGAATATGCCTATTTCACGTTCTGTTCGACCGTACATCGTTTTTTTGTCATAAACGTTAAAATCTAAATCATGAAAATAATGAATGTAAGTTTATATGAAAAAAAAACTTTCTATGTATGCGTTCCAGTGCTTTCTTATAAATATTTCCAACATCATGTATCATGTTTTTTGGTTTTTTCTTTCCGCAAAACATTATTAAATGAAAAGCTCGTGCAAAGATCGACCGCATTCATTTTAGTTCTATTCGAACAAATCAACTCTAGTTTTTGGTCAACATTTGAATATGAAAAGGAGAATTCTATAAAAGCATACTCCATCGTTTTCATCGCTATTATGCTCGATATGTCGCAATCGTTCCTCTTTGCCGTATTCCTTCTGATATCGTGCAATGTTCAACCCGGATTTTCTGCTCCACCGGCGTGTGCTGCCGGGGTCACATGTCCTCCAGGAGGGTTTTGGAGTGAATGGGCCTACAGCGGAAACGACACGGACTGTGCAACACCGTGTGGCTCCTGCTCCACACGATTACAAACAAGATACTGCCTAAGTGACCATCTGAACTGCAAATGCTCGTATGTTAAAATCACTAAACATAATGCATTAGGTTCAATTCAGTGGGGCTTCTTCGAGAGAAGTGCCATGTAACATGGATGTGTGCATGAGTCCAGCTCAACGATCTTGCTGTATTCCATACGTAGCCATGGCAATCGACGGCAAATTTCAGTGTGGCCCATTTGCTGCAAAAACGGAAGCTCAATGTTGTCCAGTGGGTGGATTGTGGAGTGAATGGTCCTCTTATGGACGAAATGACGCAAGGACGGCGGTAAAATACGAAAAAAAAAACGTTTCACCCCATCAACATCAATTCTAGTACATTCGAACTCGACACTGTCTGTCAGAATCGTCCGGATGTCCATGCAAAGGAGCTGATATCGAGAATAGCACCAGTTCGTTTATTGCTGTGTTTTTCATAATAGATATCATATTTCAGAATGTCCATGCAAGACATTAGCAAATGAGATTACATGTGGTAATAGTGAAATTCAGCCATACAACTATCCAGTGTTTGACATCAACGACGAAGACTGTGTCGGTGAAGCAATGTTCGAAAGAAGTGATGCCACCGGAATTGCATATTGCTCAAAAAGTATTTTTTTTCAATAATGATGATTTCACATCACATTTTTTTTAGTAAACGGCACGTTGTTAGCAGCATATGCGTTTAAAACTCCTGATGGAAAATGTCTCTACGATCATGCTCATCTATGCGTTTTTTACTCATCTCGGTACCGACAAATATTCACTTGCGATTTGGACACATTGGAGTGGAGATACGACCATACTTCCGATCATATAACTTCATATAATCAATATATTTACCGCAATCCGGATCTTTGTTAATGATAAATTACTCTGTATGACGTTTTTATTGTTTAAATTCAAAAATCGTTGGCAAGAAATTAATATTTGATATCGTTCGATGTCGTCTAGTTATCTGTTGTCAAAGTTGGTTTGACTGGAGCTTGACGAAGAGCTGGAGCAGCTCCCTTGTTGGATCCCCAAGCATAATAAGCTGGTGCTGCGTATCCATAATAGGCGGCTCCGTAGTAGGATGGATAGTAAGCAGGAAGAGCAGCAGCAGCAGCTGGATAGACGTATTGAGATTCACCACATCCAAATAAGGCAACGATGGCGACAAGTGCAGCGAGAATGCTGAAAATCTCAACATTTCCAACTGATATTTCCACACAACTTACAATTTTGCGAACATTTCGAATTAGACCGACTGCACTTGCTGATGCTTCTCTTTCGACTTCCACCCGCCAATTTTATAGTACTACTTGATGTATACTTAGTTAATAGTGACAACTAGTTTCTTGGATGTGTTTGCTCAAACATTTTACACACGAACAAAATAAATTGTTTTCGATCAAATTTTCAATTACATTCATAACTGGAGCAAAAAAAGAAAAAAACAACAAAAAGAGGTAAATCTCAAAGCATAAAAAAGAAAAAATAATATTTTTCTATTTTTCTTTTCTTAATATACGGATAAATCTCCAATGAATAAATTAGCATTTGGAATCAGCGCCATTCTTTGAAATTGTTAGAATTCCTCGATATACGTCCTATCAGAAAACCCAGGATGTTTCAATTATTACACTAACCTTTTTTTCTCCTATTTTTTGTGCATTAATACCATTAATTTTCCTTTAATGATGAGTATACTGTACATGTGTTTTAGTGTTATCTCTTGCTCTAGTATCGTTATTTTTTATTTTAAAAATGTGTTTCTCCACGATTAATGTAACACAAATAACCCTGAACTTGACGATTAAAAAAACCAAACTGAATGTTTTCAATAATATTGGTAAAACTAACTTTCCATTACTTTGGTTTCAAAAACGTTTATCTAAATTCGCTCGATGATCGATGACACAACTCAGCATTAATTTCTGATCAGTACAATCAAGCAAAAAACATCTGCCAACTTCGTCTCGCCGCAGTTTTTATTACTATTTTATGTTGGAAATGACAATCGAAGAATACTTTATTAAAAATTATTCAAACTGTCCGCCAGGAAATTATTTCGATTCATCTCTTTTTTTATCTACCGCATGTTTCTACACATCGTTCATAGTTATACCCATCAATGTTTACGGGACATTCTTGATAATATACAAAACACCGTCGAAAATGATATCAGTGAAATGGGTTCTGCTTCATCTACATATTTGGTGTTCCTTAAGTGATATTATGTTCCAAAAACTAGTTGTTCCTTATGTATTTTTTCCGGTTGTCAGCGGATTTGGTGCTGGAATTCTATCTAAATTTGGTGTGGGACATATGGTCCAAGGCTATTTGAGCTCTACGGCTCTGACGGGAATAGGAATATCATTCGCATTTCTATTTGAGAATCGACAACGCAACTTGATAAAACATAGTCGGTTGCGGATGGGCAAGAAACGAACAAGATATGCATTTTATGCAGTCAATTATATCTATTTATTCACAAGTATGTTGCCATTTATTCTGATTCCATTAGCAGATCTCGAAACAGAAATGCTGAAAGTTGTCAAGGTATCATCGAATTTAAACAGAAATAAATCTCTAAAATTTTCCGGTTATGCCTTGTCCTCCGTTGGAATTCTTCACAAAACATATCGAAATTCCGGCAATGGAATCATCAACCTTATTTGGTATTTCATTTCTAATCTCGGTCATAATCACGTTCTCTGAAACTGCATTTTATTTGGTCCACTGCTATTTTCATTTGTCTAAAAATGATTCAAAAATGTCAGCAAAGACTAGAGAACTTCAGAAGAAATTTCTATTCGCCGTATATTTGCAGGTATCAGTATTAAATTGATTAATATCGAACAATTTTCAAGGTATCCACACCGACAACTATTTGCACAGTGCCTATCATTTATTTTGTCATCTCAATTATGTTTGAATACCACAATCAAGGTGAAATCATTATTAAAGACGTTCACATATTTAATTTCAGCTTTGAACAATATCGCCTATTTTGTTATTTCCTTACACGGATTATTGGATACAATCTGCATGATTTCTCTACATTCAGCTTATCGCGATTTTACAAAATCAGTCATATTCGATCCAAAACAACTACTTCGAAAATCTGTCACTCCCGCAACGTCTTTTTTTGTAGACAATAGTAGAGCGACTTCAAAAATTTGAACTATTGCTATTGCCGAAGACAGAATATTGATACATATGTTTGTTTTGATTTTTTGTCGCCATTTGTAAGTGCATGGATGTCACAAATTATTAATAATACGTACATATTTATTTATTCTTTTTTGGCAAGAAATTAATATTTGATCGTTCGATGTCGTCTAGTTATCCGTTGTCAAAGTTGGTTTGACTAGAGCTTGACGAGGAGCTGGAGCAGCTCCCTTGTTGGATCCCCAAGCATAATAAGCTGGTGCTGCGTATCCATAATAGGCGGCTCCGTAGTAGGATGGATAGTAAGCAGGAAGAGCAGCAGCAGCAGCTGGATAGACGTATTGAGATTCACCACATCCAAATAAGGCAACGATGGCGACAAGAGCAGCGAGAATGCTGAAAATCTCAACATTTCCAACTGATATTTCCACACAACTTACAATTTTGCGAACATTTCGAATTAGACCAACTGCACTTGCTGATGCTTCTCTTTCGACTCCCACCCGCCACTTTTATAGTACTACTTGATGTATGCTCAGTTATTTTCGATGACAGGTTTCAGATTTATTTGCTCAAACATTTTACACCCGAACAAAATTTATTTGTATAAACCTATCTGGTTTTATATTAGAGAGTCAATGTAGCTACAATGCAAAAAAATAGTAGCACACATAACAGTAGTATAAAAGTATTGAATGGAAGTCGAAAGAGAAGCATCAGCAAGTGCAGTTGGTCTAATTCGAAATGTTCGCAAAATTGTAAGTTGTGTGGAAATATCAGTTGGAAATGTTGAGATTTTCAGCATTCTCGCTGCTCTTGTCGCCATCGTTGCCTTATTTGGATGTGGTGAATCTCAATACGTCTATCCAGCTGCTGCTGCTGCTGCTCTTCCTGCTTACTATCCATCATACTACGGAGCCGCCTATTATGGATACGCAGCACCAGCTTATTATGCTTGGGGATCCAACAAGGGAGCTGCTCCAGCTCCTCGTCAAGCTCCAGTCAAACCAACTTTGACAACAGATAACTAGACGACATCGAACGATCTTTGTACAAATGATAATTGCTTGCCAGAAAAGAATGTATAAATCGATTAGAATATATCGTAATAATTTTGTTTCTGTAAATATTTTGACTTGATGGTTAAAAAATTTAAAAAAAATTAAAAAACTAATTTATTAAGTGACACTGACATACATATTTCAATTCAATTCAAACTATTAACTTAAGATAGGTGAATCGTCGACAGCTGATTGATCTTTTCTATCTCTTTCAGGACATTTACAGTACGTTGCATCTTCTCCCGGTAAACCTTGAGGCCCTGGTGGTCCAACGGGGCCCTGTTGTCCAGCTATTCCTCGTAATCCAAACATTCCTTCATATCCTGGGATTCCAGGTGGTCCCGGTAATCCAGGTTTTCCTTTAGATCCTGGATGGCCTTCGTTTCCAGCTGGTCCAACAGCACCCTTGAATTAAAACTTTCAATTTGAGAAGATGTTCTAATTGAATACCTTGACACCATTTCTTGGTATATATTTAACACCATCAATTCCATTCACACCTCGTTCTCCGACAATTCCATCTTCGCCAGGAGGTCCAGGAGGACCGATATCGCCAGGATATCCGGGCATTCCATTCTTTCCAGGTTTTCCTGGAATTCCTCGGGGACCACGCAAACCTCTTTTTCCTCGCGGACCTTCTGGTCCTTGATCTCCCGGCGGGCCTCTTGGGCATGTGAACGGTGCTTTTGTTGGCTTAGCTGGCTCACTTGGATGTGCATCAAATCCATCGTATCCATCCACTCCATCAATTCCGTCTTCACCATCTGGTCCTTGTTCTCCTGGAGGACCTGCAGGTCCTTCGGGACAAGTTGATTCGTGATTAAAGCATGCGCAAAGGGGTCCTGCCAGAGGTATTATTGGTTCTCGAACGACAAGTTTCAAATCTTCATCAGGATTTTCTCCAGACCCTTCTTGAATGAAGTCACTTACTTTGACAGAAGCTTCTGTAACAAAAATCATTTTGATTACATATAAAAAACCTTACGATATCCTGAATAATCACTAGCCCTCTTTTCAATTTCTCTTTTTATTCGTTCAATTCTAGCGATATCGTTTCGAATTTCGAGCATGGATGACCAAATCGAATCTGTGTTCGTCTGAATATGAAATTATTAAATACAGCGTTTATTTTTCGCAAACCTCACCTTCAGATTATATAACTCCTCGTCTAATTCTGAAAACATTGCACCAACATCATTAAAAATGTAAGCCACAGCTGTTAATGATAAAAGAAATGTTGTAAGAGATGCCAGCAGAGAAATCTGGAGGAACAACGACGAGGTCATTGCCTGGAAAATGAAAATGAGGGAAAATAGATGCTAATTGAATTAGTGTGTCATCTCGTCTAGTAATAACGAGTAAAGTAATTAGAATAGACCACATCTGCGAAGTCCGACAAGAATTCCTTTTTATATAAGATCTTAACTCTCGCTGGATTCAAAAACGAGGTTAACAACTAATAAACATGAACAAAAACTTGAAACAACAATTGATACGGTGCGATACTATCGCTCGTAAAAAATTCATCGTGATTTCTAGTCGAAGTCGACACATTTTATGACGACAGTAAGAACAAATCCGTTTATTTGTGAAAGAACCCGATAAGGACATAAAAAATGTCATCGTAGATCGTTTAGCTTTTCGAAAGTACTCGAAATTGCACGGCGAACTTCGTTCAAATTGATTTCCATGAAATGCGCATAGAGGCAGAAACAAATTAGACCCAATAAAATTAATTTGTAGAATTTTCGAATCATATTACTAGGTGATTTGATCTCCGGTGCAAGCCTGAAAAATGTTTATTCATCCGAAGAAGTAAATTTGGAATCTCTAACCACATAGTGGAATACAATTGGATAGGGCTCAGAATCAACGAGAAAACTGTTCCGACAAAGCAGATCACGTTAAAAGGCATCGAAAAATCGGGCACCGGAAGAGCAATGAGAATCGCATTTGCATGAATGGTGTATCTGAACAACAACATTATTTGGACAAAATAAAAGAATAAAAATGCACATAGTTTTTGAGTTTTCCACTAAAACAACAGCTGCTGGAATATGCATTCCGTGGTTTGCATCAGGTGGATACTCTTCCCGTCTAAAATTATCGAAGAAAAATTAAATAATGTTAAGACAATGGATATACCTTAACAGTAATTTCTCAAATGGAATAATTATTTCGCAAAGTGCACCTTTTGGAAGAAGGAGTTGGTACTGAAGAAGAACTGGACTTTTGGAATTTCGAGATGTTTTGAATATTTTGTCTTTTACTACCAAATCCTGTAATTTGCATCGTCAATTTTGATCATAAAATAAATTTCTTACATTTTTATTGCATTTAATTTCTATTTTAGAAAATCGAATTTTCACAAAATACGGAATAAGTTGAGAAATTTGTACTTCCGCTTGCTCTTCAGGTCCATTTTGCACTGACAATTTCAGTATTCCCGAGTGCTGATCAAAACCACCTTGCGAAGACCATGCTTGTATCAAATTCGATGTATTTAACAAATTTAGTTTTTCTACATCAATCTCCACATCAAATGGATTAGTAGGAGTAATCTCAATTTTAGAAAGATCGAAAGTAGAAGACCGAGTTTCCCTTGATGTAGGATTTGGACGAACCGAAACCTTATTCTGAATAAACTTTTACGTATAACAGATTGCAGATTGCGTTCCTACTTCATTATATTTCACCTCAATTTTGCTCGAACTTGCTGCATTGCAAATCGAATTCAGTTTTCTGCCGAACATACTTGAAAGTATCCAAGTGGTGGCTTAAAAAATATAAAAAATGTTAAATGCACATATTTTATCATCGTAAAAAAGCGAGAGCCTATAATGATTTGCCGATCGTATTTAGTCGGACCGAAAATTCAAATGTTGAAATAAACAATGGGAATTACTGTATTCTATGTACTATGAACCAGGGCTGTGCGGCAATCGGAAATTTCGGCAATTCGGCAATTCGGCAAATTGCCGAAAATCAAAATTTCGGCAATCCGGCAATTCGGCAATTTGCCGATCGAACGTTCTCTTCGGCAATTCGGCAATTCGGCAATTTGAAAAATCGGCAATTTCGGCAATTTCGGCAATCGGCAATTCCATTGCCGCACAGCCCTGCTATGAACTCTGTTTCTAAAACCTATGTAGACAGGAGCGTTGCGACCGCGGTGTCTACAAGTGATCGTACATTCTGTGGGGACCGGAATCGATCATCACAAACTCTTAAATGAATAAGTTCTCGTGAAAAAAACAAGAGTGCGAAAAAAAACAAACCGCAACGATACTGTCAACATTGCAAAAAAAATGATTTTTGAGTAGCAGCCTATAATATTATTTTCTTACGTTTATTACTAATTTGTCGAGAAACCGCACTAACTCCAACTTCCATATTCATGTGACACCTTGTGGAACTCTGAATAGAAAATTTTTTGAATAGTGACATTCCTTTTACAAACCCTTTCGCAATTATTTTCAACTACGATGTATGAATTATGATATAAAACATCATATAGTTTAGAAGGATGCAATGAAGTAGAAAGTCCATTCTGAAATGAGATATTTAAGAAAAATTCAAATATTTACGAAACTACCTCTTGACATGCTAACAATTTTCGGAGTCTTGTGAGGTTTTCTGTACATGTTGTTTCTCCGCTAACTATTCCGTACCTATAGTATTAATATTAGCAGTTATGGCGAGAAAACCATTTACCTAGTATACACGTTATGATTTTTTGATACTGATGAGAATAATGAAAGTTCAGGAGAAGTAAGCACTGGGAAATGTGAAATTGAGGTGCACAGAATACCATTCAACGCTTCCACGATCGTTTTCACTTTCGTATCGGCTCTATTAATGAATATATTGAAAAATCCAAAGTCAAAAACCAATAAACTTACTCATTATCGTTTTTAGCATTGAATTGTAATAAAACTTGAGCGCCAGGAACTGAAGAAGGTTGTGGAGGAACACCTTAGAAGGAGTTTTTTTTGAGATAATTGCAAATTAAAATGCAATTTTACCCCAGTCTTTAACTCTCCATCTTCCCTGCCCCATTGTAACCATCATGTGTCTAATTGAATACTTATCGACAAGATCTTGAATAATTCGAGGAAACAATAGAAAATCATTAGTTCCTAAATTATTCAACATTTTATAAATTTCACATAATAATTTTTTTTATTAAAAATTACCATTTTTGTAATAACTTCTTTTCATGTTAAAACGAAAATCAGCTTGAAGTTTATCCATTCCATGAGGAGTTATAACTAAATTCTCATGATATTCCTCTTCCAGACAGACGATTTTTGAAATCCATAGAAATATTAGAAACATCCATCTCATGCTAAAAACCGAAAAGTGAATTCTCAATCAAATTTGATCAAACAAGGTATGAAACAAGTCTAAACTACATTCTTATATTCAAAATAAATTCAATTGTGTAATTTAACTTTATTTAGTGATCTACACGGCATGCTATACAATTATATCATCTTGGAAAAAAAACGAGCAGTTTAAGGCAAAAATACGAGTTGTGGTAAACGGGATGTGGGACGAGAAGAACTAGGCACATTCAAGCAGGATACAAGAACAATTAGACGACAAATCTTTAAAAGAAACACGTATGAATGAATGAACATACGAAAAAAGATTATAATTTACTAACAAATTATCGAAGAAAAATTAGTTTGAGCTTTCTGCTTCTGAGCTCGATTCAAGAAAACGATTTGGATAGAACAAAAGACCTTCTATTGAGTCATCGCGACATATTAGACCTTTTTCTTCAGCAGCAAGAAGTCTGGAAATTGAATTATTGTGCTGTTATCAAAAGCATTTTAAACCGTTCTCTAGCCAAAACCACAGTAATTCCTAAATTTTCGGCAAGATCGTTTGCAGATGCTCGTCCTAAAGCTGCCACCAATTCAAGCGTTTGTTCAACAGTGCTTTCAACCGATGCATCTTTTAGTTGGACGACAAAAACTCCCGATGGGAATCGATGTAATCTACGAATTGGTATTAGAGCACGTTTCACCGATAAATCACTCACTCTAACGGCGAATCTATCCGTTTAAGAGCCTCGCATGCGTTCATCACATCTTCCGGGGAGAGCAATTCCATGCCTCGGGCGCGATTAATACGGCAATAAACTTCGGGAAGTGCGATCATTCCTCCATGCTCCTAGAATAATGGATATATATTTTAATGAATATATATCTGGGTGAATAAATGAAAAATTTAGTTTTACCTTTATAGTTGGTAATAGCGTATCGTTAATTTCTTTCGCCAACAATTGATAATATTCAGAATCGGATCCACCAAACGTTGATTTTGTTACTGGGTCCGAAACTCCAAGAGATAACAGATAAGACTTGAATGCGATTGTTTCGTCTTCGCTAATCTCTCCTTTCCTAGTCCGAACTTTCTCGGAAATACTTTTAGAAAGATTGACCATTTCCCTTGCCGTCTCCATTAGTTTCGACATGTCGTCGAAAGCCTGAACATATATTCAGTCGTGAGAAATACTGATCCAATTGTATACTTGAGTTATGGTTTCATGAGTTTTCTGGTGATTTTCAGCAAGTCTTCGTTCAATGCCCGAAATTCCAACGGCTCTCAAGTTTCCGCTGGCGCGTGAACAGCCTGAACTCGAACTCGAACTTGATCTTTGCCACGTTTTCCGTCTGATCGCGTCTTCATATTTTTTAAAAAACTGAAGAAAAACAAAAATACGAATTTTAAGTAACAGAATTTACGTCATCTTCTCCTCCATGTCTGAAAACGAACCGGATCGTGTCGTATTGGCTTGAGTTCACCGGTCCAACTTGATTGCCTTTCGGCTTGTCAAGTTTTACAACAATTTTTCCTCCTTTACTAAACATTGATTTGTGATGTTTCTCCATAGATAGAACTAAAGAATGATGAAGCACTAGTCGACGATCCTAAATTTTCTTTTAAATGGTAATATCGATAAAATCGTTACCGGATCACTAGAATCGGCCCAGATTATTCGCTGAAGGGTTAATGACGCTGTTCCCTGCTCGAATTGTGTCTGAAATTCATATAAATGCTGAACAATTAAATAAAACGTTGACTGGTTACGCACATTTTTTAAATCACCTTCATATATTCCAACATGACCCGCTTGACATAAAAGCTCTTCGGTGCTCTCACCAGGGGTGTACCATGTGAGTCGATTCATAATTAGTAGGAGTTTGACTAAAAAATTATTACAAATGAGCGACACACAAGTGCAAAATTACAAAAAGAACCGATGTGCTAAATGAACACGAAATATCGATGTTCAATGGCCTAATAAATTTCTAGGCCATATCCGAGGCAAGCATATATATTCTTTGTTCAACGCGTTAGTTTCAACAGCAATGTTTCCTTAAAAGAAACTGAAAACTAATTGTAATACATGATAATTTAACTAGAGCTTATGGTTTTGATAAATTAATTATAAATATTAAGTAATTTAACATGTTTTAATAATCAAATATAGATATAGTTTGTGAAAACACTAATTAATGGTTCATCGTTGTGGTAAGGAACACCGCAGTCGAAAATGAAAACTGAATTTGAGATGAATCAGAGTTGGGCGGAATTGAAAATTTGAAAAGCGGAAGCTTGAGCAGAATTGGGGGAAAATGATTGAGAAATTCCGCTTAACTTTGATAGGAAGGCTCAGTATTTTGAATACAACTAAATATTTTCTCAAAATCCGTTTGTATGTTGGGAAAATAAACCAGAGCGTTAAATTAGTAGCGTTATTTTTAAGTCGAATTGATTATATAGCTCCAATTATCGTTGGAAGAAACCTCATTTTAAAAAGTATCTCATAATATATCCCATAAATTATCGGAATTGGTTAAAAGAAAGTATTGTCGAAGCCAAATGACTTCACAAAATTACAAAAATATATTGGCTATGTGTCAATGCGTCTCGAGGCAGCGAGAAATACGCGAAATTGCGTACATTGCATTATAGTGTACGCGCATTTAATATTCAGTCAACGAAAAAATTAAATCTTCACTGATTTCGCGAATTTGATGACCCCGCCTCCCCTCAGTCGTTTGACGCCGACAATATATATTAATATAAATATTGCGAAGGAAAAGGGCATTTGGCACATGAAAGTGTATCGCAAAATCCTTAACGCTGTTGGGGGAAATTTTTAATTCCATGGTTTATCGTAAAATTTTGAAATGTACGTCTAAGACTTCTAATAACAAAAAAAGTTACAACCCACTTTCACTTGCTGCTTGTAATTTTTTAAATTAAATATTTAACGAAAACTATGAATAAGTCAAGAAGGGATTCCTGTTTTTAGTAATAACTTAAAGTGAGCATGAAATTCACCAAAGGTGTTCAAAGAATAGGAATTTTTGGAAATAAAAGTAACAAATAAACTAGAACTTGAAGTAGAAGTAGAAAAAAGTGATGAGAAGAAAAAAAGAGATGAAGCTTGCCTCCACAAGAGCAGCCGCCCGTTTCTCTCCACTGACACAACACAACAAGAGTTTTATATCCATCCTCAGCTCTTTCACCGACAACTCTACTTTTCAGGAAATGTGCCACGTGGCTGAAAAATTCATCGGTGCAGGAGCTCGATGCCGCGAGAGCACCCGTCTCATTTTTTTCCATTTCGTTTTATTTTATTCATTTTGCGCCGATGAGTCGTCTCAATATAACACAAAATGTTGGATAAAAATGGAAAAGAAGAGAGGAAGAGTTTGACCAAAAAATTGAGTGCAATTCATGAAGAGAATTCAAATCTGTTTCGACGACGTTTTGAAGAAAACGACGACAAAGTAAGAAAAAAAAATGAAAATGCGGATTAGAAGGTAAAACTGCTGGCGCCTTTGAGAACCGAATTTAATGAGACCAAGAAAACAACATATTAATATGTATGCATGTTGTGGGACCCATTCCCTAGCTTACATTGAAAACTTCTAGAAGAATTTAAACGAAACAGCAACACCATTTATGTCATGGGTCAAATTGTCATGGGACAAAAAAAATAGTTTAATATTTGAACATTTTGGAGTTCAATGCTTTTTTGTCCTGAATGAGCTTTATATATGACCGAAAAGTGGAATAATATGAAAGCACTATTAATCGAATTGCGGGGATGAAATCATCAACAAAAAACATTTATATGGGCGGCTATTCTAAGAAATCGAATGCAGCAGCTCGCACTTAAACATTGAGCTGGACCAATTTGGCACAACCACATTTCTATTCAAGATGAGCGTAGGCGGCCCACCATTGTAATCAAATAACGAGGAGTAAAAGAAAGTTTGAAAACAAAATAAAGCAACGGCAAAAAAATATTTGATTTGTAACTTGTAACTTACAAAGAGAAATTCATCTCGTTGTGAACTTTAGAAACTAATTCATATCACTGAAACATTATATCTTGAAAACAATACGTGCGAAAAAATAAAAAAAAAACTATTTTTCAAAACTCAAAAACAGAAGTTTATGTTAATAATAGTTTAAACGTTTAGAAGTTTTGTGTTTTATTATTTGTGAGATGAATGTGAAGCCGATTTTTAGTTTATAACGTGAAAATGTATTGTGATCGGAAGCACGTAGATAATAAGAGACCCAGAGTGCCCACTCTTGTTGCTCTGATTGTGAGCATTTTATAGTTGAGGCAGATTCAGCGCTTAACAATATTCAAAAACCCTGGGTTTTTAAAATGAACTTCTCTCGTGTATGTGAAGAAAATATTCATATATTAAGATTTACTTCGCCAATTTTTTCTGAAATAAATTTTTTATATGCAAAGTGATTGATTTTTATTCACAGCGTTTTACAAAATAAGTACATATCACCATCACAAAAAATGAGTTAACAGACCAGAGTATTTTTTTCGGAGAAATTTCGTTTTCAACGGAAATTAGAACACTGTACTACTGATAATCTGCAGATTAAACTCATTGGAATTTACACGAGGTTGTTTTTTGCGATGGTAATAAAATATTACAACGGGTTAGTTGTCCTTGTTTTTTTGTTGGGCGAGCTCTTTCCATTTATTTTTCTGCTCTTTCGACAACGCCCGGAATTTCTGAATACCGAATTTTGCGAAATCTGATATATCTCCATCAAATTCAGAGCGAAGTAAATCTTCTGATGATTCAAACCATAAATCATACGGAGTAAATCTGCAAAAATATATTCATTGAGCATTTATAAAATCGTAGAAAGTTTACAATTTTTTCACTTGGGTTTCCTCTTCTTCAACGGGCGTATTCTCTTTTTCAACTGATTCACCAACAACCGCGACTTTTTTGTTTTTTGGAGTTCCAGTACCAAATTGCAATTTTGCTTGCTTCCGAGCAGGTTGTGCTTTTGCAGAGTTTTGGGTCTCTTCTTCTCTAGTTCTCTTTCTATCTACCGGTGTTTGTTCAAGTTGATCAAAAATTGAAGTATTTAATTGAGAATCATTCGCACATCCTTTCTAAATTTATTAAATTTTTTTAAACAATTTTTTCTATTTTATAACCTTAAATGGATTTCGACCAACTCTTTCCATTGGTAAAACAGTATCGTTTAATGAAAATTGAGATTCAGGTTCGGTCTCGATTGTTGCATTAAAAATAGTTGACTTTTCAAGACAATCATAATCATCATTAGAATCATTAGAATCATCATTTTCTAAGCTTGTCACTATTTTACTTGTAGACCGCTTTGCAGAATCGAAATTCTCAGCAACGCGAGAGCCAATACTTTTTCTTCCAAGTGGAATTCGTGAAACTGGACGAATTTCATTTTCCTCATTGACAACTACTGCACTAATTCGGGAAGGCGTTGGTCGAAACATATCAATTGTTGGTTCAACAGCACGCTCTAAATTCTTCCTTCCAAGCTCGGCAACTTTCTCCGAGAGCATCTGCTTCCGATTTTTGCTAGCATAGTTACAAAACAGTTGAATTCCTTTTGAAGAAGTTACAAGAGATGCAAGTTCCACTGCTCGACCATCGCAATCGCTCCTAAACATAAACTCGTAAGAGCTTTTTCATTTTCATCTCACTTACTTGACAGCGTAAGCAAAAAGTTTAGTCAATGCCGCCAAATGGAATTTTTCAAGTCGCTCTAGAGCATTTCGGTCGCCTTCACGAATAGCATCACATTGTGCTAGCTCATTGAACAAAAGCTCCTGCTCATTCTTCGTTCTCTCATTATCCGGTTGACAATAAGGAAGTGCCCATCCTACACTAGTTGGGGCATTAATACCCGAAACCAATGGGTACTTTGTTCCTCGACAGTAAATGTACCGGAATTCATTCCCTTTCGCATTCTCAACTGCTCCAATCGGAAAAATGCCATCCGACAATGCACGCAAGACACCCTGACTATCAAAAATGGGCATCCATAATGCTGGTGCCGTTAGAACATGAACATTATCTTAAGTATTCATTTTTAAATCCGCGATATAAGACAATAAACATACAAGCGCTATCCATTGTGACAAGTTTTCCTTTTGTAGAATAACTCAGCCATTCAAGTTGTTCACCAGCAGCGACTGGAACATCAATACGATTTCGTGCTCCTGAGCTATTACGATTCATCGGATATCGATACCAATCGCGATTATTCACATAATACTCGGTTACTTCAAACTGAATGTTAATGTTGGTAAAAAATTCATTTCAATTTGGCGAAAATGAACAAACCCTCCACTGTGGTTCTTTTTTTCTATCACTTTCGTAGAATTCACCTCCAATGACGCTGGCAATGGAGATTCGATCTTGAAAGCAAGCAGCTGTCAGTATTGGCCCTGAAGTTGTGATAATAAATAATTCAAACAAAACATTTTTAAACACCAGGATGTGTGAAGATTTGCCGTTGTAGTCCGGTTATTGTAAAGCTTCGCACATTTCTCTTTTTAGTTAACACAACGACCATTTCCTCAGACACAAGAACATCAATAGCACCATCTCCTCTTGGCAATGTGGTCGTCCATCGTTGAGATTCAAACGTTGAAACGGGAATCACGAACAGCTCACTTGTTCCTTTATTTTCTTCTTTCTTGTTATCATCCAAGCAGAGATCATCTATTTTTTCCTGCTGTTTTTCCTTTCTTTTACTCTCAAAACTCGCCAAAGCGACAACATTTAAAGAAATGTCCGCGAGTTCATAGTTAGTTTCGAAATTATCCAGAATAATATCAGCGTGAATTGCTTTATTGTGAAATTCGATCTGAAAAATAATATTTTAATTAAAAATTGAGCTGTTCGAACGTCTAAGACCACAACGATCACAATTCTTTCGACATGGAAAGTACCGTTCGACTGTTTTTTTTTCGCTTCACAATAATATTCCGTTGCATTCATAATGCTAAGCAACTATACTCAACATTAATATATAATGCCAACGGGAATAAGCCAACTACCTTCGGATAACTACACATTAGCACTCACACTGCGCCATGTAACGCACGTCTATTCAAAATTCTATTGCGAAATATACCTCAATGCCACTAGTTTTTGCTTGCTGGTTAACGTAGCTGCGTACCACACCATATTGATTATATTTCTGAAAGAAAAGCACAAATAACACTCTCCGAAGGAAAATTTTGCAATTACCAAATATCGTTGCGACATTTCCATCGGCGAACATCCACACACAAACCTTTCCGGAATTAATTTTCTACGTGGTGCTTCGTACATTGGAAATTCAGTACCATCGCCATTTTTATTGGAAGTAGAAACTGATTCCTTGGTTTCTTGAACGTCTTCAGCTCCTACATTAAATCCATACTCTTCAAGACCAGTCATTCCATTGTTATCAAATCCATATTTCTTTTTGATCGCTCCAATATCATCTGATGCCGATGAGAATCTAGTGTTCTCGTCCACGTCCATTGAAGCCTCGTCGTCAAGAAAATTAGGCCTGGTACGGCTCAGAATAATAGAATCTGCGTCATCATCTTCCAAATTCAGATTGAGGAATTCTATGGCTTTTTTAGAGCCTGACGTCGATTTGTTGCCCAGGGCATTTTGAAGAAGGCAAATACCTTTCTGAAAATGAAAAATGTAAATAGAAAAACTTTATTACCTTATTAGCCCGTAAATTTACAATTTTAATTTTTTAAAGATGTCATGGTTTTTGGAAATTATCCATTTTCCACAGACGTGCGACGCCGACAATTTTGAAAAATTGAAAAATTTAAAAAGCGATCCAAAAAGGGTATTCGAATAAAATTCATTAGTAATATATATATATATATATATATATATATATATATATATATATCCTTTAAAGAAATTCAAGCCTAACGGTGGTTTTCCACGCCATTCAAAATGTTTGATTGAGGGAAACCGCAAATAATTCCTCAAATATTGTCGGCGTCAAACGACTTGAGGCGGGGCCTTGAAATTCGCGACATCAGTGTAGATTTAAATTTATCGTTGACTGAATATTAAATGCGCGTACGGTATAATGTAATGTACGCAGTTTCGCGTATAAATTCTTACGTTCGTGTCAGCAACAATAATGTCGTTTGAAAATGGTGAGAACTCCACAGAAGTAATTAATGTATGGCCAGGAGATTTTCTCGAATATTGCGAACAAGAAACTAGTTCTCTATAAGAAATCACAAATGTTAATACTAAATAAAGCAATAATTTTTTGATACCTATTTTCTATTCTCCATACAATTATTTTGTTATTCATAGTGGAAGCGGCGAGAAAATTACCACATGCAGAAACAGAACAGGTAGAGAAATTCTAGAAATGAGCAAATATATCATTTTCAGCATGAAGGTACCGAACCAATTCTGTCTCATTTGCACTAAAATTTTCTGCGGATTCCCAACTGTCTCGGTGATAAGCTTTCACGTGTCTGTTACTTGGAACAAATAGTTGTTTTCCATCAATTGACCAAGACATGCGTATTAATGGATTTTTCTCGCTAAATACGTAACATGAAATGCTTTTTTAATCGGGGAAAATAAATACATACTCGATAACGCCAAAGTTTGGAAACGCTTTAAATGACGTAACAAGTTCAAACTCTTCCAGTCTGATAATGTGAACCATACCATCAATAGATGCAACAGCAACAAACTGAAAATAAAATGCAGAAAATAAAAGTGTTTTGTTTTTACTTCATTATTTGGATCGATCTTTAAGCAAACTGGCTCAGCGTCGGTATCGTAGCGTTTAATATCTTTCGAAGATCCGGCAATAGTTGATCTTTTTACTGCAAAATCACTTGACCCTGCTACAGCATACGTGTCATTAATGTCTATTGTTGTAATTTCCAGTTGGAAATCAGCCAAATTTGATGGATTTTCAAAATCTTCATTTACGATTTTCCCTAGAACTTTTTGTTCTGTTCCTTCAACAAAATCGGTAGTGCAATATCCGACGCATATAACATCATCCTAATTTAAAAACGTATATCGATTAACTGAATTTGATTATATTTTTACTTTCCAAGCGATGGATCCTGAGGTAGCATCGCCAATATTAAAAATTGAAGGACTGTCTGAACCGATTAAGGATTCTTTTGAAAACTTCAGCACGCATCCTTCTGATCCACAAACAAATATCTGAATAAGCTCAATTTGCGAGGTTTTCGAAATTCGACTCAACATTTTCTTTATTTTTCTTCGATATATCCGTGCAAATGGTTTGAATACCAGTATCGTTTAGATTTTTTATATTTGTGAACGTACCGGAAGCCATCTGCCAAGAAAATCTAATGCGCAGGTTTCCCAGACGCTTAAAAAACCGGAAAAAGACCATTAAAAAATTAAAAAAAAAACTCTTATGCAAATTGCGCAACAAACTATTTTTAGCAAGATTTGTTTCTTTAAAACCTACATAGTACCATAAGTTTTATCTGAAAGATTAAAGAAAATAATTCATTGAAAACAATAACAGCTTAAATTTTAAATTTATTTTCCTCGCGCCTTGATGCAAGTGTGGACTATTGCGCTGCGTCGCAGCTCCTATGTTTAACATGCTGGCTGTTTGCCAAGGGCAACTACGCAGCTGTTTAACACGTCGCCTGTTCACTTTTACGTCTCGAACGTCACTTTCAAGCGACTCTACCCCGTGGTGAGCTGCTTCAAGCCAATTCTCGACTAATCAGTGGCAAAATGACCGGAGTAAGTTTTGTGAAATTTTTTTTTTAAGTATGAAGAAGAATTTTGAAATTAGTTATCAAATTTTTGGGCTTCCAGATGTTTGAAAATATTTTAGGATTTTTATTATTCACTTTTAAAATTTCGAAATTTTTTTCAGAAGTTGTACGGAAACAAAAACAACTTCAGAACCCAAAAGGTTTTGATTGCCGCCAAGCTTGGAAACAAGACCGTCGATCTTGCTGGAGAAATCGCCCCTGTCGACAAGTTCCCTCTCGGCGTTGTACGTTTTATAATTTAATTTTGATGTCAGTCTTGAAATTATCTCTCTGTTTTTAGTAGTTATCTTTCAGACGCCAGCATATGAAGGAGATGCACTTCTTTTTGGAGCCGAGTCTATTGCTCTTCATCTCTCTGGTGCAAACTCTAGCAAGAACCTTCCTGAAGTGATCCAATGGCTTCAGTTTGCCGAGGGAACCCTTCTCCCAGCTGTTTTGGGATACGTCCTTCCATCCGTCTCTGCTGCTAATCTTGACAAGAAGGTTCTTTCGGTGAACATTATATTTAATATTTAACAGTTTTAGACCGTTGAGCAATACAAGAACGAGCTCTTTGCTCAGCTTCAAGTTCTTGATAAGATTTTGGTCAGCAAAACATTCCTTGTTGGAGAGCGCCTTAGCTTGGCTGATATCTCAGTCGCTCTTGACTTGCTCCCGGCTTTCCAGGTAAACAAATTGTATTTTGACGTATGTTATATATTTAATTCAGCATGTTCTCGATGATTCAGCTAGAAAGCAATTCGTTAACGTCACCCGTTGGTTCAGAACTATTGTCAATCAACCACCAGTTCACGAAGTTGTCGGAGACGTAACCCTTGCATCTTCAGTCGCACAGTTCAACCGTAAGTGGCAACAACATTTTAATACCAAAAATCGAGCACCATGTGAGGACGGAGAGTTGATTCTCAGGTTATCCGCACTACGGTGCCGGAATCCTTTTTTAATTGAAATTTGGATTACCGTCGAAAAAATTATGACGCAAAATTGTTCAAAGTGCTCATTTTTTGCGATTGGAATTATTTTTGCCATTGCGAAGTCAGCAGGTTATTCTCTGTGAGTAACAGGCGTTACAGTGATGGAAAAGAAAGAGTAATACAATATGCGTTTGAAATAAGGCAGTTATTGTCTATTTCTTATGCATAGTATTACCCATGAGACTGAGAGTTGGCATTATGGCGCTGTGTCGTTTTAGGTTTTCCTCTAGCCATTCCCCTAATGCCTTAGAATTGTCTCAAACAATTTCTTAAAAATCAGCTTTGTTGACGTGTTATCAGTAGTTTGACGCCAACAATATGCCATCATGCAGATTTTGAATTAAACTTGTTTAAGAAATTGCTAGTGTCTCGCGATTGCGTAATAATTGGCTAAATGCCAAAAAGAACTGAATCTTGGCGCAAAATTAAGTGTAGATTAAAGGGCTAAGCATAAGGCTAATTCAATGGCGCGCGTGAGACTTTTATTAATGTTAACTAATTTTTACGCAGTCGCACGAGGACCTCAAATTTCTTTTATAGTCTTTTTTTTACTTAGCCAATCGTATTTTGTTTGCAGAGGCCACATTCAAGGAGCTTTCCTCGAAGGTATCCAAGGCTGCCAAGCCAGCTGCTCCGAAGGCTGAAAAGCCAAAGAAGGAAGCTAAGCCCGCTGCCGATGAGGAAGACGATGGAGTCCCACGTGAAGAAAAGTCGGTCGATCCATTTGCCAGCATGCCAAAAGGAACTTTCAACATGGACAACTTCAAGAGAGTGTACTCAAATGAAGACACTGCCACGAAGGCCATTCCATTTTTCTGGGAGAATTTCGACGCAGAAAACTACTCTATTTGGAAAGCTGAATACAAATACCCAGAAGACCTCACTCTAGGATTCATGAGCTGCAATTTGATCTCTGGTTTGGTTTACTTTAGAAAATCCGATTGAATGATTATATTTCAGGAATGTTCCAGCGTCTGGAGAAGTTGAAGAAGAACGCCTTCGCCTCGGTTTGTCTCTTCGGCACTGACAACAACTCTACAATTTCCGGAATCTGGGTTTGGAGAGGACAAGAGTTGGTTTTCCCACTTTCTGCTGATTGGCAGGTCAGTTCTTTATCAGTTTTCTTAGCGAAGAATAGTCATTTGGCAAGAAGCAATTTTTCGTCAAAGTTACATTCTTCGAATATTAGGGCTTCTTCTCGTTGGTTTCATTCAATTTGAATAGAATCCTCTAAAATGCAAGCAACAAATCTTTATTGCAAGAATATGAACAAAGCTTATTATATAGGTCGACTACGAATCTTACGATTGGAAGAAACTCGATCCTAAAGACGAGGCCACCAAGAAGGAGGTTAATGAGTACCTTCTTTGGGAAGGAGATTTCGGAGGAAAGAAATTCAACCAAGGAAAGATTTTCAAGTAAATCCGATGCAATTTTAACATCCGGTGACTGTCATTGGTTTTTGTTGTTTTTACCGAGTCGCATGAGAATAAATTGTTTCGGTTATTTTGCATGTATTTCATGAATAAATTATATGTATTATGAAATTAGTGAAACAACTCATTTTAAAAATGACATTTGATAGGAAATGCTTTTCTTATCGGCGTTGCTGCGTTTTTGCTCATAGTATTCATTTAAAGCATGCTCGTAAAAGCATCCCTTGATGTCATCGAAATAATTCATGCATTGTAAATGATTAATTGAGAGCTGGACTTCAGAATTATCCTGACCCTTAATTTAATAATTTACTTAAATGGAATCGGGGTTTTAAATAACCTGATCGCAGAATGTATCACAGTCACTTGGAACCCGCATTTGACGACAGCAAGTTGTATGATTAGTGCCTCGAGCTGCGCAGAAATGAACTTTTGAAATATCTGATGGTGGACATTTCGATTGAAGCATTATGGATGATTGAATCTAAAATTTTTTTCGTTCATTTCCTTTTGTGGTTTTTATAATACCGCATCGACTGAATAATCGCCATAATTACATATCCCCATACATGTTGGCTGCACATCGAGAATCGAGCAACACGATTTGAAATGATCATCGGGTGATTTCACGGTTTCGGCATCATGTGAAGTGTCAACATCGCGAAAGGTTCGAGCTCCAGCTGCTCGAGCAACACAGCCACCGCGCATACACATGAAACCTGCACCGCAAGGACATCCTAGTGGCGGCATCTTCAACTTTTATTATCCAGGGGAGACATCAATTTAGTTACCATAGGAGCACCCAGACACAACCCTAAAAAGCAGCCACCACAACCTCCAATACTCAAACATCCCGAAATACACTGAAATTGTAAGAGATAAGATTTTGAGATAATTACATTGAGATAATGATATAATTACTATCGCATAAACGAGTCATCGAATTTTTTTGCGAAGTAATTCAAATTTCGATTTAAATAGTAAGAATTAATGCATGATAATATGCACTTTTAACTCATTGGAATTTACGCAAAGGCTCTTGTTTTTTGAGATCGTAATATTATCGAACCTTTTTGTTAAATGGTTTATAGTAGTATAGAAGACTGCATCGTTCTTTTCACAGTATCTAATGAAGCTCAAGAGAAATTTTGCCCGAGCATTGATAAAATGAATGTGCGAATACAACGTTTATCGTAACTTACGATGGCGAATTATTTAATGAAAATCGTCAAAAAACAAAACAAACTCTTACCTGATCCGACAATCGAAACAATACCAAAATTTGGATGCAAATCCAATTAAAAAATGAATAATATTTGATCATATTAGATAAATTTCTAGAACAAATATGAGTAGATTTGCACTTTTGATGTGCTAATAAGTGTCGCCGATGGCACTCGCGGCCTCTATGCTTTGAGATGACCCAGTACAAACTGGTTACACACCCGGTTTTTCGGAAAAGCCTAAAAATAGTCGGACGATGTTTGCGTTATATCTCGGCGACAATTTCAAGAAGTCTCCCATGTTTTTTGGGAATAAATTGTAGAATAAGATAAAGTTTGTGAACCTTTGAAATACATCTACGAATAATGTATAGATAACGCAATTAATATAAACGGAGAAAAAAAGGCAACAAAGTTTGAAACTATTTTTGCAAATAATGTTCATAAAAATCGTGAGAATCTAATATTATAGAGTTACAAACAGACGAATGTTCCTGCCGCCGAGCGTGGTGTGAAGCCGTCGCAGCACGAAACTCGTGGGTATTTGCACACCGCAGTATTGCAACTTGTTTTTTCATATACTGATCTGGAAATTAATTATTCATTTTTAAACTAACTTAAGATTATTAATTTCGCTCTAGGATTAAAAACAATAAATTCCGTTCGATCATTCAAATGTATCAAATTAGTAGTCGAAGGCAACATATCCCTATGAAGCCGGCCGAGATGCCGTAATTTTAAAATAAAAAAAATCATTAAGGAAGAATATTTGTCTAAGTTTTAAAGAATAAGTCATAGATTAGAGAAATTGAGTAAAAAATAAATTAGATCAACTAACCCTGGACATGTGCAATCGTCTCTCGGCTTATTGCAAACTCTGAATCTTTGGTGTGTTCCGCACGATCCGCAAGTATCCGTGCAATCAGACCATTCTTGCCATTCCGCCCATGCCGCCTGTGAGCAATCAACCACCGGTGCTTCCTGAATATCTCTTAATCATTCTTTAATATACTTAATCTGATAAAATTGATCACCGCAGTAATAATCCGAACTGGTGAATTACGGTGAAACGTATAATTACTCAGAATCATGAGGGATGTTTGAAGAACAACCGGTGTGAGAGACATGCAGAACAATAAATGGTGTGAAAAGAATATTACCGTCGGCAGAGGAATCGCGCCACAGCTGAGAGTTGTGACAATTGTTCCGTCCGTGGTGACCCATTGTGAATTTGTATTGCAGGTGAGCGTCAAGTTGGTCGTTCCAACCGCAGAAGACAGTCGAGTGCCCGCCGAATCGACAAGTGCTGCTGTTTGAGAAGTCTGCAATATCGGGGGATGTCATTCACATTCCGAAAGACACAATATTTACTTGAGGAGCTGCACAACTGGCAGTTACCGTCATCGATCCCCCGGAAACAACTGTATCGAGTGTCATGAATCCACTATCATAGCCGGATGTTGTTGCTCTCACAAACTCTCTGTTGCAGCTTGCATCGGGTACTGAGCTACTTGGAGTAGTAGCTACTGGTGCTTGTGTCGTGATTGGTGCTGCTGATGTGGCCGAATTATCCGTCGATATTTTACAAGCGACCGATGACACGGCGATGCCGTTACGATTCCAGACATTTGATGATGAGCAAGACATTGATGTGGACATTTGTCCATATTGCGCAGACAACGTCAATGAGTCATCATTAAGGTAGATAGTTGCATTTTGCTTCACATTTTCCCCACGACATTTGATCACCACAACGCGACATTTCGTCGTTGGCTCCACATAATGATCAAGGAGCAGTTCACCGTTTTTCTCGTTCGCTTGCAGCTGAGCAGATGTTAAAGCAAAAGCCTTCATATTCTCACAGCGTTTGCAACGATCTAAACCAATCGTTTCGAAAATAGGTATAGAAATGCTGGTCTAACCATTGTCCGTCGTAGTTGTTGCTAATGTCGTAGTAGTCGTCGTCGCTGAAATCGCCCCACAGCTCAAATTTTCGACAATGGTTCCTGATGGAGACACAGATGTTTCGGAGCCGGAAATTGACAGAAGTTGCTGAACTTTTTTGAGTTCTGCATCACATTTCGCATTAATAACACTACCCATTGGCTGTTTGCATTGCATGTTAGAGTGGCGTTCAGAAGAGACGAAGATTGTCCTAGAATTGTTCCGTCCCCGTTTGTAAGAGTTGCAGTTCCAGGTGTCTGAATAAGCCCAAGATTTATCATTAGCAATTCTGAACCTACAGATCCTGAGCACGATAACGTTGTGATCAAAACTCCGTTTTGCACAATTGTGTCCAATACTAAATACGCCCCTTGGTCTCCATTCAAAATCGGTCGTTTCAGGCTGTCTCGATTGCATTTGAGTGTGTTTTCCGAATTCAAAGGAGATTCTGTTGTGATACTTGGAACAGGAGTAGTAATGAGCATTGAACCGTCATTGACCTTGCAAGATGCTTGTGCTACGATCTGATTGTTCCAGTTCCAATTGGATTGCGCGTTGCACGTTAGAAAAGCGGTTGTGATTCCGTTGCCGCTTGACGTTTCAGTGGCTCCATTGAAGATAATAATTGATCCGCTTCCAACACACGTTAAGTACAAAACTCGACAACTCGCTCGTTCGTCAGTATAGTGATCGAGAATAAACTGGCCATTTCTCTCATTGGATGCGAGCTGCGAACTCTCCAACGGAACTCCAGGAAGATTTTCGCATGCTCGGCACGCTGCTAAAATGAAACTCGGATTTCCAACCAATTTTCAATGTTTCAACATACGATTTGCTGTTACAGGACCTAGTGTTGTTGTAATCGGAGCTGGTACTGCACAGCTTACTGTTGATATGATTTTTCCTATCGATATTCCTGTTCCTGTAAGTGCCGTGACCACCCATTGCGCGTTCCCATTGCAGCTAATCGACAAATTCGTTAGGCCGGCTCCGGCTGAGAGTTCGGATCCATCGTCAAATATTAGTTTGGCTGCTTCTCCATTTGTTGTCGAATAGCACACCATATCAACTGTGAGAGACGTGGATGTAGAAATTGTATTCATCGACAAATAAGCTGGCAAGTAACCACTAGGAACAATGCTTATAAGTTGCCGATTGCAGTTTGTATTGGGTATTGTTCCGATTGTGGTCGAAATAGGCGGAGGAGTCGTGAGAGGTTCCGACACGCCCGTGCCAGCTGAATTTTACCAATAATGGGAAAAGTGAACATTTCATGTCTTACATGTCACAATGCACGATGCCGTCGTAATGCTCAATCCATCTCTTAGCCATTCTCCTGTTGGGGAACATTCTAAGAGTATTGTGATCTGTCCGGTTCCATCAACTGTTTGTGACTTTCCATTCAACGATATTGTTACTTTGTCACTTGTCTTAAACGATGTTCTCTATACGTTCCCTATTCAGAGTTCAGAATACCATCGATCCATAACAGGTAATAGTGACTTGGCGTACCATGTCGTCCAACTCCACACGATGATCCAAAATTAGTTGCCCATTTTTCTGACCATCCGTTAGTTCCGTTTCGCTAAATGGAGATGCAATCATGTTCGGGCATTGCATTGCTCTCGATGAAGTCGTCGTGGTCGCGACAGCAGTGGTAGTTGCTAGAACGAATGCACAACATTTTGCGTCATCATTAATCAATAAGCGTACCGACTTGCCTTCCGCACGAAATTTGAGAAATCGAATGTCCGGCCGTTGATTCCCATTTACTCTGCGAATTACAATAGAACGACATGTTTATTCTACCAGGGCTCGAAGCGATGACGTCTCCTGACAGAATCCACGCAGCAATGTTATTGTCCTATGCAACGACATTTATATGTATAATATTTGTGTTTGAGCGTACCGATATTCCTTCACACATCCCAGATGCTTGAATACATTCTCCTGAATCATCTAAACTCAACGTTACGAATCCATTCATATACGGATAGAATGAACGGAGTGACGTCATTGGGAATGTTGGGCACGATTGACACGCCGAAGCTCCAGTTCCAGCTTGCCGCTTCTTTCTTCGTTTTCTTCCAGTGGTTGTCGCGTCTAATAATTGGGAGATACATTAAATAATACAAAATTTAATTAAACGACTTACTAGTAATCAAACATGATGCCGTAGATATTTCCTTTGAGTTATAATTCCATCGGCCGTTCGGACTGCATTCCAAGCTGAATTCTTGTCGTTCGTCGTTTATGTCCGCCGTCTCCGAATCAATCCACAAATCTGCCTTCTCGTTATCCATTGTTGCTTCGCATGTCAGGATTGCCTTCTTGCAACCAGAATCGCGACTAGTGTAATGAGTGAGAACCAACATTCCGTCGTACTGTGCCGATTCGTCAGATCCGCGAGCAACTGGCCTAATATTATCACACTTCGAGCATTTCGATGTAACTGGTATATCCGTTTCTGTAATAAACACACATTTCAAGTTGCATTAGAAAAAATAAAGTACTAGGTTCCGAGGTCAAGCACGAAATAGAATTTATTTCGCCATAAGGACCATATACCCATTTTCCTTGAGTGTTGCATGTAAGGTTAACCGATGATGAACCGGTGCTCATATCCAAGTGATTGGACTCGTCAGCAACAATGCTCGTAAGTTCGCTTTTCTAAGAAATAGAAAGAAAATAAAGAATTGAATAATATTTAAAGAATTACCTCGTAGCCTTCGCATGTGAACCGAACCACCAAACATCCATAAGTATGGTAGGTGTTCGAAATGACAACAAATCCATTTCTGTAAATGCCCGGACCCGGTGTTACTGGCAATCGAGCACATTGCGTACAAAGTGCTGCAACGTACCATAATGACAATTGATATGAATAGGATATCTTACATTTTGTTGGATTTGTCACTGGTATCACAGTTGTTGCAGTAATCGGGTCGTCATCCTCAGTAGTCTTCTCAATCAAACAGCTCGCAGTGGTCACACTCGCCAAACTTGACGTTATCCAATTGCCATTTTCGTTGCAGTCGAGTTCTTGCACTTGCGCAGATGTGCCAGAAGAAATTTGGTTTTTATCCAATAGTAGCGTCGCTCTTTCGCCGATGGTTGTCGGGCCGCATGTTACAATCACCTTTCGACAATTCTTTATCGGATCGGTGAAATGATCCATGATCACCATTCCATCGTAGTTCGTCGTACCATCACTCATTGCAAGTGCAGTCATGAGAGGACAAGAGTTGCATAATCCATTTGTGGCAATAGTTGTTGTTGGAATCGGCGTTACCGGCGCTAAATTAATCTCATAAATGCTCATCATACGACCGTTTTTACCGTTCTTATGTCCACAAGCAAGAGCTGTAATTACGTGGTCTGGTTGTTTCACACTTCGCCACGTCGAGTCTACGCCGCATATCAACTCAGTTGTAGTGCTACCAAATCCACTCGCAATTGGTAGCCCCGATGAAAGTAAGGCTACTCCATTTCCAGTTGTTGTTCCTTCGCATTTGATAGTAATAACCGAACAATCATTTTCATCAACACTTTGTACTACGGTGGTGAACCCATTCATGTATGTTCCGATGGAACCGATTGACACAATCGGAGCGCGACCACATCGAGAGCATGCAGCTGAAGTTACCAGTCGATAATAGAAAATCAAGAGCTGAAAACACTTACGAACTGATGGATCCGCAATTGTCGTAGTGGTTGGCGTAGTTGGTGCGACTGTGACTCCATTTGTAGTTTCTAAATAGCACGCTTGTTTTCAATTTCAATCTTACAAGGGAGGTCATTTTGCTGTCCGTCTTAAAATTTTTTTATTTTTTGCATACAGATTCTTTAGAAAATTTCCAATCGGATGAACTGGGTCCCTACCTGCGCAAACTTCTAGTTATCGAGATATGGACCTTCAAAGTTTTAGCCCCTCCCCACGTGAATTTTGCACACAAATGTGGGGAAACTCGAAATGAAATAACGTGATGTCTTATCTCGCGCTTATATCCCACTTTGGCAAGCAGTCGTGGTTCAGTGGTGTGTAGGTTATGTTGTCATGAATGGAGTTGCGGATTCGGTCCCGCTATCCGTAAACTTTTTGCGTATTTTTTTAATTGGTGTTACAGTAATTATGACAGTGCAATTTTTCGTTTTTCTATTCAAATTTGCCATTTTCATCATACTGAAAGGTCATGTATACGAAAAAAATAGTTTAAAAAAATTTTTAAAAATTGAAAAATTTTTTATAAGTTATAAGTTATATGGTTGTTGATCATGAAATGCTTGGAGCAATGGTTGTCACAATAGAAGGCTTCAATAAAAGATTTTCACTAGCTGTCTAACTGTACTGGAGCCATTTTTGAATCTTTTTTCTGGGTGACATATTTGACCGTATTATGTCATGACAAAGGATTTGATGAGAAGGCTTCCCCAAGAAGTTGTGTTCCAGAGTTCTCGAAACAACATGTTGAAGACCGAAACAATTCCTGCCGGTTGCACCGGTTTCGTACAACTTTGGACGTCGAAGTTTTTGCGAGCAGGAAATGTAGCCTTCTATTGTGACAACCACTGCTCCAAGCATTTCATGATCAACAACCACATAACTTATAAAAATTTTTCAATTTTTGAAAATTTTTTTAAAACTATTTTTTTCGTATACATGACCTTTCAGTATGATGAAAATGGCAAATTTGAATAGAAAAACGCAAAATTGCACTGTCATAATTACTGTAACACCAATTAAAAAAATACGCAAAAAAGTTCGAAGATAGCGGAACCGAATCCGCAACTCCATCCATGACAACATAACCTACACACCACTGAACCACGACTGGTTGCCAAAGTGGGATATAAGCGCGAGATAAGACATCACGTTATTTCATTTCGAGTTTCCGCACATTTGTGTGCAAAATTCACGTGGGGAGAGGCTAAAACTTTGAAGGTCCATATCTCGATAACTAGAAGTTTGCGCAGGTAGCGACCTAGTTCATTCGATTGGAAATTTTCTAAAGAATCTGTATGCAAAAAATAAAAAAATTTTAAGACGGACAGCAAAATGACCTCCCTTGTTAGGTAACAACCTGAAATCAAACAACTGACTGATGCAATGGCACTTCCTTGGTAAATCCAGTTGCCGTTCGAATTGCAATCTATCGTGAATGTATGCTCTTGCGGTCCTGTAGCGACAACAGCTGATCCGAAGAACACTGTCGCATTTTCCGTAGGCAGAGTTGGTCCGCATGAAATATCGACTCTTCGGCAACCTGTGGAAACTTGATAATGGTTCAATATAATCATTCCATCATATGCAGAATTATCGTTGGGTTGCATTGAAGTAGCTCGCAAGTTTTCACAGATTGAACATTGACTGGGCTTCGAAGTGGTGGTCGTGGTTTCTCTCCATCTTCCACACATTACTTCACTAATAGAAGTTCCCGCATTGGTCATCCAATGAGAAGCAGAATTGCAAATAAAATTGAAACTGATCGATCCTTTTCCGCTGATCAAAGAAGACGACGCCGCAAACAGAGTCACCCCTTCCGAATCCTAAATAGCACTCGCATCTTAATGGCACGAATAATCTGCAAACATCTTCTCCGCTGCAAGTAACTGTCGCGTGCCTGCATTTATTCACTGTGCTAAACGCAATTGTTGACACTCCATTCAGCATCGAATCGTCAATTGTTGAGATTGGTCCAACATTCAATCGTCCGCATTGTGCACATAAAGCTGAAATGCAATCATTAGAAGTAATTCTATATATATGAATGGGGAAACCCGCAAAAATCATTTAAAAAAATTTTTGAAACTAGATGGAAACTGGAAAAAAATTCAAAAAAATAAAAATTCTACGTTTTTTGATTGCAAAACAACAGATGAAAAAGAGGAGGATAAACGTGAAAAGAACATGAGATCATCGTCAAATAAAGCGTGGACCGCAATGACTTCAATTTCATTAACTCAATATTCCTCTTATTACTTCATTTTTAATTTGTATCACTACGACCTCGAAACGCCAAAAATTGGGAATTCATAATGCTTAATTACGTAAAGACCACAAAATATTTGTCGAATTAAATATTGAACATGTAATCACACAGCCTTATATTTTTTGAAAATCCGTGTTTAAATTGAAGTGCAAAATAATGCCAAAAATGGCATTGCGAACGTGCGTTTTATTTCACATCAATACCAATGTTGCTTACATCGCGCCTGTTTTTCTCCGCAATCAAAAAATGTTAAATTAATTTTTTTGATTTAATCCGTTTCTTATCCAGTTTCTATAGTTAAAAAAAATTTTTTTTTGAGGTTACCCCCCCTTTTAATTAAACAAACGTAGTGATGGGTTCATTGTCGTAGTTGTGGATATCACAGGTACTGTAACAACTGGTCCCGTTGGCTCAGACACCAAACAGCTGACACTTTCAATCACTTCGTTCTCATAACGCCACGTTCCGTCAGCTGAGCATGAAATTGTCATCTCATGAAGAGTTGGTCCTGTAGAAATGACTCCGATCGGATGGAACAGTAGAGTGGCATTCTCGGTGGCGGTCGTTCCCTGGCAACTGATATCAACTTTTTTGCATCCGTCATTGTAATTGTATAGAACAATCATTCCATCGTATGTTTGATCTTGGAGGAGAGCTTTTGCCGATTGCATATCTTCACACGTTCCGCATTCACTTGACAGAGTTGTCGAAATTAGTGCAACTGAATCGTGCTGTTTGAGAAAATTGTCGTATTCACTTACTGCTTTGATATCCGCAAGATATTTTGTCAATTGTTTGTTGTCCTGGGGTCATCCAAACTGAGGTTGCGGAACAATCTAATGTCATCGAGACACTTCCCACGCCAGTAGCGATTTCCGCTCCTTCGTAAATTAATGCAACAGGATCCTGCTCTGACATTCCGTGGCACACGAGATCAAGATGCATACATGAGCTGTATCTGGTAACCGCTTTCAGCTGTCCGTTAAGATAACCAGAACTGTGATCCAACACTGGCACCGGAATTCGACGACAAGAAGAGCATCCGCTTGGGGGTGCTGGAGTTGTTGCCGGCGAAGGCGTCGTGATGGGAACAAGAGACGTGACAGATGCGATGCAGCTAACCGTATCGATTGGTTCATCATTCCAGAAATAGCTTCCACCAGAACATTGAATGTCCTTGGTTATTTCAGCTACGTTACTTTCAACATTTCCAATAGGATTAAACACCAATGTTGCGTTGTCGCTTTCATGCTAAATAATAATTGTTTGCACAAAATTCTTGATTGGTCTTACCATAGTAGCCTGGCAAGAGATGTCCACTCTTTTGCAGAATGTGATAGGGTCACGATAATGCCATAACACTAGCATTCCATTATATGTTCCAGCCTTTGAAATGGCTTCAGGTTCCAAGTCAGCACATGTGTCGCATGATCCAACTGTTGTTTGTACATCGATTGGTGTCATTGTAGGATCTCCGGTTGTGCCATCGATTATGGTTGATCCTCCGTGGTCCGTTGTTTCATTGTCTTCTGGTGGTTTCTTGTCCGGGGTTGTTGAGATCGGTTCTGGTTCCAAGGTTGGATTAACTGAAGAAATTGGACCAATGTCCGTTGATGGTAAATTCGAAACAGTTGAATCCACAATTTCGGTTGTTCGGAATGTGGTCGTTTTCAATGTTTCTATAAAATAATTACAATATTAATAATGAACAATAAACTACGAAATTACCTTTTGGCATAATGCATGAAATGTTATTGATAATCGTCTTCGTTTCTACATCCACCCATTTGGAATTTTTGTTGCAAGTAAACGTTCGGTTCACTTCGGGACCTCCGTTGTAGGTTCGTTGAAGATTGTACATCATCTCGACTTCCTTTCCATCCTATGATTTTCCAATGTTTTTTTAATTAATGAATTGTTATTAATACACACATTAACCGGGGTACAATGTACCACTACGCGTAAGCATTTATCCAGGGTGTGATCAAGATACGCTACACCTTCTGGGAAACGAGATTGTCCTACTACAACATTCGTGCATTTCATGCATGGAGCTTCAGGATTGGCTGAAATTAAGACATTAAAATGATATGTACTATTTCAGGCAAAATACGTTTCGGAGTCTTTGTCGCTGGTTTCGAGTAAACGCAGCTTAAAGATGTTACTGCAGTCTTCTTTGCGGAGCCTAAGAGGATCCACTTCTTGTCCCGACATGCTAAACTCAAGTTCAATGGAGCCGAGAGATCGGAAGTGTTGCCCGATAAAATGGTGCTCACTGGCGTAGGATCTCCAAACTAAAGAATCAATACGATTCTGTCAATGAAATTGTAACCTGTTTACCTCGATGGGTCTGCAGAAGAACTGAACATAATAACATCCAGATGCCGAATATCGATTCAAGACTGATGAAGCATCTTCAAATGGATTTCCATCGAACAATTGCACATTGATATGAGAGCAATCATTACATGTTTTCCCTTAATTAAAAAAATAAATAAGTTTATATGTATATAGTTTGTGTGTACGTAGGTAGATTTTCGAGGTGTTGTGGTCTCTAACTGGTTATTTGGCATTGAATTGATGGTTTCGATAATTTTCAATTTTTATAACCTTACAAGGGAGGTCTTTTTGTTGTCCGTTTAAAAATATTTTTATTTTTTGCATACGGATTCTTTAGAAAATTTCCAATCGAATGAACCCTACCTGCGAAAACTTCTAGTTATCGAGATATGGACCTTCAAAGTTTCAGCCCCTCCCCACGTGAATTTTGCATACAAATGTGCGGAAAAATAAAAAATTTTAAGATGGACAGCAAAAAGGCCTCCCTTGTTAGAAATGTAATGAACGGCCAATTTGACGAAGAAAAAATAAACAGTTCATGTGAAAATAACAAAATAAGCATTCAGCTGTGGCGAGACCATGACGAAACCACGAAAAAATTGATATGTCTGGAATTTTACGTAAGAAAATTCTTATGTACATACATGCGTATGTACATGTACTTCCCAACGTTGCGAAAAACTTTGAGCATGAAAATACCCCTAAACCGTCTCTCTTAAATAGAGAACATCTTACAAGATTCTTCTGGTTCGGCAGTCGTCAACAAATCTTTGGTATATGATATCATGCCATCAGATGTGAACATAGTCGCTGGAGTTGAACTAACGATTTCATCTGTTGATTCGGCTGATGATTCGGATCCGGGAGTAGATGATTCAGAATCTGGTGTGGATGATTCGGATTTGGGCGAGGATGCTTCGGATCCGGGAGTGGATGATTCCGAATCTTGGGTGGATGATTCGGATTTGGGCGTGGATGCTTCGGATCCGGGAGTGGATGATTCCGAATCTTGGGTGGATGATTCCGAATCTGGTGTGGATGATTCTGATTTGGGCGAGGATGATTCAGAATCTGGTGTGGATGATTCGGATTTGGGCGTGGATGCTTCGGATCCGGGAGTGGATGATTCCGAATCTTGGGTGGATGATTCCGAATCTGGTGTGGATGATTCTGATTTGGGCGTGGATGCTTCGGATCCGGGAGTGGATGATTCGGATTTGGGCGTGGATGCTTCGGATCCGGGAGTGGATGATTCCGAATCTTGGGTGGATGATTCCGAATCTGGTGTGGATGATTCTGATTTGGGCGTGGATGCTTCGGATCCGGGAGTGGATGATTCCGAATCTTGGGTGGATGATTCCGAATCTGGTGTGGATGATTCTGATTTGGGCGTGGATGCTTCGGATCCGGGAGTGGATGATTCGGATTTGGGCGTGGATGCTTCGGATCCGGGAGTGGATGATTCCGAATCTTGGGTGGATGATTCCGAATCTGGTGTGGATGATTCTGATTTGGGCGTGGATGCTTCGGATCCGGGAGTGGATGATTCCGAATCTTGGGTGGATGATTCCGAATCTGGTGTGGATGATTCTGATTTGGGCGTGGATGCTTCGGATCCGGGAGTGGATGATTCGGATTTGGGCGTGGATGCTTCGGATCCGGGAGTGGATGATTCGGATTTGGGCGTGGATGCTTCGGATCCGGGAGTGGATGATTCCGAATCTTGGGTGGATGATTCCGAATCTGGTGTGGATGATTCTGATTTGGGCGTGGATGCTTCGGATCCGGGAGTGGATGATTCGGATTTGGGCGTGGATGCTTCGGATCCGGGAGTGGATGATTCGGATTTGGGCGTGGATGCTTCGGATCCGGGAGTGGATGATTCCGAATCTTGGGTGGATGATTCCGAATCTGGTGTGGATGATTCTGATCCGGGTGTTGATGATTCTGATCCCTGAGTGGAGGATTCGGATTTTGAAGTGGATGCTTCTGATCCGGGAGTGGAGAATTCTGAGCCGGGTGTGGAAGACACAACAGCTGAAGTGGAAGATGCTGTATCGAGTGTGGAAGACGGTGAATTAAATGTTGATGATCCAGAATCTGTTGTGGATGCTTCCTGAGATGACTTTGAGGAAGATGGTTCCGACGATGACGACGAAACATCGACTGTTGATGAAGCTGATTCCGATGTTGATGAAGACGCACTATCTGTTGTACTTGATGACAAGGTATCCGACGTGGTAGAATCCATTGGTGTCGTACTCGTGATGTAAGGCGAAGTACTCGAAACAGAAATCATCGTACAAGTTCGGAATGGAATCGTTGTTGTCATTATTGGTGTTGTCCGGCAAGAAGGGGTACGAGTCACACCAGGCATAGCAGTCGGTGTTTCCATTGGGAACGTCATTGGTTCCACACCGCCTCCACCACCTCCGCCTCCTGGGAAGAGAGTTCCTAATGTTCCTGGCTCAAGTGTTGTTACCGGCTCAATACAATCATCCGGATTGTAAGTTGAATCTTTGAATATCGTCGTTTCCATATCATTACCCGTTGGATCAGTGGGGAATTCAAAGCGTATTGTCGTTTCACCACTTGATCCGTTTGGATCGGTAACGCCGCCTGTCCACGTTTGTTCAGTGACTTCATCTGTCGGTGCATCGGATTTATTCGTTTCTTCATCTGTCACAGCATCAGAGGATTCCGAAGTCTCACTTGTAACAGCTTCTGCTGTAACCGACTGTGTTTGTTTGTCAGATGTCTTATCACTTGTTGCTTCTGTTGTTTGATTCGGGTCTGTCACAGCTTTCGTCGCGTCCGCAGTTGTAGCATCGGAAGCATCTTGAGTTGTAGCTTTGTCAGTTTTGGCTTCAGTGGTTTCATTCGGATCTGTCACAGCTTCCGTCGAATCTGCTGTTGTTGCATCGGCATCATCTTGAGTTGTAGCTTTATCAATTTTGGCTTCAGTGGTTTCATTCGGATCTGTCACAGCTTTCGTCGCGTCCGCAGTTGTAGCATCGGCAGCATCTTGAGTTGTAGCTTTATCAATTTTGGCTTCAGTGGTTTCATTCGGATTTGTCACAGCTTTCGTCGCGTCCGCAGTTGTAGCATCGGAAGCATCTTGAGTTGTAGCTTTGTCAGTTTTGACTTCAGTGGTTTCATTCGGATCTGTCACAGCTTTCGTCGCGTCCGCAGTTGTAGCATCGGAAGCATCTTGAGTTGTAGCTTTGTCAGTTTTGACTTCAGTGGTTTCATTCGGATCTGTCACAGCTTTCGTCGCGTCCGCAGTTGTTGCGTCGGCAGCATCTTGAGTTGTAGCTTTATCAATTTTGGCTTCAGTGGTTTCATTCGGATCTGTTGCAGCTTCCGTCGCATCCGCTGTTGTTGCATCGGCAGCTTCTTGAGTTGTGGCTTTATCAGTCGTCTCCTCAGTTGTCGTTTTATCGATAATTGAGACCGTCGTAGTCTTTGATTGAATGGTGGTGGCTTCTTTGGTAGTAGTCTCGTCGGCAGTAGTGGTCACAGATTCAGTCGTTGTTTTTTCTTCTGTAGTCGTATCTTGATCCGTCGTTGTTTCAACCCCGGTTCTAAATAAAAAATTATATTGATCGTCTCGACAATAGTTTTCCTTACGTTCCAAATACGAATGTTGTATATGTCCCTGAAATGAATATAATTTCAAATTGCTCAAGAATTTACGGATCTGTTCAGCGCAATGAAAAAATGTCGAAATAGTCAATGGCAAATTCGACAATATTTTGCAAACACTGAGTGGATCCATTACTTACATTTTGTTGTTGTCGCTCCACATACTAAGGTTTCAGCAGTTTCGCCACTGCAGAATTAATAATGCAAAAACGTTTTAACTGTGAATGCTAAATAGGTCGTGCCAAGTAAGTTTAAAATGGAACAAAAAGTCAAAAAGGGTTTCTATAAAAGAAGAACAGATTTTGTCAATTGGGCTTCGGCAGTTTCTAACTTATTTGGCACTCGCCTGTTTCTACACATGAGACTCACTCGCATTTGAATGATCCACCTATAAAACAGCCAGATGGTGTTTGCTCACATTTTCGCGTCCTTCTAGCAACTAGAGTCGGATCTAAGCCATTCTGAAATGTTTTCTCATATTTCACTCAATTTTGAGCTTCGAATTACCGCGCCCTCCGGACAATAAGACCATGCACCCCAGTCTTGCCATGTCGCTCCTGAACAAGACAAACCGAATAGAGCATGACCGACGGGCAAATAAGTAAGGAATATTAATAGTATATATAGAATGGGCGGTTTGTTCTTTATAGAATATGTCTTTATTCTCTGCATTGACCTGAATGAATAATCAGATGGTGAGAAAAACGAATATTTTAAGATAACCCGTCAGACTTCATAAATCGCCCATATGGATAACTCGAGTGTGATTGTCGCTTCGTTTTGAAAAATTGAACTCGCAGTATCTGAAAATTTGAAATGGTCAATCGATATCATTAAAAATAAAGAACAATATATGAAATCGGTTTTAAATTACTGTAATCCTCTGATGATACGTCGCCTATTGCGTTCGAAAAATTTTTTGAAACTGGTTTTGAAATTAACGGAAAACATATTAAGTACATTGGATTTATTAAAAAAAACATAAGGGTGTAAATTATTAAAAATAATTAATTTAAAAAAATGTATTGAAAATATAATTTTTAATAAATTGATCATTTCGAAATGGTTACTTCTTATTTTTGTTGATCAAATATATCAAAGAAAATGATTTGGGATTTATGAAAATTATTTCCGAAGTATGGAAGTTACTATACCAAGAATTAACACAAGCAGAACGAAGGGTCGTTTGAAACAAATTCGCATCGAACACCCGTGTAGTCCTAAAAAGAGGAACCCCAAGCACCTCCATCTAAGATGTTGAAGAAGACGTATACCATGGACTACTAATGAATGCACAAAACGAGTTACAACCAGAAATTCACAAAAGAAGGAAAACAGTGCCTGGGCGTCGATAAACAACATCAAGAACACTGCCGACGCTCCAACATGTTCCAGAACCCATGCGAAGCTATTCGATTTTATGGTACTTCCAGAATTTACGTATAACTCAGAAGTGTGAACACTTACAAAAATAATGTCAGAAAAGGAGGGGTGGAAACAGGTTGGTTACCTGGAGCATTATGGTCAAGGATAGAAAATAATGGAATGCTGAAATTTTTACTGTGAACGCTAAACTCAGTTGCGCAAGCTTGCAGACAACAAAATTGCATCCTTTCATTTGAAATTTGAACTTAAAACTTTTTTTTAGTAATTTTTCAAACTTCTGGAAAGAAAAGTTCCAGTGCTCCCGAAGAGGAATCTAAAAAGTTTTGCAACGATTGAGACAAAATGTACGAATTTTTATTCATTTTGAACTATTGGAAAACGTCGGAAGTGCATTCGTTTTCCAGCAAGACAACGACTCAAAGCACACGTCTGGCCCTGTAAAGAATTGGTTCCAACGTCGCCGAGTTGATGTTCTTGCATGGCCATCACAGATTCCTGACCATAATCCGATCGAACATATCTGGGAAGAACTGGAACGCAGGATCAGAGGGTTCCGAGCATCGAACGGCGACGAAAAGTTCACTCAATTCGAAGCCGCATGGATTGTTTAATTTTTTCCATTTTGTGTAGTATGCGATATCATTCAAGCTAATTTTCAAAGCGTTTTGAAGATATGGTAAAAATTTCAGCCCAATCGGCAGCGTTTAAGCCAAGTTATGCTCAAAAAATACTAGGCTTACATCATTATACTGTAAAAAAATCACGAAAATGCGCATCAAAATGAAACGATCGAGAAAGACTAGAATTATATGAAATAAAGGAAAGATGAAAACACAAATTGAAATATTCATAAAAATACAATGAGCAATTTTCGAAACCATCTCAAGCTGTTTTTAAATGAAATTGTCTGTTAATTGTTTAGGAATATATTCTGTATCAAATATTAATTTTAATTTTAACAATTATTATCAGAGTCAATCAGAATGCGGAAGTAGGAGTGAATAAGTGAGAAAAAGAGGGTAAAAAATGAAAACAAAGTATTCGTGTCAAAATGCGCTTAGCCAAAATTGTGGCGAACAAAAAATAGTTGCAATCAAACTCGGTTTTTTATATTGGACGAGTTGAGAGGAGATTAATCTCAGGGCGCACGTTGGCGAAATTCGACAATTCTAGTGTCAATTATAAATATTTCAACGGGGGTTTCATGGTTGTAGAAGTTTGATCTTTTTCAACATTTGCGACATTTTGAATGAATTAGAAATTTTTAATGTCCCAAATTGGGACTTTGACGAATATCTGATCTGAAAAAAAAATAGGAAATGTATTTCTTTTAATGTTCTTACTGAATATGTATAAGGTATGTATTTAAATATTAATGCGAACTCAATGCCGCATAGTTTATGTGAAAATGAAGCGAAACTAGTTCAGAGAAAATCATCCACTCCGTTCATTAACAGTACTGGCCATAAAGAATGCCCCAAATGGTTTATCGAGCATAACTTTTTTGGAGTATATATATCTATCCTATTTTTACAGGATACTGTACAACACAATACGCATATTGCAGAAATGTGCGGAAAATTATTTTTTATAATTATTTTTTCGATTTTTCGATTTTCTCATTTTTTTCAAAAAAAAAACCATGTCATCAGACATCCGCAAAGCGATCGTGGCCGAACGGAAACAAGGAGCTTCAAGCGAAATCCTTGCGTGTCAGTTTTCCTGTTCAATAAGGACAACTAACAGAATCTTGAAGCAATTTCGAAACTCGGTATTGTTTTTTAAACATTTGAAAACTATTTTCGACGTTTAGCATAACTGTGATGTGCTTCAGTCACCCGGTAGACCTTGTAAAACCACCAGGAACGTTGATTAGAACATTGTTAGAGCATTTAGACAGGACCCTAGACGTATTTCTACGGACATCCAAATCATCGTGAAGTCTCCAAATGAACCAACACTATCCAGGAGAACTATTCGGGACTGGCCGAGTCAATCTTCTGACTTGAATCCTATCGAGCATCTCTGGGATGGAAAGCCATTCCGATGTCTGTCATTTACAAGCTTCTGGACTCGATGCCGTGCCGATGTCAAGCCGTTATTGATGCAAAATACGCAATTCCTAACAAAGTATTAATACATTATTTTTTTGTTTCGACCAAGAACCATCGCTTTAAAATGTTTTCTGCTTTCCAAAGTTGATTTTCCTTTTTACCGGTTTTTGACGTTTTTCATAAATTTCTGTTTTTTGGTCAAATTTGTCGAAACAAATGGCTACAAAGTGTTTAAATATTGTATTTTAGTGTCAGAAAGACTGTGTTATTCTTTCAGAATGATCGGTTTACTTTTAGAAAACTATTGCTCGGAAAACCATTTGCGACATTCTTTATGGCCACTACTGTATCTATCAACTGATCGACGAATTTTAGCGTTCAAAATAGGCTAGAAAATGATAATGGAATTCGTAGAATTCATGTTAGTCTTGCGTAGTCCTCAACGGAGGATAGAATGTTCACGACGGACGAACGATTAGAGCAACGACAAGTTGTGATGTCATGATTATGGATATACTCCAGAAACCATCGTCCGTATGAATGTTTGAGCAAAGTTGATATTGTATTTGAGCAATCGGAGATGACCGAGGTCGACGGTCGCTGTACTCCGCGAGGAGAAGGTGCCAGGCTGAAATTAATTATTCACGTTCTGTAACCGATTTGCTTTTTTTGTTTGTCTGATGCTTCGTATTATCGTGATTTTTTGAAGCTAAATGGATTTCACAAACTGCATTCTTTCCTATGGTCCCTGCATAACTGCTACAAAAAAAATTGTTAACGTATTTCACCGATTGCGGTATCTAATAAGTTTTATTGTGTAGTTATCGTATTTTTGAGCCAATTCAAAATTAAAATGTATTACAAGTACGTGTAATGATAATACATAGATAGAGAGAGGGTACATATGAAAACAATTTCAAAAATAGCGGTTTAATATTTAATATATGCTCCGGCGTGCATCGAAAATACGATATAAATTTAAAAAATCCCATTTAAATTGGATACTGAATTATTACGCTTCAAGTAGACATCTAGTTAGACAATTGATTCACACAAAACAATTACCCAATCCAGTATAAATAATAATTGTTCATCTATGAGCACTCAGCATCCAAATGGGCACTCATTTTTTGAAGTCTCGAAAAAGGACTGAGGATAATTTTCTAAATGCACTCAAATAATTGCCTTAAAAATTACCGAATCTACAATTATCGCCTTCGAAGTCTTCTAATTTTCGCTGACGTCAATGATGCGAAGAATTTCGCGACGATATCTCATAAAGCTTTTCAATATGTTTTTTTTCTCTTTTCTTTTCCATAAATAACGCCAATTTCCGATCCGTGAAAATTAAATTCGAATTTTTTCCAATTTCGTATCAAATTGAACACGTTATTTGCCGAGCCTTCCGTTATTGGTGTTCGTACCAAACATTTTCGAAATAACTTTGTTTAGAGTGTATCGTTTAACATACATATGTATGGATATATTCAGGGTGCTGAAAATTACTCGCATTTACGTTTCGGGCTTCCCTGTTTGTATCAAGAACGTTTTGAAACAATTTCTTTTTCAGTCAGTATTATTTATATCGTTTCACCATTCGTTTAAAATTTTATATGTTCATGAAATCCCGAAAATTGAGAAGAAACGTTGGCACAGCGTTGGCGCAATTCCGCTTTTTGAACGTGTTCAAGTGTGTGCTGCAAACTGAAATGGTGTTTTTGTTCAAAATCCTCTTAATTTGATTATTTGCTTCAAATGATTTATCAAATTTTTTACTTCACCCAATTTTTTTGCTTGAGCCAAAAAGCTCAAATTTATGAAAAACTACTGAAATGCTGAATAACTCAATTATGACGTGAAAGTGGATTATAAATGCTTTTGTTAGATTTTATTAGACAAATTATGACCTTATGATAATGGTAAGCTTTTTTGACAATGAGCTAAGACAAAAAGAAAAAAATTTTATTATTATATTTTTTCCATCACCTAAAAACCATATTTATGTAAAGCTTTGAAATAGCAAAAGACATATTTCAACTACTTGCAATTCATTGCTTTTCGATTGAAAATTTAATTTAAAATTAAAAACACCGATATTTATTGAATCGCGAAAAAAGATGCTTGCATAATAATGAATGAACTACTCAAAAACGAAACAAAAAGGAAAATCAAGCAAACAAATGCAAATTGTATTAATATTTTAGTCGTCAAGAAACGTGACAACGTTATTTGCTAATACAAAAATTTAATTATCCGCGTGTTTTATATCCTAATTGTTACTTCATATGTGTACATAAATATTTGGTTGCTAATCCCTCCCGATTTTGCACTTTTGTCTGTTCGAATCAGAAAAATGTCAATTTCCATGGTGAATCCCATTATTCGATTTGTCTTCTGTTGTTCATTACATGCAATTACAAAAATTCCTTAAGGATGATTGACATTGATGTTTATTTTTTGTTTGGAAAATGACACAACATCAATCATTCAATGAAAAAGCTTTGAAATTGAGAATAGCTAACAACATCGTTACTTTTTTTTCAGTTTTCGTAGTTGATATGATTAAAAGTTAACGTTTTAAAATCATCAAATCATTTTAAATACTGAGTGTCATTCAAAGAATGTGCGATTATTGATTTCATCTCGAGGGTGTAATCAAATAGCGAAAGAAAACCCGAATTCTCAAAATTGGCGAGGATAATCTTGGCTGAGCCAACTAATTTCGTTTTATCACATATTTTCATTCTTCCGCCGCCGAGAATATGGTTCATAAAGCCTTTCTTTCTTATTTGATGTTTTTTTGGTGGTTGCGTGTATGTTGTTGCGATCAGGGTCTTTCAATTTCATATCCTAATCATCATTCTAATTCGTCTCTTACAGTGTTTTTCTTATTTGTTATTTTTTTGATTTCGTTTATTTACGTATGCAAGTCACAATACTTAATTATTTGCGATTTACATTCAAGATTTTAATGAACACACTATTTCACATTTTCCCGATTGTCTATTTTCTAGAATAAAACATTAAAGACTATCTCCAAACTCGATGTGTCGCTAAAACTTTTGATACGAAATTAATTACTGGCGCAATAGTAAAAATTCGAAAAGTATGAAACTAGAAAAAAAAACAATATTTTTTGCCATGAATCAATCAATATATGTACATATACGATTTGTGAGTTTAATTTGTCATTTCTTATCGAAACACTGAAAATGCAGTAATCCTTGAGAATAGGCGAATACATATTGAGATAAGGCGTTCGTTCCGCCTTTCCAAACAGATTATTATCATGGAGATTTAATCCAGATAAATGGAAAAGAGAGCCTGCTCTAGAAAGATATCAAACGCGGTGGCAATCGAATTATTAAGATTATATCGAAATTCGCTAAAATTCTACCGCTAAAACTATATTCTAGGAAGGAACCATATTATATTTTTTTCAGTAAATGTTTAATTTCGAATATTGCTTATTTTTCCAGAATTCTATAAGTGAAACAATTTTCTTTTCTTTTTTTTTACATAATTGAACTCTTTTTTTTGTGTTCCTTTTGATTTTTTGAGCAATGGCTGTGTTATTGTCGTTGGTGCTACTGAATTCGAAAATCACACATTTTGCCAATTCATCGGAAGCCATGAAATGATGGAAAATGCTAATCCAAAATTCGTACTCCATAGTCTCAAAATTGTCCGAGATTCGCTTTTTTTTCTAGTTTGCCTTGTTGGTGTGCTTCGACGAAACCGACGCATCTTATTGAAAACGAGAAAATGAAATACGTAATTTCATATACAATGAAAATGTGCCTGATTACGTTTTTCTCTCCACCCATTGTTGTTGATTTTTATTTGTTTTCATTCAGCACGATCTTCCTTCTTCCCAACATCCTGCTTATTGGACATTTTTTTGTTTTGTACAAATCCGAAAGAAGTGACGCTCCGAAGAAGTTTTGCTTCCATTACCCAGAATGTGATTTGCAAGAAGTTCTGCAAATTTATATATATACTACTCTTCTAGATGATCTCTTTCATCATTTAATAGAAAACAATCCATTTTCGGAAAATAATTAGATTTTTTGCGAGTAACAATCCAAAAATATTCATTGATACCTCGAAAAACCATAAGAATCGGTGATTCTTTCTTTAGTTGTCATATAAGTCAGAAGCCAGCCAATCAATCGCGCGTTTCCTGTTTATTGCGGATATCCATTTTTCTTACTCCCACTCATTCCGTCGAGTTCTGCGAAAATTTTAAATGCCAATATCGATTTAGCCGGATTTGCACGTTTTGACCAATTTTTTCTCTCAATTTTCTCGGTTCATTTCTTTTTTTTTTCAACAAAAGCAAAGAAGATTATTAATAGAGATTCGAAAAATTCAAACCAGATTAGGTGTATTGTGGGGCTGAAAATGGTGAAACTCGAAGAAATCTCTCTGGATGGCATTCGACGAGTCTTAATCTTTTTCGCCGAATTCCCCCGTCCCGACAAGCCATTCGATAATTTGGAAAATGGCCGTTTACAAGCAATTATGCGTAATCAGTGTACAGCTCTCATCCATATTCAATTCCTACTTCGCGGATTAGCAATTCCTTCGTTTGCTTTCGCTTGCTACTTTTACGCGACTCGATTAGAGCCACACACACACGCACACTTCACGGGAAAACGGATAATCGCTGTCATCAATAGGTGGTGGTTTAGTGGTCTCAATTTATGGCTTTCCCTTATAACGCAACCAACAAAACGATAACCATTTCCCATAAATGGCAAATTGTTGTTTTCAGTGTTTTTTAAAGCCTTAGAACCTTTCAATTACAATTGAATTACGTTGTTCCTTTCATTGCATTCCCATAAACCAATTGAAGCTCCATTTTATGAGTTGTTCCCATTCAATTGGTTTGCTTTCTTTTTTTAGGAAATTAAACATTTGAAAACAATACCTTCTAATCCACTTAATAATTTAAAAATCGCATTTTTTCAAGATTTAGAGTTCGTTTAGACCAACAAAACTTCATCGGCTATCATCATTCTTGATATCGATTGAATCAATTTTGAGGAATAATTAGAATTTGATGCAATAGGAACAATCTGTGATGAATGGGTACACGACGTCAGTAGACGCATTTCTCTTGAATTGGTCCAAACAAACTTTATATTCTAGAATGGCCAAATTTGCCTCAAAAGTGGGTGAAATGACAAATGGAGTCAACGTTTAAGAAATTATGGTCCCATTTGGCTCCATCCGGAATTTCGATATGTGGGCTTTAAATTTGGTTTACATCAAGTGAATTTTAAGGCTTAATTCATGCGCGTAAATCCGAAACATCGGATTTCTATGAAATAGTGTGCATGAGCTGGGTGAAGACATCTGCTTTAACGATCTCGTGACACCAATTGCGAATAATTGGCTACAGATTTTCGGTTCTCAACCGGAATAATGACATTTCATAACTGCTCCAACGGCTTTGCGAATTTTGTTCTTTTCTAGAAGAGAACACTTTGTTCGCTTTTCTGCAATACCCTTTCTAGATTGATCTAAATTCATTCTCGAAAACACCAATAAATTTCTATGCTCGGTTGGATACAGTAATCCAATTATTGGTGCATTTTAAAAATCTTTCGATTTTCCCTGATGAGATACTCTAATGCAAATTTATTTATGCACATAATAATTAATGCGTAGCAAATCGATTTGCGGTCAATTTTTTGAACTCCTAATAATTTTTGCGGATATCGCTGATTCGTGACCGTTTCAGTGCAATTTTCTTCTCCTCTCGCAATTATCGCCACCATCTGCTGAATAATTGATAAGCGCGCGAGACTGAAAAGTTTCTTGTGTTGCTTCTATGAAAATCACTCTAATGAGAATTATACTAATACTCTATTAATGATGCAAAAAACATTTTCGTTCTCTTCTTCTTTTTTTGCTCCTACAGACTCAGCTCTATCACTCGGATAATCCGTCTCGCGAAAAATCCGCTGCGCATTTGTTTTGCAGTTTTCATTCATTTTCAGCCGCTTCGCTTAATCGTTTTCCATACAGTTCTTCAATATCACTTCGCCTTACTTCGTCGTTTCAGATGTCCAATGATATCTTGACACAATTGCCGTTGTGTGAGCCGTCGGTTTTCAATGAGATTCAGACATCAGCACGTTTATTTGGAGGTAATCCGTCATTATCAACATGTGTTGGTATTTCGATATAATTCAGGAATGCCGATTGCCATTTTTGGCTTCATCACAAATGTCATTAATGTTATTGTTTTTTGGGATCCGGAAATGAAGTGCTCGCTCGTCAATCATTTTTTATTAGTGAGCCAATTTTTTAAAAACAATTTTTGGGATCAAATAGATGACTAATTTCCAGATATTTCTCTTGCAGAATTTTTTAAAAGAATACTAACGTATCATATTAATCATATTAAAAAATTTATTTTGAAAAAAAATTCGAAAATGGAAAGAGTAAAGGCGATGATTAGAAGAAAAAATAATGAATTAAAAAATTCAAACAAAAAAAAACAAAGACGAAAATTAAAGAAAAAGACTAATTACTACAAATTGTCTTATTGATTTCGCGGTTTTCCTCGTAATTTTTTTTTTCAAATTTAGTGATCTACATTGAAGTTGGTTTTGGTTTCAGATTGTTCCCAATATCATTATATTCAAATATCATTGTCAACCATTCAAAAAATGATTAACTTGACCTGACCTTTTTGGATTTTTGCTCCAAAATTCGTAAAAGATTTAAATTTCAATAGTTCATTTCTTGAAATGTCCCTCTAAAATTGATGAACAACATTGCGTCATAATCCTCGAGTTTCACTGACGTAGAAATGCGAAATGATCTGTGCTTTGAATTTAAACGAATTTGAAGTTTTTGAAAGCTTCAGGCAAGACAATCTGAATTTACACATTCAACATTAGTATAAATTACAAAGCAGATTAATATGTATATATTATCATGTTCATGGTTTTATTCACATAACTATGTGCTCAAGAGTACACGATACGTAACAAGCTGCGTGGTAAATAAACGAACGTCGATGACCAGCGGATTATATCAATTGATTCACATAAATAACACAACAGCACGTAGGGTTTCCGGTTAAAATAATTGTTGAAAATTACAATGTTCCCGTGCTGATAAAGAATATTTGAAACGAAATGAAAAATTTGGACTACCTGCCTTTCTTTTCTTCCAATTTTTTGGGTATAATATTTGCACTAATAATCCGCACCTTATTCGTGGCTCATCAGAGAAGCTCAGTGAGAGTGAAACAATTTTTCATTAAAATAATGCCGGTGTTGCACTAAAATTAATATCGAAAAAAAAAACTGTTAGAAAGTTTTTTTTTGCGTAGAACTGAATGCGCCCATTTTTATTTGAATAAAAGGGTATCTCTGAGCGCATCGCGACAAGACCTCATTCGCATTTTTTTTTGTTTAAACTGGATTTTCTGTTATAACCCTTAAATAGAGGAAATCCGCTTAACGCCAACGGAAAACGTGTCATCAATATTGGTTTCCGGGTGATCTGTGCGACAATATGAAATTACGTATTCTGAAAAATAAATAAAATCAGAAAATTTGCTGGAAATTGTTATGCAAACGTGAATTCAATAATTTTGAATATTAATGAAAAAATATTACAATCGCAAATAAATGAGTGTCGAGAGGAGAGTTTGATTCGCAGGTTATCCGTACTACGGTAATCCAAGGCCTACTGTTTAAATCGTTGTATTCTCTCCCGCTGGCCGGCTCAATTTAAAATATAAATTACTCAAGGTGCTGAACGAATAAGACAAATTTATAATTTTTGCAATACATATTTTAATAGGAAAAGTTTCTGCATATGTAAATATTTTAATAATTAAAAACGGCTTGGATACTTGCGATTTTTTGGCAATTCAAAATCCAATTTCAACTACCGTACTACGGAAAACCCACGTACATCAAACACGGGATATTTACTACTAACAGTAAACTAGTGTGCTTTTTCTGAGACTCTTGTTCCAATTAGCATTTGCGATATTATTGATTCTGGCGGAGCTTTCAAGTTTTTCGGTCCCTTTAGTCAGAAGGCGATATAGCAAATTTTGTGTCATTAAATATTTGTCTATATATTATATTGCAAAATAAATATTATTAAGCGAACATTTCTCAAAAATGATTTTTTAGGTGCTCTCAATATCGGACCTTCTCTTACTCGTCTGCAACTTCTTCATGCTCATATTCCCCGTAATTGCATCAATTAGCAACAATTACCTTTTGCATGACTACTACCCATTATTATTATGGTTTGTATTTGCGAGTTAATTGCACACAATCAAGATTGTCTCAGGTACTCATATCCAGTTGGTCTCAGCACGCAAACATGCGGCGTCTATCTGACAGTGCTTGTTTCGGTCCATCGCTATTTGGGTGTGTGTCATCCGTTCCGGGCGAAACGATGGGTTTCCGGAAAACCTGTGAAATGGGCCATTATTGGTTATTGAAAGAATGTTCACAATAATTCTCAAACATTTGTTTTAGGCTCGATCATATTTAGTATTGCGATCAATATCCATACATGGATGGAACTCGCGATAGTAACATGCTATTCACGAGAGTTTAAGAGACCATTGAGGTGAGAGTTGCTAGATTGTTGTTGTAAGATGCGAGCAAACAAAACACACAAAGCACAAGCGAATTGTGAATTATTTATTTCGCTCGATCACAACTCTAATTGCATTTTTGTAAATAGCAAGCAGGAATACTGAAGAAAAATGGAGAAAACAAAAATCATGCGAATTTCAGGAGTATTGCGCTGACAGAACTCAAAAATTATGCGACATTCAACATTATAACAAAATGCATTCTTTACACGTTGATCATGTTTGTTGTGAGTCAAATACAAAATATCTGTTAGATTATATCGAATTTCAAGATACCTTTCATTACGTTGATTATCGTCAATTGTCGAATAGTAGTGGCTTTGAAGGAATCAACTCGAATGCGAAACGGGACATCCATCAAGAAGAATACCCAATCGTAAGAATCTGTTCATTTTCCGCCAAAATTCCATTTTTGGATGTGTTTGATTAATCGTTTCAGCATTTTCACATGGAAACTTCCAGAGTTGTAAGTTTCAGCCTGAGCATGGGTTGTGCATGAGTGTGAAATTGAAACATCAGAATCTCTATAGAAATTGCTTTCATTGTTTAAAAGGCATGAGTAACAATTCTGAAATATTTCAGTCGAATCATCACTCAATTCCGACTTCTCAAAAATGCGAAATATTCAGAGATTTTCGGCAGATTCGGAAGGCTGAATTTAAAGTAAAAAAAATCGAATGCGAACAGATTAAATCGTAGTTTTAGTCCTCTAAAAACACCATCATTGTTGAAAACCAATGGGAATTCGCTACGAGACCGCTCGGTGACAATGATGCTCCTCGCAATTGTCGCAATATTTCTCTGTTGTAATTGTTTGGCGTTTTGCAACAATATTTATGAGATTGTGCGTGATGCCCGTGGATCAGCATTAATCAACACAACGACAGTTGAGCAAGAGGTTTGTTAACGTCGCCGTGAAAATCCACCCAAAAAATGACTATTTTCTTTAACAAATTCCCTCAAATCGTCTCTAAGTTTATTGGATCGCTTAACACTAATTTTGGTTCTGATTTCAATTGAATTCCTTTGTTTGATTAGGCAGCTCATTTTCTTGCTGCATGATGCTCCAATTCGCTTTCAAATAGTGTGTTTCAGGAATCCCTCAATGTATTCCCAAATTCTTGGTCTCTATTTCGTCAGTGGACATTCGATTTGTCCGTCGAAATTTCCAATATCCTTATAAGTTTGAACTCATCCAGCTCGATGTTCGTCTATTTGATCTTCTCGTCGAAATACAGGTCTATCATCAAACATTGGCTTGGTTTGGAGAAGAGGAAGAGGGTGAACATGAAATGATTTGATCGGTTTTCGTAATTCATAGCGTTTCCAGATAAACGGAGTCGCATTGACGACAGCGATGGCGGCTCAAAAGGCTTTGGAGTTGTCAATTTTGCCAGATGAGGTCGAGTCTCGAAGGCATCGTTTAGAAAAACGGCAAGGTGCCAAAAAGCATATTCTCAATCGATCCGCTCAACTGTTTTTGACAACATCCGAAGCTGATCTAAGACAAGCTCGGTCGATTCGGGCCACTACGAGCGACGAAGGCGGTATTCACGAGACTCCTGCATTCGAAGAGCCAAGCACAACAAGTATCATTTCAAGGGGTAATTCATGCTTTATTTGAATCGTGTCTTCTAAGAGGCAAAACAAATAATTAAAACTGAAATCAGATGACATAACAGATAGATTCGTCATTTTAATGGATAGATAGTTCGAATGGAGAATATTTTTTGATTTATATTTTCATTCGTTAATAGTATTCGTATTTATGCTAAATTATTCTACCGTGTTTTGTTTCAAATGTTTAACGCATTCACAAAATTTTCCTTTCTATTTTATGAATAACTGCATATTTAAGATATTAATTATATATTTTTTATTGAATTTAATGATAATTTGTTGATTGCAGATAATGCCAATCGATCAAGCTCAAAACGGAAACTGTTAAGATTTGCCACTCTTGCTTAAATATTCCACCCAAAAAACTGTAAACTCATCGGAATATTCTCATCATTTTTCGGTCTCGCCTACAATCAACGGGTTTCTTTTTTATCTGCGCGTTTCGACTCTTGAATAAACATTTAATGTTTGATATATTGTTTTCAGTTGAAATCGTAGAGAATTTCAAGACGCCAAAGTGTCACATTTCATTTCCTTCAATCGCATTTTGCAGTGTCTAGGAAATTGAATGCGGACGGCTGAGAAACCTTACGTTTTCTGAATAGTTTAGTTAATTAGAAGAATGTCACTAACACGAATGTCAATTCCGCGTAAACTGATCTCCTCGCTATTTTTTTCTTTTTTGAATTTTTTGTAGTTACTCACAAAAAAAAGAAGATTGCATTTCGGTTAAAAATTATATCAGCAAAATTAATTTTCAAAAAATCCCCGCTTTTTGAAGTGACTGAAAATGTCTGCTATAATTTAAACTGGACAAAATGGAAGGAATAAGTGAAACAAGGAAAACCGATGAACAGACCGCAATAAAGAAAATTCTGAAATTATTGAGAATTCAGAGGTTTCTCAAATAGAATGAGTCCATTTTGAAATATTGACAATTGATTTATTCTTTGAGATTTTTCATAAAGAAACCACACATACTTCAAAATTCATTTTATTGAAATTCGTTTGTTATTTTGCTATACCTCTTTTCAATTTGTCTCATTTATTCATTCGGTGGCATTTCGTCCGATTCATTTGAATAATTCACAAGAATACTCGATTAACTCGGTCGCATCCCGTCGCCGTCGCCTCGGCTTACCGCCATCGAAAAAAAAGACGAATTTTGTGTTGCCTATTCACATCGTTTTCCGGTTTATGTGCACTTTTGAATACCAATATTATTGGTCGTGAAATTCGATGAGAAACACTACGATGCTCGTATTAATTTGTCGGGGGAGACATACCGCCACATTCCTCCGAAAAAAAAAAACCATTTTGTGTTCCCGGAAACAAAAGCTATACAATCTAAAGAGTTATTTTTCTTAAATTTTCCCCTTTTTCAGCTTTTCCTTTTTTATAATAGCTTTGCGAAGAAAACAAAGAACAGAAGAAATAATAATTGTTCTCGAGCAAGTTTGTCTCGAATCCCATATTTCTCCCGGTGAAATAGCAATGTTTGTATACAATTCCTTTCCGCATTATGAATGTATAGTATACCAAGCGAATAGCAATTATAATGAAAATATCCATAAAAATATTCCATATTATTGGTTTTTAGTTGGCCAAATTTTACGTTGTTCTGAGCCCATAATCTTCCGACTTCGACATTGGTTTCTCACGAACATTTTTGCTTCAATCTTAATTGGCCCCGATTCAGTAGCTTTCAAATTGCGATTTGGTTCACGAAAACCGCTTACTATATATTCATAGACTCATGATTTCTGAATAGAAATGACTATTTTGGAAGACGAACGAATTTGAAACATTCCGAATTGGATTCAGAATATGTCTATAAATGAGAGAAATTTTTCAGGTGCACATCTGAACGAGTAAATTCCCATTTCTGAAAATAACGTGCGCATTCATGCTGGTCCCGAAAGGTCTAACTATTCGAGATTAGAATTCAATGTTGTTATAGAGCATTTTTTAAATCATTTTTTTTAGAAATAATTTTTTGAAATACATACAACATTATTTATTAAAACGGGAATACATATATTGCTTTTGTTCTTGACAATTTGGTTTGTTCAGAGTAAAAATTCCTTTTATTCGTAAATTTACTATTTTTTTTTATCTTTATTTAATTTTTTTATTTTGTCAATCCTAATTTTCTCCAAATTTGTCTTAGTTCCTTTTCATTTTATTTTTCGTTGTTTAAAATCAAGAAGCAGAAATCGATACGATCTTTTAGATTTATCATTCTTTTCCAATCGCATTTATGATTATTGCAAGCTAAAAAAAGAAATCATAAGGTGGGAGACACGATTCAAAAAATACCGTAAATGGGAGCCACTTTTTACGAGCCCCAAAATATGTATGGGCTAATTCTTTAATTTCTCTTTTTGTACCCGCCAATTAGTCGTTTTGTTTCATACCAAAATTTCGTTACTACTCAACTCTTCAATTATTGGAAGCCACAATTTTTTCGGTGAGACATCCGGTAAACAACAACAATACAAGTTTTTCAAATTTCGGTTTGTATTGTTTGACACGAACAAATTATGCATGTCTTCTAATTAGGTTTAAAATTGAAACGACCATTTTCGGATGAATACAATTACTTCAGTTGTTTTCTTTCTTATGACAACATAAATCAACAAAATAGGTGTACAGGTGAAATTTTATTGAAAATATGGAGGAAAATAATGTTATAAAACTCTCGCACAGGTAAGAGGAGATGATCAGTTGGATGGGCGCCCATCAATCTCGATACCCAAAAAATAAATTACCCAAGCGCGTGCTTCGTGCTCATCTTCTCACCGACACCGATGAATGAATCTTTTCTCTTCCAAAATATTTGTCCTGCTATATTGCGGAACACTCATCCCATTTCTTTCTGCACTTGAGCCGTTTAACGTCGGCAACATATAACAAGTTGCTGCTCAACTCACATATTCCATATAAAATTCATAGATTCATTCATAGGTCGTATTGTCGGAGGCACTAGCTGAAGCCGCATCAAAAGGCTTACTACGCGTCACCAACTTTGTGAGAGAACCACACCCAACTCATACATTGCTTTTATAACTTCTACATTTAACATGTATGTATATATATGTAGTTAACTGAGATTATTCCGCATAATAATATGGATTCTAATTTATTCGCTTTTATTTACATGCCGCGATAATTTTATGTTTCTTCTCTTCCATTTCTCAACGCAATGATTTATTTATTCCAATGTGTTTTTAGTATAATTGTTCAGATTCTCCACGTCATGCGCCGATGAACGTTGGCCGACTACTTCAGATTATATTCTTGGGTGTTCTAATTCGAGGTACACCATAATAATGATATTTGCGGTTGTTGAAATCTTGTATTAGAATCATTCGGAATGTGGTGTTTTGATGGATCAGATTGTGAAGCTACTGACACGTGTGCCTTATGCGATGGAGCTGCTTGCCTTCGCGTTCAAAGGTAATGTCGAGGATGGATGAATTGAAAACGGGAGCGTTTCCTATAATTGAAATTTTTTACATCATAGTCCTGTAATCATTTTTCATTTGATCTATTTACGGTATCGCGCGACTGGGGAAAATTGGCTAAATGCCATAAAAAAATGACAGTGCCCTTGGAGAAAAACGAAGAGTGTAGATTTAGGGGCCTAAAAATGGTAAGTATAGGTTAAAGGATAGGTTAAAGGTGCACACCACGCAACGCGATATCTCCTTAAATTTTTTGGCATTTACAAGGGAAGTCATTTTACCTCCCGTCTTAGGATTTTTTGTAATTTTGCACACGTAAACTAGAAGGTCTTTTGAGAGTATTCACAAAATTCCAGCCTGCACTGGGGGGTTACAGGCGAGTTATGGCCGTCTGAAAATTCAAGGTGTTTTTGCATTGTCAGCAACTATTTGGGCAAGGGGTTACGCATACGCCTCTTGGGGCCCCAGTTTGGCATCCATGTGAAGTGAAGTGGTATGTGTGCGGGGCCGTGACTTTATGATGAAGGTTCGCACCCGGCTCATGCATTTTTGCATTTTTTCTTTTTGCCACAGAAAATTCCGCTGCAAATTGGTTTCAAACGCATAATTTCATGTAAAAATGTCGTTTCAACATTATTTATTATTTTTTTTTACATTTTACAGTTTTTCGTTTTTTTCAAAAATTTCCTGAACTCTATTGTTTTCCACAATTGGATGTCGAAAAACTCACTTCTGATCGTTTAAACGCATAATTTTATTTTTTTTACATATTTAACAATTTACTCTTTTTCGGAGTTTATTTTGCAACACCAGGTCAGCAGCGGGCCAGGCAACCAACAGTTCATGTGATTGTTAATAATCATGAGTTCGAAACATAAGAATTTTTCAAAATACAAAAAACGAATGAATGAGTTATATCAATATATTGCTACATTCTGGCGTTTGGCATTCTCTGGCAACGTCTCTCGAAAAGAGTTTCTGCGCTGGAGTGAGGTATGGTGGAGGCCGTGCAACATTATATCCACTCGCAGCCCAACTATGTATGCTTGATCCAATCTTGAAATTTCGGATAACACAATTTCCTGTACACGACATAAAGAATGTGTAAGAAAATAATGTTATAACATTTTCATTGCTGGTTTTTACCAAAAGAATCGACTTTCGCTTGTGGACCTTGAATGAATGTTGCCAAAAGTGGGTGTATTCTCCGATGGATTTGATAACTTTTTGGGCCCTCCGAACACTCCAACATCGAGTGATTCCACGAATCCCGTATATCCAGTTGGAATAGAAACTTCGAAATGTTGGAGTTGTATTTGTGTCCTTGCAGTCTATCCATTCCTTTCCATCCACTCCAAGAACCAAACAATAAAGTGGAAAACAATAGAGTTCAGGAACTTTTTGAAAAAACCGAAAAACTGTAAAATGCAAAAAAAAATAATAAAGAATGTTTAAACGACACTTTTACATGAAATTATGCGTTTGAAACCAATTTGCAGCGGAATTTTCTGTGGCAAAAAGAAAAAAATGCAAAAATGCATGAGCCGGGTGCGAACATTCATCATAAAGTCACGGCCCCGCACACATACCACTTCACTTCACATGGATGCCAAACTGGGGCCCCAAGAGGCGTATGCGTAACCCCTTGCCCAAATAGTTGCTGACAATGCAAAAACACCTTGAATTTTCAGACGGCCATAACTCGCCTGTAACCCCCCAGTGCAGGCTGGAATTTTGTGAATACTCTCAAAAGACCTTCTAGTTTACGTGTGCAAAATTACAAAAAATCCTAAGACGGGAGGTAAAATGACTTCCCTTGTTAGCCAATTTTCTTCAATCGCGCGACTTCGACAATACATGCATAAGTGTGTTCATTCAAGAAAAATGGTATGCAAGTTTGATCACTCAAATTAATGAAGAATTTGTGGACGTACGAATTTGAAGTGCGCGGGCTGCCAATTAAGTGGTTCTACTTAGTCTGCGTGAGACCAGAAAATCTACCAGCGTCTCACGCCAAATTCGCCCGTCTTTCACTATATATTAACTTTACTAAAGTAGATTTCAAGCGATTGAGCGGTGGCGAGAACTTCAACATCCCGAAATCGGTTTAGATCTACGCACGTGTAAATTTATTATTGACTGAAAATTAAACAAAACCGGCTACGCGTTTTTTTAATTTTGTTGTCAATATACATACTTTCTTTAGGAACCATCCACAGCGGGGATTATCAGTGGCGATGACGTGTCTACCTCACGATTCCCTCATTCACACATATCATCCAGAAGGATGCCGAACTGAACTCGGATCTGGCGAAAAGCTGTGTCTATGCTCTAATCGCGACTTCTGCAATTCATCGCCGACGCGGTTTTTGCTATATATCTTCTTTCTAGTATTGCTCTTGATGTGATATATAAATATTCTTTCATTGAAAATAAAACAAGATAAATCAAAAAGAGATCTTGATCAGTCGAGATACTTAGCCATGAGTTCCTGTTTTTTCTGCTCCAACAGCATTTCCTCAATATCTTGTTGAGTTGGAATCTGAGAAAAAATTATTAATTTTTAACACAGGAATTAAATAATCTACCAAAACGTGCTTAATCGTCATTGGCCGACCATCATCTCCGATAACAGTTGTCTCTTGGGTTTCGAGATCACCCTCGTCCTTTAAAAATAATTATAATTTGGAACGAACCATCTGGAAGCACAGACCTCTTCGACTTTATAAATATTTTGGTAGTCATCCGGTGAAGCTTGATTTTGAGCACCCTTCTCGTCGAATTCTTTTTTAATTTTTTCAATATTTTGCTCTTCCACCAGTTTTTCTAGTGGAATGAGACGACCATCTTCGTCATCAAGGTACCCAAAATAGTGTGCATCGATGTTTTTTATGATTTCATGGCGATTTTGTCGATTTTCTTCGTGCTCCGCGTTTTTCTCGAACAGTTCTCGAACACCAGGCAAATCTTTGGCAGCACCAAAATATTTATAACCTTTGCCGTCATTTATTTCGCGCCCTGACGCATCAAGTTCTTTAGTAGCGTACTTCCTAAATTAAAAAAAAACTGAATAAAAAATCTTGAGCTAACTAAATGTTACCTATAATCAGTTCCACCTAGTTCCTTGATTCGAACTTCCCAAGCATATTTCAATTTAATTAATCGATTGATTTCGTCATTCAAATCTCGTAACTTATACTCTCCAAGACCTGGATTTTGAATAGCTGCAAGCTTTCTTGATGCGTCGCGAATAATTTCGCGTCGAAACCGTTCGGCATCATTTACGTTTCTACAATCTTTACAATCGTGGGGCCTTTTTGCAATTGGTCCCTGAATATTTTTTCATATGTATATACAAAATAATTAAAAATACCCTTTCTTCTTCTTCTTTCATTCGGCGCCAACGCGCAAGTGCTGTCATAGCCTTTTCAGCATTACGAGCCTAAAAAGGAAAATTTCGCGAATTAACCTAATCGTTTTATATCTGTGAAACATAAGAATAAAAAAATAACTAACCATTTTTGAATACTATTCTGTTGAAAGGCGCTAAAAGCTTAAATAATTGAGGGGGATACTTCGAAAATTCAAATTCGAATTGGCAGACGCACAGTTGGGTGTATACGCTAAACAGCGTGCGCGCGGAGTCTCGTTGCATAAGAATTCGGATTTTTGTTTAAAACGAAACTATAAATTAATTGATGATGATTTATTAAAAATGAATTGGTAATATTTAACAAACATTTCTTTAAAACGAAACAACTGGAACCTCACGTTTTCCTAAAATAAAATACCCTACGTACACATATTGTACAACATTTCAGAATGAAATGAAGCGATTAGTATACCTATGCCTTATGCTTTTAACGCAACGCAGGGTATCATCGTCGTTTACAGAATTAATAAATTCAGGTTCAACAGTTCCAACGGTGGATATTTTACTAAAACATAAAACGTTTACTATAAAACAAATAACAAATTTGGTACCCATCATTCTTTGATGGCTCCGTTATTTCGATACCTGTTGCTATGCTCGCGCCTCCATTTGCTTTAATATTCGGTTTCGATCGTTTTTCTCAAAAAAATTATTTTCCACTGTTTGGTTAATATAACAAACTTCCAACTCTTCGTATCGAAACAATATTTGCTCGAGGTTTTTTGACCATAATAAGTTTGGCTGACCTCGAAAATGTAAGCGGTGGACTTTGTGTCTTTAAATTTCTTTGATCTCATCTTAATTTTTATACAAAATTCTACCACAGCAAGTGTTGTTGATGGATTCTGACTTTTCGGAATAGGTCCTCGTTTATCATTATCGCATCTAAGATTGTTTTCTGATTTATTCCTTCCCAACGGATCTGGCTGATTTATCTAAAAATTGTTGTTTTCTATTGTAATTCCTATAAATGTGCACATTAGGTGGTGTCGCATCTGGTTTAGGTTTCTCATTTTCCTCTTTATGGACTTTCTTATCAGCAGGTGGAGATTTCTGAACTTCTTCAGCGCTTGCTTTTGTAATTTCTCCGCTCATTTTCACTTTTTCGTTACTGTCCTAAAGCAGAAATACGGCATTTAGTTCATACAATGAAATCGATTCAGAAATAATCGGTACCACTTTCTTCGAAGAGAAGCGTTTTTCCTGAATAACTGGGCTTTCGCTCGGTTTGGCAACCGGGTCCACATGAATCGGACTCATCATCGGAATATCGCTTTGTTTTGAATTCGATAATTGCAAATATTTGGAACTGGACTTTTTCTTTTTTGTAAAACAAGTCACCGATAAACAAAGCGACAATATAAACATGGACAACATTTCTATGAACATTTCTTCTAGAATACTTTTTGTTTTCTTTTTCTGAAATTTGAAAAATATTCCCAACAACATCAATTTAAAACAACCTAAAAGACATAAGAAGAATAAGTAGAAATGAGTGGAAAAAATATCGAAATTAGTGGCTTATTTAATTATTGTTGGAATGACATCGCACGTCCTGTATTACGAAATTTATTGTTTTTCTGACACAGATTTTCGCCGAGCGAAATGCTTTGGCGACGCAGGAACACCTGGAAGAAAAAATTTGAAGTTTGGGTGGCCATTCGAACGAAACCTCTGGACGATGTGCAGGCGGAGAGCAAATCGATTCGGTTGGTGATTCTTCTCGATCTTCCACTTCTTAAACTCGCATATTTTATAATAATAAAACGGAAATATTGATCACCGGGTTCCAATTCTTGTAAAGCAGGAGCTGGTAGGAAACTGATGCGGCTCAGAATCGAATGACGTGAGCGAATGTTATTAGGAGCTGGTTGAAGTGATTCCACAGGAGGTGGTTGAACAGGTTTGTCAACCGGTGGTGCCGGAGGAATTGCTTCTCTGAAAATGTTTTTGCAAATTCGCCGTTAATTGGTTTGAAAATTATGTACGAATAAGCCGAAAAAAACGAAATAACCTCAAGTATCGAATGAAGGTATGCCTTGAAGATTGGTTCTTCTTCATATAAATCGGGCATTTTCCAAATAACAATCCAACGGAACAAAGCGACAATATCAAGAAAAATACTGAAACAATTGCTTAAAAAGGAGATACGCAATTTCACTCACGAATAAAAGATCCGTTCAACGCAAAAAACCAAATGAGCATTATTTGGCTCGAAGAAAGAGCTTCCCGGCCGTATTTATATGAAGACAATAGGATTTTCGGCTGACTCGCAGGACAATTCGACTCGTCTTCTCCACAAGTGTCAAGACCATCGCAACTCAGAAACTTCGGAAAACACAATTCGGTAGTGTCTAAAATAATATTGAATTGGCGAATCGGACAATTGTTGTGTTTAACTCGGTCCAATATCTAAACTCGGACACTTCATTGACTCTTCATCGCATTCCGATGGCCTAGAGAACATCAAGACAGATCGAAAATTCAAATTCATTGGAATATTTAAAAGGATTGGGGTTCTCAGATATTGATATCCTTTTGGTTTATTGTCTACAATGAATGTCGCATCTTCATTGCTGATCACTATTTCTTTCGTGTTCTTTGGCCGTCTATGAGAGAATATCAGGAAGTTGGTAATGGATACAAGCAGGGATTCTTTATTTCTAGTGTCGATTTCAATTTGGCATAAATCTCCTTCGTTCACGTCCTGAGTGAGATAATCATCACTGGCGATAGTGAGAAACGAGTCGACGACAATCCTACAAGCTCGTAGTGATCTTGGAATGCTCTTCTAGTGATCTTGGAATAAAGTCACCTGTTTGGAGGACAATGGGCATCAGCAAACATTGAAAAAATGCAAAAAATTGTTAGGAGTTGAAGAACCATGTCGGAAATCGAATACGATGTCGAATGCCACTTGAACTAATCCTTTTATATCTCGCTCGTTGCTCTTCAAGGACCATGAAAGCAAATTTCGAACAAACTTGGATATTGAAGTCTTCCCAAATTTACACCTTTCGAAGTGAAACATTTTTTTAAGGCTTAATTTTGAATTTGAATTATCGTTTCTTCAGAAAACATACTTTGGTCCGTAAACATTGAAACATTGGATCATTTACGATGACAATATCAACATGGTGGGGTGATATCAAACATTTTGCAAGACAATCATTAAAAACTTCCTATATCTCATATTTGGGCTGTGATAATTCACAAATATACCGAATAGAAATTGGAGTTTGAATTCTTGCATTAACCAATTCATTTAGGAAACAAATGAAATGTGCCATCCATTCGATTTCGACCTCTATGTGTTCTTTCTTACAAAAAATTCCTTCTTTATCATTGAAACTGCCTAGAAAAACGTTCAAATTTTGATAAATCGAAGTGATGCGAGTCGAAGAATGCCACAAATGCGTATTATGATCGAACATCATTGACAAGTATGATTGATAGAACAATTAAATAAGAATCTCGAAAATTGCCATTTTGATGAGTTCGACATTTAATGACACTATTGATCTCATCATTTGGTTAATTGTAAAACGAACTGATATCTGAATATGGATGTCCGCGAATATTCGCGAAAGAGTCCCCAATTGTCAGAATTGCCGACAAAATTGTCACAAGACGATGGAAAAAGAATGAGTCATGATGTATTTTGAAATGTTTTTTTTTGCGAAACAATTGAGCGGTCACTTCTCTTTATTTCTCCCACATTTTGAAGCGGTTTTGAACATTCAATTAATTGATTTCTTCGCTCTGAAAAAATTGTGAAATTCCAAATCCCCTATTAATATTTTTTTAAATGGAGATGTTTGAATTACATAAATTCCTCAATTCATTAATCGCGACCGAAATTTTTGGCATGTTGAGCAGAGCACAAAAGATGGCTTAAATGATTGCGTCGGTAAAAAAATTGATAACAATTGTTGCTATTTTCGACTTATTTTCTCGCATTTCGAAAAATACTCTTAATTTCAAAAATTCTGGAATTATTTCTTTGAAAAGTCGAGGGTTGAATTTTTTTCGAAAATTAGAAAAACAACAGAAGTTTGGTACAATGCTGATATCATGTTGATCGAATCAAAGACTTCCAAAAATATGTTTTTCGGACACTCGAGTCGAAAGAACTTTCAATTTCAGCACATTCGCTTCCTTCTATTATCAATTTGGGTTTCATTTCTACGCCAAAACATTGTCAGGGGCGTGCGAACAAACAAAAAATTTGACAAGCATGAAGTGGTGAACTCGACGTTCAAAAGTATCAATATTTAATGTTTAATGGCCTCAAATTTCTATCCTCACATTATTGTTTTAAATTCGGTTTTTGTATAGACAATGAAATGAATTTTCTTTAAAAAATAAATCACGCATATCATTTCCTTTAATAATATCTATAGAATTATCTTAAAACTCGAATTATAATTTTTTTATTTTCTGTAAACCAAAACAAAAATATGAAGAATGTTGTTCAATACAAAAGGAAGTTAAGAGGAAATCTCTTGATAAGCTAAAAAAAAGATTATGCAGAGTTTTGGCATTATTTTTTTTTTTTATTAGCTTGTTTTATTTATTATTTTTTTCAAATAAATATATTGTTTTTTGCATGAAAGCACCATAATTTTTGTTACACATGATATTAACTATATTGTTGGTTTAAAACGACTCATTATTAGTGTAGATTTACGAGATTGTAAACCTCTACCTTGAATATAACTCCGCGAACGCTAAGATGTTCTTTGCCTCAAGACACCTTGGCAGATAGCCAATATTTTTGTAGTAGTTTGCTTCGACACAATACTATGTATCGAAAGTAGTCGTAATTGGTTTTCGACGTTCTCAAAATGATATAAAATTTTTAATAAAGTGTCGACACATAACATCTGATCATTTCAAAACAAAAAAAAAACTTCAAACCCCTCGTCCATTTCAGTGTTTCATATTAAATGTTACATAATCACTGGCAATCAAAATGTGCATTTTCTGCAAAAATGTTCGACTTTACCCTTTCTCTTAATTTACAATAATGTGCACTGTTTTCGCTTTCAATATCTTATCGAACTTCCCAGTTTTGTGTCGAGTGAAACGCTTTTGATGATTGATCAAATTTTTCGCAGATAAGTCGTTGAATCGCACCACTCACATCGTTTATTGTAGAATTGAAAATGTGCAAAAAAAGATGAGAGCAAGAATCATTCGAAATGATGGCATTTTAAAATGGAGATGGGTATGACACAAATATTGTGGTTTCTGCACAATGTGCATTCATCAGTGATGTCCCATTTCGGACAAATGTTCGCGAATTTTTGGAATTGCTAGTAACAAATCATATTTCAAGCAGGAGGTTTTTGAGAACAACAAGGTTTAAGCAATTTGAGTTTTTCTAAGTTGAGCGCTCTTGCCAAAATAGGAAACATCCAAATGTTTGCGTTGTTCTAAATTTTTGAGAACATTCGAGAAAATTGAATTGAGTTGATTTTCAATTCGGAATCCCTTTCCTCCTCGATTATTTTTTTTATTGATGCATTATAGTGTTCATGCGGTGTACTGGCTAAAGAAGCATTGAAAGAATCTGATTTGAAACATGCACACATGACCCGTCAACAATAAACACGATGTTGGTTAAACAACCAATGGTCGTATGCGAGCAAACACCTTTTCATAAACATGAGGCTCCTTCTATTTCTCAGATCTATCATTCATATGACTTTATCAGCGGCTTCCAATCATGGAAGTTCTTCGAGGCAAAGTGCATTCATACAAATTGTCCGGAAATTATCTGTCATTCCTTGAAATTTGGAAAAAATAGTTCAAAACGCAACGATTAAAATTAATAAGAGATTGTTTACAACGGTCCACATTGAAGTTGTCTTGAAGAACCTTGAACTGATCGCAGCAACGCACGAGATTCAAAATTTTGTATCAGCCGCCGTAGAATATGACGTATTAGGAATGATAGCTCTAGCCGAAATTTCTTCGTGTTTGCCAAACGATTTTCATTTTTCGTATGTAGTTTAAAATAATTTAAAATATTTTTTTTCACTTTTTCCATAAATTCAAAATTTATATCTGAACATTTTTTAAACATTTAATAAAACCAAACAGTTGATAATAAATTAGATTTTTTTAAGAACGTTAAGCTTAAAACAGAAAATGGAATTAAGACGTTGTCTTGGCAAAGTTTTTGAATGTTCATCATATGTGCATATCTTCAAATAGTTTCCGGGGAACCTTCTGCAAACTTTTTTTGTGACGTAATAAATTTGGCATTCATCCAACGCCCGCACAATGAGATAACGAAATGTAGGACATTCGAGATAGCAAGATTGATTCTTCGGCGGTATTTGCCTCTTTATTAGTTGGCAACAAAATCATTCAAGTTCTTCAATTTTCTCGAATGTGTGGAAAGTACAATGAATTTATGATTAGAATTGAATAAGTAAAGTGATAAGCTTTTATAATCTTCTTGCGACGACACAGCAGACGAGGTGTTTCTGCGGGAAGAAAAATTCATTCAACTTCCAAGATTATCAGGATTTTTAAATTTGTATTTTTAAAAAGTTTGATTTTGCCGAAAATGCACGAAATGTTTAAAGTGTCAGTCAAGTTAATTGAAATTTCAGGCAAAACCCATTCGCAAGCTTCATTTGTTAGAACGTAAATTATTTGTATTTTTTGACAACAATGGAATTCTCGATTTAATAGAAACGACACGACAATCGCAAGAATTTTGAGTGAAAACCATTATTATCTAGTGTGACCTGATGACAATCTGTTAGAATCATCAAAAATAGTTTTCTTTTAAATATGCATACGGTATTTTGCGATTTTTTCAGGAGCCGAACGATTTTTTTTCTATTTCACATTAAGGTTTTCGTTGGCAATATTTCATTCGTTGTTTGCTTCGCAAAACATGATTATAAAGTTAAAACTTGATTCGAATTATTGCAGCATGTCCGCAGCTGCAGCAGCTCATGTACGTAAATGTTCACTTCGAAGTATTTGACGAGATATCTGCACAGGCAAAACGCGACGGATGAAGTCCGGGCGAAGTCCGGATATTTGAACGTCACGGCTAAAAAACGGGCCAAGTACGGACCAAAAATTTCTTTGAAAAACGCCGCGGTAAAAAAACGGACAAAGTCCGGAGATTTATAGGCCACGTTTTTAAAACGTGTTAATTACGGATCTTGATTTTCAGGATAAAACGCCACGGCTAAAAAACGGGCCAAGTACGGACCAAAAATTTCTTTGAAAGGCATCACGGACAAAAAACGGACAAAGTCCGGAGATTTATTGGCCACGTTTTTAAAACGTGTTAATTACGGATCTTGATTTTCAGTATGAAACGCCACGGCTAAAAAACGGATTAAGTACGGACGAAATATTTCTTTGAAAGGCATCACAGACAAAAAACGGACCAATTACGTGACAATTTTTTTCGAGTGAAAATGTCACCGACAAACAAAGGACTATTTACTGATCGACACTTCCTGGCTGAAACGTTACGACACAAAAGTTAATTAATATTTAATATAACGGCTTCACTGGAAGCTGTGGCGACCGATGGCTGATAATTAAATTTTCTTGTTGCAGGTTGCCCGATACCGATGCGGTAACCATAGCACGGCTCGAGACTTCCTTTCCTAAGATCGATGTGTCTAAGTTCGCTGCTGTCGATTCACCGTTATGCGTTCTAACTGTTCCGCTCCATATTTATATTCGTTGTTTTGTAATGTAGAGATAATGTGGAAATGGGAGAGTGGGCGAGACGATGAGGCGGTGGGCGAGAGAGAGAGTGCGAAATGAAGAGACGCACGCCATCATGCCATCGGGCAATGTCCAGCAAAAAGAGGGCCGCGGCCGAAGTTCACCTTTATTTAAATGCAAGTCCCCAATCGTAAACACCGATTTAGTCAATTACTTATGCTTTTAGTCGTATTATTTCAGTTTATTAAGTTGTTTCCCCAAGCCCACCATCCACCATATTTAGTATCATCAAGTTTGTTATTAGTTTGTATCGCTTTGTTAACATTTTGTTCGTTTTCGTTCAATAATGAAGGTTTAATTACCCAAGTTTGAGGTTTACTCGACTTGTTTAACGGTTCCAATACCGTATCATTATTTGGAAAAGTTACTGTTTTATTCCATTGTAGTTGAAAAATGAATAGTGTTCCTTTGAAATTGTTTTTTCAGATTGTAAATGGGTCATTAGGTCATTTAAATAAATACAAAAATTTCCCAATTTTCGTTCAAGTTTTGATAAAGACTACGATTTCAGTCATGGGACGGTCATATCGAAGATTTCTACCATCTTTACCAACAAAAAGTATGTTAAAATTGCATAACTATTTGCTATACTCTCTTTTACTACAATAGGATCAAGAGAAGTATCTTCTTCAAGTGAAGAAAACTTATCTGAACCGATTGATGTTCAACTTTCTGAGTCGCTCAATATAGACATCGATGAAGAGGAAGAAATGTTTCAATGGGATGTGAATTGTGACGAAGTTGAGGAAAACGATGTTGAGGAAAACGATGTTGAGGAAAACGATGAGAAATCTTCAGAAGATTGTCCCCACAGCGGTAGGTAATTTGTCTTAATACTAATCGCCATTTTCGAATAGACTTGGCGCAGTATTTAGCGAATGTGTCGGACGAAGTTTTGACATTCGTAACTTCAGCGTGCATAGCTCGAAGTACCGATGCGGGTAAATAGGAAAAAATTACGAAGAAGTAAAGAGGCAATTACAGATTTCAAGAGATTCCTTTCTTCTCATAAAGATTTAACATTCCGTCGGCAAAGCTTCCAGCTATGGAAGAACAATATGACTATTTATAACGCGCACTATGTGTGCAATAGTTGTGGGAAAGAAACAAATAATATGTTCGCAAAATGGTATAGACGTTGGGCACTTTTTATCTATTGTTTGGGTTTTCAGTTGTGGAACTATAATTAAATATGTTAGAATTGGAGGAATTCAGCAATCTCGGAGATAGTGGAGGAGTACTGGACAGATATTCATCGGATAAGAAGCGAAATAAAAAATGGGACAAACAAGCATCACAATCTGAATGGAGAGACATACCAACAGGCGAGATGCAAAAGGCTCAAAAGGCTTTGTAATTTATTCGGCCGCTTCGTCAACGAAACGAACGAAATATCCCAAAATACCGGACAAGTTCTTCGAAATTCTTGGAAGTAAGTAGATTTGAAGTAACATTGACCGGCTAAAAACTTGCGCCTAGTCCATATTGGCCAATGAGAAATTGAATGGTAAAAACTATGCTTTTTTCAGAAATATTACACCGAGGCTTCGATATAAAAAAGTGAAGGGTGGGAAGAAACCGTCGTCGTTTCTCATATACGAGAAATGACAAGAAACTTCATGTAAGTGAGCAACGCGAATGTTATATATATGCTATATACTGTGTTTCAGCGATGATAAACGACGCGGAAAAACCGCCAAAATCGAAGAGTTAATGGAAATGTTCCAATCCAGGTAGAACACGCGTGTGCAAATGGAATGTGCAAATATTTTTTTTTGTTTTTAGAATTATTTTTGTTCTAGTAATTCGATTCGAATCGAATACAACAAATTTCGGATACAAACTTGATCGAAAATTAAGTTTGAAATTTGTGGTACTCGATTACTCTTTGGAAAAACCCGAATGTACTCGTATTTGGTGCGAAACTCGGTGTATTCATTTCGAATTTTAATGTATTTGATTGTGAAACAAAAAATTGACTCTTTCGTATCGAATACGAATTAATCATTTTACAATCGAATACGATTAAATTCAAAACGAATATAGCGATTGCGATTCGTAAATAATTTTTTTTTCGATTTTTCTTAAATAAAACTTTTATAATAATGCTGTCTATATGATTTCAATTTTAATTTTGATTATTATACGAACGGAAGAAAAAAAAGCATGTGAAAAACGCCACCGGGCGAATCACGGTCCGTTCCCGGATACGCTAAGACGTCCGTGTCCGGTACGTCAGCGACACGCTGGAACGGTCAATAACGGACCGTGATTCGCCCGGATTTCATCCGTCGCGTTTTGCCTGTGTGCTGGTGTTTGTTTGCCCAATACAATGACAAATTTGCGAGTCAAATTAGAACAAGTAGCTCATTTTCAGATCATTACATCATTCCACCAGCTGGTGTGAAACACAGGTGAAAAAGTGTTAATAAAAAAAAATTAACAAAATAAAATGTCTGTTTAGCTAGGAGACGACAGAAACCGCGAAATAAAAAAATTCTTAAACGCCTACGAAGTTCATTTTGATTTCATCGCTCGTGATCTTGCTAGCGAAATTCAATTATGGCAATGTTTTGACAATTTTTCCGCCCGGCCAGCCAACGTCACAAGAAAGAAATTGAAAGGTGTGGCCGTCAGGTCTCGAAGAAGAACAGGATGAAATATTGTAATGAGTCAGATGTTCTGAAAATATCTCGACCTGCTAATTTGCTTTGTTAGCAGACACCGTCAAATCCTATCGCAATATACAACACTTTTTTATGGTGGTGACCAGACCACACCCAGTCAGACGGTCGGACGGCGGCGCTTGCAACGTTCTTCTGAACTGATCATACCGGTTGTAATAATAAGCATTTTAAGAGAGAGAGGTTTCTGTATGTTTATGAGTGAGATGTGGGGTTTCTTACGCAGTTCTGTCAATACCACCAATGTCCTTCTTGTTCCTATGGCGTTTGATCGTTTTTTAACCACACTTCGTCTTTGCCAATAGAGAAAATTGACGACTTGAGACTTTCACTTAGTTTGTCAAACAAATTCCTGAATCATCCCTGTCTGTTCCCTTATTTAGCTTATATATATATATATATATATATATATATATATATATATATATATATATATATATATATATATATATATATATATATATATATATATATATATATATATATATATATATATATATATATATATAGTCGGCGTCCGGCAACTACTATGCGAGAAATTATTTATCATTATATATAACTTGCAAGTTTCATATGGGCGAGACTATAACGAAATACGTATGCCCGTAAATCGACCCACATATAGCACACGCGTGACGTCGACTATAGCTGCCAAAAATGACCCAGGCTACAATAGAAGAGACATACAGAAGGCCGGCCAATAATTATTGTCGTTGCTTGCACTGGAATAGTGCAAAATAAAATTGAACTTGGCAGTTAACTAAAATATGGATAGATGATGTGATGCATGTCGGAGCATTGTCAACAACCCACTTACTACAATTATTTCTTATATTGTATTTGCCAGAATGTACGAGGAAACAGGTCGAAAGTGTTCAGAATTCGAATCACCTGCTCACTTCAAAACGTGCCTATGACGACAATAGTAGTTGGTTGAAAATCATAATTAGAATATTGGTTTGACCACCGATTCGGCTTAAATCGGAAACCTAATCAAATACATTGCCAGTTCCGAATGATGATTATTCGACATAGCTCTTTGATCTATGATTGACCAAGAGAATGTGTGTGTGGAAGATTAAATAATAATAAAAATATATTTCTTATGATTAATTATTATATGAAGAAGACTTTGAAAATTAAAATAAAATACATAACATTTAATGTAATTTTTTACATATTTTTTGTTAAAAAAAACATAGCATGAATAGGTCCATATTTTTTGACTGCAACCAGACCGATTTTCAACTGTGACGCATACGCAACGCATACGCATCGCGACCGACTCGTGGCGGACGCGCGAATCGAAATTATCGGTTTCGGCCCGTCTCGGCTTCGAAACTGCAAGCCAGCAAAATTGTGTGCTTAATAAATTTGTTTGAAAATTGCCATGAGCGATATGAGAAGAATACGAGATTCATAACAAATTTCGTCTGTATTTATGTGTAGTTTTATGGTGATTATTTTCAGTGATCCTTTAATCGTCAAAAAACGCATGGAAGAGTTTAGAAAATCTGCGGATTTATTCGAATCTTCAAATCAGATCAAACACAACTCGCAACTCAATTCCTAATTCCTTCTTTTGTTTATTTAACGTTGATTTCGAATAAATTTGGTTTAAATTGCTTCATTTAAAGCATAAATCAATACTGTACCACGTAGAAAAACGTTAAATTGAAACATCAAAAAATATATACGAGAGATCTCAGGATATGTCCAATGGATCTGGGTTATGTGTGCATGTATATGTTGGTGTTTCGACTAGATGAATAACAAAAAACTCTGTTTAAAGCATTCGCAAATGTATAAATGTGAACAGAATGTTGTTAAATTATGCGAAGAACAATAATTGAGATCGGTTGGGAATTTGAAAGCTGCACAAAAGAATCTGATGTGGGGAAGACAAATAAATACTAAATGGATGCATTCAAATATTATTAAGGACCGCTCAAAGTGGTTATCAAGCTAGCTGGTGGAGGCTTACTGCTTGACATAATAATCTTGAGGGCATTTTCAGAAAATCTGATTTAAGCATTTCGGTTATTGAATGCGTTGAAGATGGCGTCGATGCCTTTCGAAGATTTGTCAAGTTCAAATGTTGAACTGGAAGAGCTGGAGATGTGAAAGCGCGCTTCAATGGCGGAATTGTAGCCCGCAGTGTTGGAACTGATCGTTTTTCAGTAGTCGTGAAACTAAATGCTCCTTTTTTAACTGAAAAAAGACAGGAATTAGAAAAAAATCGAGGAATTCAATGAATTTACCTTGAGGGCTTGGCGGAACAGCCACGGCTTGCGAAACTTCTTGTATGGCGTTATTGGTTAATCGCAAAGGACGAGTGGGACCTTTAGTAGCTTGTTGCTGAGCCGGGAAATGATCCAAAGGAATCTCGAAAATCATGTTGAGTAGAGGCGCGCAGAGGCAGCGTATCATAGCGGTGGCAAGCCACACCGCATTATATACGCTCGCCGAAACCACGCCCCCTTCATCTCCTCCCTCGCTTCGAAAGGTGCGAAGAAGGCGGCGCTTGCGAGGGCAAAGAAAAAACGCACGAAAACGGTGAGCCGAATTGGTTCAAGAATATTTGATGGATTACTCAATCGGAAGCATCCGGTAAGATCCGCGAGTGTATCACCGGACATTCCAGAAATTGGTTGCCGACACCGTCAATAATCGAATTGATGGCAGAATTGTGAGAATCGGTCACAACAAAAAAGAGTATTCTCCACACCCCTTATCGGCAAGTCAGAAACAGGCATTCGTGGGTGTTATTTAAACGGTATTCCTTGTTTTTCGCCGAAGAAAATGTCGTTGTTGCCAAATAAAAACTATGGCGATTTTCTACGGTTTTTCTCGATTTTTTGAGCAAACTATTTGTGTGTCTTTTTCTCTACGCAGAAGCTCTGATTTTAATATAGCGTCAGAATAGTTGATTCATGAATCTATGGGCAACGCGTCCCAATAATGAATTTAAAACATTAGACACTTCCGATTTTCACCAATGACATACATTAAACATACATAAGATTTTTGCAATATTAAACACTCGACGTATTTCGACAAGTCAATGGTGCAAAACAAGTGCTCATCCGTATCTTTTTAAGCAAGAAAATTCTGGAAATCTTACGATGTGAGACCAGATTGTTCGAATTTTTCACGCCGTTATTCTTAGATCATTTTTTTCTCTTTCATCATTCGAAATGTCTCAACTCAGAAAAGTGCACTTAACAAGTCGAACATAAATCTCAACCCACGAGTATTTCGTGACGGATGTTCTTCAAGATTTCCGGTTCATATTCGCGCCAATTACATTCATGTTGCGAAATTTAATGGAATGACATAATCGGCTCTCATGACCCTCAATCACGTGAACTCTTTGTCAAATACGTTTCCGCTTCGAGATTTCGTTGAGAAACATTTTTTCGAAATTTTGCAATCATTAAAGACAATTATTCTAGCATAAAGAATGTCGGTTTTTTTTGCCGGAAATTGCTCGAATGCTAGTGGGAAAAAATCACAGATGTTGTGATTTGTTACCAAAAGATTAAAAATTTCCACAAAAAATGGCAATTTTGTAGTCATTTTTTTGTATTTTCGAAGCGTATCCTTTGTGTGTTTTTTGTGGCCGCTGTCTCGACTCTGAACTCTGTATGATTTGATCATTGTATCCTCGACCACGTGACTTTAGTTGAGCGTTGACCGTTCTCACGGCAGATGACCGTACGATGATATTTGTCTGTGTGTCAGTCTCAGTTCACACGGAACACATTTGTTCTGCTGGTTTCAGAGTTTTTGTTTACACGTTTGCTGTTTCCAAATGGCGACATCAAAACCCTTCTATATGGCAATGTTGGCAATAATCATAAGGTGGGATTTTCCTTCCTGATGGATTCTCCGAATCCTTAGTACGCCAAAAGTATCAAAAACACGCAAATAATCGTTGGTGATCTTTCACACCACCCCCTTCACGAACAACATCTTTAAAAATAAACGTGTGAAAATCATATTTATTTTCTCAACAATCGCAACAAAAAAAATGAAAATATTGTAGAGCAATGTCAACCATAAATAGGATTAATATGTTTATTGTCTATTTATTCTGAATGAAAAAGAAATAAGCTTGAATGGAAATCTTCTGAAAAGGTAGGTTTCGAAATTTTTCTTAAAATTTTCTAATAAAAAAATAATTGATTATAGTGCATTCGTTGTTGTAAATTAAAACATATTACATTCTTAATAATTAGGCACCTCACATGATCGAAAATTCATTTTCAGAGGATTAGAAGAAACAAATATGCACAAATTAGCCTACACAGAGCAAAAAAAATTATTAGACACCATTTGTTGTCGCATAATCTGTTAGATGAGTAATTAGCAAAGAATGTTCTGACAATGTGTAGAAGGAATTAAGCGTTGAACGATTATCGTCTTGAGACCAATTCACGGCTTCTGGACATTTTTTTCCCATTTTCAGCAATTTCTAGCAAAGGTTTTTTTCCGAGGTTTCAAAGGTTTTTTTTCAGTAAGGTTGTAGGCATTGCAAAAATTTGCACAACCTTTTATTAATTCCATAATTGTTGAGAACAAAATATCGCCGTAAAATTTTCCATTTTTTTTTTCTTAACGATTTCAAATTTTTTGATATTTTCTCCGGTGGCAAATTTTTCTCACTTTTCAAATTCTGAATTATGTTTTATTGAGTAGTATGTTATTTATTCAGCTTGTTTTTGGGTATTCGATTGAAATTCCCATCTTTTTCAGGTTTTCTTCATATCGAATAGCTTTTCTTTCAACAATATCGTTGTTGTTGTTCTTCGTGACCAATATTTTTGCAGAAATGTTTGCAAACGGCTTCCGGGCTCGATTTCTTATTGAAAACGTCGGAATCAAAACAAAATGCTTAATTGAAAATCGGCAAAAAGTTGAGATTTTTCAACTTCTGAAGGGAATTTCGCTCGAATAAGTTTGTTTGATTGTGAATTTAAAAATAATTCCTATCGAGTTTTTCAATCTCTCTCATTTCGAAATCAACCAATAAGTTTGTTTTGAAAGATTAAAAGTAGCCAATTAATCACGGAATAAAAATTTCAATTTAATCATGCTCATTAAGCACAATTATTAATGCTAATGAAGCCCGAAGAACGTTTTTGTTGGAATTCGAAATTATCAATGAATTCTCGAATATATTGTTCTCGAGAGATCGATGAACAATGTAAAAAAATTATAAATTAATAAAAGATAACTCAAACGGAAAATCATTTTTTTCTTTAAAATGAAGGTTAAAAAATTTTTGATACAAATCAGAATATTAAAATCTTCTATTACACTTGCAAAAAATTACGGTGGGTAAATACAAATTTGAATTACCGCCTCTAAAAGTGCGATGGTCCACAATTATGCATTTTTGCGATTGGTGTAATAAAAATAGCCGTCAAACAATCTTGCCAATCGGTATTGCTATTAGTTTTTACTTCATTTATCAATTAATCTTCATAGAAAAAATATGAATGCGTTGGCAAAAGAAAATATTTATTTTCAAATACATTGGACCCGAAATTAATCGAGGTATTCACAATAAATTATCGGGCACGTCTAGATCTCAAATTGAAAGAAACTAAATTTTCAATAGACAATTCTACTTTTTTTTAATATCAAGTAATAAATAATAAACGGAAAATTATGCGAGGAACTATTTTTAAAATCATTGCTTATTTTGTCGAAGGATCTGGGCAAAAAAGAAAAATATTGGGTCATCAAGAATAAAATCGCAATGATTTTAGGGGAATTTTTCGAACGAAAGACAAGGCCACAAACTAAATGAAACCTGTCTGTTTGACAACTATGATATCATGAATTCGGCAATTTTTGGAAATTTCCCCAATTGTTCTTTCACGTGCCAATTTTAGAAGTCGTACGAGAAACGACCTACACATTTGTTGTATTTCGATTCGATTCACTGAAAATTCACTGAAAATTTCAGATTCTCACCGAATGAGATTTCGCGACAATTTTCTAACATTCATATCCTATTTTTTCCTTGTTGGGTGCATTTTGCGGGTATAAATGAGCCACTTTTTTTATATTCTTCACAAATTTTGCGATTTTCACGTAGCACGTGCGATTGGCTCATCAGTCGCTATTCACTGCGAAATTTCCTCATCAAAACGTGCAATATATAGAATGCGCGACTTCTGGAATACTTCGACTACACTGATTAATATTATTATTCTGGTGGGGGTGTTGCACTCGAGGGTGTTTTCAGGTGACAAAGAAAGATCATCTTTTCGACCTGCACCCGATTTGCGTCTATGTCAGCTCAATTCAGAATTTGGCCGATTCCCATGTGCGAAGAGCTAAACCGTCTGCAGTTTGGAAATTTGCAGAAATCTAAAAATTCATCGGAGTATGTTCTGTTTTGGAAACATAGACACGATGTCATAAAATTCAGTGATCCGGATGCAAATTTCATGTGAAAATTCGCCCATATCAAAAATCATTGTTTCAACAGAAATGTCGACGGGGGATTTGCTGAATTCTTTCAAATAATTTCAATTCATACGGTAGCTACAGTAATTGAATTTCTAATTGGAAATTATGATGAATAAACATGGGAATTGATTGGAACAACATTTCACTCCAAAGTTTGCTTTCAGCGTGTCAGCAATGAATCAAAAAAATAATTTGGCCAGTTCTAGGCGCAGCTCATTCAAAAGGTTGAATTTTTTTTTTAATATTTTTATTTCCAGACATACTCGGCATTATATCTGAATCATCTTGAATTTTTGATCAAGCTATTCCAGAGTGACATTATTTTGTGTGTTGTGTTTCCGGTTGATCACAATTTTTCGCTCCAACGAAATTTCAAAATGAAATCGAAATTTTCGCATACGATGTCTGGAAATCCTTAATAAAATATATCGAATTATATGCTCAATAATAATAATTTAACGTTTCAAAATAAGGAGATTTTCGAATTTTAGCGGAAGTTAAAAAAAATATATTGAATGAATCATTTCATGGATGAGTTTTTAAAGTTCAAAGATGCCGATGATAATGAAAGCGGAAATGCAAGCAAGCTTTACATTTTTGAAATTTTCGAAAGCTAACTATTTGATAAGAGGACTCAACTTTTTTCCATTGCATTTTTTTGGGAGAATTGGATTCTGATTAATCTGTTTGCGGGTTATTGCGGAATTCGAAACCTTATGAGGGTCATTCAATTTCTTCCTGCCAATTCTGATGATGGACAATTATGACGTAGCCAATAAGAATTTGGAACATTTTTGACCGCGTGGGTGGTCATGACTGCTCATGTGTTTTTTGTTTGCTCTTAAATATTTGCTCTCGCAATTTTGAAAGTGATAAAAAATTGGAAAGGCAATATTTTGAGCCTAATTGTTTTCGGGACACATTCCATCGGGACATTCTTGTCCTCTTTTCACATTAAATATGACATAATTATTTGGCAAATTTTATAACCCATTATTGGAATATTGAGTGAAGTAGTAATGTACAAAATATACAAAGATAGCGAATCGAAAGTTGCGAAAATGGCGATGAACTCGAAACTACTCGAAGAGCGCCTTCTGGATTCGAAGCATTCAATTGCAGAATATTGGAATGAGTGAAGGAATAGGATTCGGGAACAGTTTCGGGAATCGCCATCGTGTTGCAGTAAGCACCTTGACAAATACAAGCAATATAATCCATTGGGGGAACATTATGGAAGGTCGAAACCGAGTGGATAAGGAAGCATCTGAAATTAGTTTGATTTTGATGTCCCATTTTTTAAAAATATTTTGAAATCAATATTATTGGGTACATTAATTTAAACTTTGATGTTTCAAATTCAATTAACCATCGCAAAACTGGGAAAATCATATTAAATGAGTGTTCGGGATTAAAAGGACATTTCAAACACTTATGAGAATTGTATAATTAAGAAAAAGCTTACCCTGGCTTCTGAAGTTTATCCGATTCGCGGAAGGCATATCTCATTACATGTTCAAAGCATCCGCGAATGACAAATGAGGCTTCTGTAATTAAAGACTATCATGCTAAGCATTGAACTTTTCCGTAGACTTTGCCCATATTTTTTAACGAAAATTTATAAGATTATTTGATTTTTTTTTTGAAAATCGAGCAAAAATATGTTTTGCGTTTCAGTATAGTTTAGCCGTAATCCTAATGACGCAATGATATGCGTTTGATTGTCGTCTTATTATTCGACGCCTTTTCGTCCAAATAAATCCTATTAAAATGACATACTTGGCAGATTTGGGAACAAAGTGATGCACAGGGGATATTTTGAGCAAATGTCAGCTTCGATTTGCAACGGAATATTCGCATCTATTGGCTTTCTGAAATAAAAGAAGTAAATTAGTGACTAATTATTGTTGCCTGAAATAACCTGCACGTTTCGGTTTTCGGATTCAGCGGATAGAAAAATAAATCAGATTGGGTTGCGAATTGACGGCGAAGAGTCGCATTATACAATTTGTCCGGAGAAATGCATGAATAACAATTGATTCCTTTAAATAATCTATCAGTATGAGTTTTTGACAAACTAAATTTAATTTTATAAAATAGGGTACCATTTTATAAATAAATAAGGCAAAATTTGTTTCACAAAAATAACTACCTAATGAGGTTTGTATAAACGTGGTTAGTAGCAGTAAAATCTTGAATTTCAGAATCATCGCGAGCCGCCCAAAGATTTTGAGTTCATTGAATTTCCTGAAAAATCATTAATATTTATAATCAAAGACAATTCTTCGAAATCGCGTATTTTCAGAATCCAATTTAATTTTTTTCAATCAGTCATCAACCTTCATTCTAATGTGTTATTTAGTCGTTGAAACATAAATCCTTTTCTCAAAAATTGTATGTGAAAAAAAAACCAAACAAAAATTGTTGTCTGAAAATAGACTGAACCAATTGAGAAAAGATTGAAACGTGTGAAGGGACTCGATTCTTTTATTAATATTATTTTCAATAAAATTATAAATAATTTTGAAAGTTTTGCAAAAAAAATGACAAACATGAAAAAAAAATGAATTGTTGGAGAAAACAGCGAAGAATAAATTATTGAGACGGTGGCTTTCTTTTAAATTATTTTCACAAATCCCTTTTCATACCTTGATTTTATAATTAAAGTTTGACGAGACTAAACGCGAGAATCAAGGATATTCGTAATGGTTGTGAACACGCGAAAATCGTTGAGTGTGTTTACTCAAAAATGCACGTTAGTATATATAATTACAAGCTATGAATCCATTATGGTATTCGGACTATTATGAGGATCCATCCAATTATATGAATATATAACATGAGCAATTACAAAATTAGAACTCGCTCAACCGGAAGCATCAAAAACAATAAAGTTCGCAACCCCACAGGCCGATTGTTTTTCAACTTTCTTATTTCCCAATGTTAAAATTTTTGTGAGATCACGAAAAACAAAACAATTTCGAGCCGGGACCACCCGCTGTGATGGGTAATGTAAATGCGGTAACAAGCCACCAACGAATCCCGCTGGTGTGAAAAATTTGCGCCAAATTGTCGACATGGGACCCATTTGGTTGAGTTATTTCGCGATTTTAATTCAATCCGGAACACTCGCTCATAAAATGCAAATGTGCAATAATGTTGAGAATACGTTTCAATAAGATTATTGGCGGTTTGAAACGACTGCTCGATGCCGGGATTTTTATTCTCACGAAATCAGTAAGAATTATGAAATTGTTAATTTTGATGTTGGGTTAATATCAAATTTTTCTTGAAAACCTACAATACCATCGATAAAAAGAATCAGTCAGTTCGTGAAAAATTTGTGCCTTTCCGAACAGCACGAGATCTTTGGCGTATTTAAGGAATAAAGTATTTTTAACGATGGTATAGACTATACCGTATAGTCTGTTTTCCACAAAAAAAACCACTACCGTAGCTATTCTATATCGTCAGACGCGCTGCGGTTCGCGCATGCTTCTTTTTTCTGAAATTTGCGCCCACACTATAAAAAGAATTACTATGAAGCATTTATATTCACCGAAATCGCATCAAAACTGAATTGGGCAAATAAGGGAATTGTTAAAACTTCGCGGAATTACTAAAACAAAAGAACAAATTCTTGAATATTAAACACAATTCGCTGAAATTGATTATTTCAAAGAGTAAACGAAATGACAAATAACGCTCCAACGACCGAAATGCCGCCGGAAAAACAAAGACGACTGCGTTATTCAAATCTGTCATCCAAAACTCGAAAAACCGCGCTCGAGCGTCCGTTGGGATTATGTATATTCGACCGAAAAATTGAGAAGTTCGCCGAAGAAATTAAAGTTGCGATTGATGAGCTTAAACATATTGTGCACAAAATTCGCACAAATGCGCTAGGACCAGCTGCTTGGCTCTCAAAAATTAATTGGTGCATTTGTGGCAAAGACAAATTGGTGTCGCCAAGAAATAACTACTGCAAAACTATGCGACGATATTCGCCGCGTTTGAAAAATTCCTCTCATCCTGCCGCAATTCATAACACGAACTCTAAAACAACTTCCCAGTTTACATTTTAAACGTTTTCCATACCAACGCGAAAAATTGGGAAACCATTATTTAAGACCTTTAAAATAAAGCATCAGCAATGAATCCATAAAATGCGTACAAGACATGCAATAATGCAATCAGTCAACCGTCGAGCTGCTTATTAGAGTTAATTTTAAAACATTGGACTATTTAAAACATTACAATTCGATCACACCATTTTTATCAAGTTTCAGCGAGCGATTTTCAGATAATTACGAATATTTAATTCAAGAACAATTACTTAGAAATAAATAGCAATTTATTTAGAAACGACGGAAAATAAATAAACCTCAAATGTTTACAAAAATTCCAAAAAAAAGTGCAGCCAACGTTTCGCGACCATATGTTTTCGAATTAGTCTCCTTCCTCTTGTTTTATATATTATTTTATATATGGACTGAATGGAATAGATGAGCTCATAAACTTTTACGAGCGTCCTCCAAAAATTTATTGTGGCTCACGCAAAAATAATAAAAATTATAAGAAAATTGTAACAAAAAAGTATGAAAACACAATAAGATTGTGAGTACAATGAAAAAACGGAAGAAGACGAAGTAGAAGAAATGCAATGACGTGGCATTATTTACAGGAATTTGGTTCAGTACATAATACAGATTTGTAATGGTAGTAAAGGAATGGAAGTTATTGAAGTTAGTATGTTGGGTAGAAGCACCTGTTTTCAAATTGGATGGTTTTTAAGGGACACGACCCGATTTTCATCAGAGTTCTCTCGCTTCCGGCTCATTCATCGCTGCTCATCACTTTTTTCAGATAGGCATCGTGTCTTTTATATTCTCCAAGTGCACGAGAGGTGCTCTCATCTAGTGGAAAATCTGAGCTCTTCTGGTTCGGAGCATATCCTTTCTCTTTTTCGAGCTCCTCCTGAAATCAACGGATTTAATAAAACAATGTTTCAGACAGAAATACTGACAGGTGTTATAGAATTCTTCAAAATCTCTTCTTTGCTTGGCACCGACACCGCCGCTATTCCATTTGTCAGCTTATCGATGTCCTTCAATGCACCATTTAGTGCCAATTGCTGAGCAATGTCCATTTCTTCGAACAGTGCCTTTACTTCATGATACTGCGGATTTTTCTTAGCAGCTTCCTCTATCTTCGACCACATTCGTTCCTTCTCGTCAATCGTTTGTTTTTCGTTTGCAAGACTCTGTTAAGAAAATCAATATAATCAAAATAGATAACAACTTGTTTCTGCACCTTGTTGTAGTTCTGCGAACATTCGTCGAACAGCTTTTGATTCATTTCCATGAACATTTTCAGCGCATTGTAGACAAGACCATGAATAGTTCTGCAACTCTCATTTCATTTTGTTTCCAGAAACACCAAATTACTTATTCCAATGAGATTTGCTGTTTTTAAACAGGACGGGGAACATGATCGGTGTGATGACTTTTGCGTTGTCAGACACTAAAGTCATCACATATTCATTGTTCCAATAGTACAAGGCACGTTCAGCAACCTGAAAGTATTGGAATTCATTTTCTATGCTGTCGGTCTCACGAAATCAGTAAAGAAATATGTGCAGATATGCGCATTTAGACACTTGGAACATGCAAGTGCATTCAAATTTAAATTAATCGCTTGGAAACGAGAATAAATACGAAAATAAAAGAAACCTGAAAATGAGGACTGCTAACACATCTGGCAAGTTGTTGGAACATTGGGACCATCACTTTTTGGAACTCGGCTGGTTCGATAACATCCAAAACTTCTTCCAACTCGTTTAAAAACATAACCTGAACACATGGCTCATTTTGATAATCGAAGATAATGAACCTCTTTCGGACTGTGCTGTTTCGGCCAAAACCGTAATAATCCGTTGATGACAGGTTCGGTTAATGTGGAATCTTTTTCAATAAACTGAACAACACAGTATGCTAGTTGTGGATGATACACCGATAGCGATTTCACCTAAATAATTGCATTGTTATTAATTTACATTTCAAATTACCTTGTGTAGAGGTAAAAGAACCCTTAATAGAAAGGTTTTGTGTTCCTCCTTAAGCGGCATCGCAAAACCATTGATAATGCTTCCAAGAATCTCAAGAAGCTCAGCGATTCCGTTATGTCGTTCAGTTTCGTAGATAAAAGAGTAGAAGATATTGTTCATTTGTTTTCGGATATAAGCACGTTGGCTCAAAAACTTTCCATATATCCTGTGAAGGGTCGTTTTAAGGAAATCACGTTCGCGAGGGTCTTCACTGTCCATTATCATGAGAAGCTACAGTTAAAAAATGAAACTTTCAAAATTTCACAACACGTACTCTTAATATGAAATTTTGATCAATGTACTTCTTCGCTATCGATGATTGAAAATCTGGTGCTTCCAGGAAGCGCAAGAAAAATTCATAAACGAGTTGCAAGTGTGGCCAAGCGGCTTCAAGTGTCGGTTCATCCTCATCCGGATCGAATTCTGCTCCAATTGGATTCGTTGGCGGCGACAACGGTCGGAACAAATTGGTAGCAAACTGTACAATTTACAAATTGATAAATTTCGGATAAAAATCATAGGGCATACCATATTAACTGCTTCCGGATAAATAGCTTCCGTAATAACACCTCTCCCTGTGGTTACATAGTCGACAAGCTCATTTAATGCAGCTCTTTTCACTTCCTTGTACTTGAGGTCACTCAATGCGTCGATTGCAAAATCGAAAACAACGCAACATTGTCGCAGTTTTTGAATGAACAATTCTTCGCGCGCATTCGGTTCGGCCTCTTTGATTGGCGGCAATCGAACAAGTTCACGATTCTGCGATATATTGAATAAACTGCTCGATTGTCGTCGTTCTCGTCGTGGGATCATAGGACCTAAAATGACAATTTTTCCTCTTTTTTGGTTAAACCCAGATTGAAAACTGAAAAAAAAACAACGAACAGTGGGGCAAATACCAGTTATTAAATCCTATTATAGTTCAAATTCAACTTCTAGCAATGAAAATCAATAAATTACCTCCGCCAAAACTATTTTTCTTGCCAATTGTTGTGGGCGGCGGTGCATCTGGTGGAATCATGTCACCTGAAAAACTCAAATTGTTTTTTCATCTTCATGGGCGTTCATCCCGATAATATCAAAATGGCGCGAAGAATTTGGCGACCGTGGCCGAGTGGCCGAACATATGTCTTTTTTGGGAAGGCGTCACAAAAAATGGTTTTATTTTTAAAATATTTTTAAGAAGTTACAGGATTTTCGAAAAGAGGTCTTCTCACAAATATTACTTACTGCGTGAATTCTTTTTCTGTTACAGTCTCATAAAAAACAACATTTTAAAAATTAATTATAAAATTAAATACAAATTATTTGAAAACGCGAATAGATATACAGTTCCGTGCAGTAAGATATACAATTTCACTTTTTTTATCATAACTTTCTGAAAAGTTGACCAATCGATCTGAAATTTTTGGACAACTTTAAGCATCGATAGAGTGATTATGTAACAAAATTAGAAGGTGTAAAACACATTAGGAAAAATTTTATTGACAAAAAATCCGAAATTCCATTATATCGAAAAACCGACTTGAATAATTTTGATACCGGTACGACTTGAAATGAAATGGAAAACACCAATTATCCATCAGGAAGATTAAAACAACTCAATATCTTGTTGACATGTCATTTGCATCGATCTCAGTTTGACATCGGAGACCCATGGCCTCGTCAACTTCGGGAGGGTTGAAATTGGAATATCCATCCATGCTCTCCTCAGCTGCTCGATCATTTCGACACATTTTGTACAGTTTGACCACCAAGACGTCTACCAAGATCATCCTGCAAATGTTCAATGGGGTTCAAGACAGGTGAGTGGCTTGGTCAGACCATGACGGCCACCCGACGCTGCTAGAACCACTCTTTGATGTAGCGAGAAAAAAGTTTAGGATCATTATTCTGTTGAAATAAGTATCCACACCGAGCAAAGACTTTGCTAACGGAAGCATATGGTTCTCGAGAATGTCTTTATACGCAAATCGATCCATATTTCCTTCGATTCGACGAAGTGGGCCAGCTCCAGAAGCAGTAAAACATCCCCAAACCATCACGCTTCCTCTTCCATGTTTCACTGTTGGTAATTGATGCTTTGGATCGAATCTTTTGCCGTCCGAACACCTCACAAAGGTAATACCATCAGTTCCGAGCAAGATATACTTCGATCCATCACTTCATACAACCTTTGACCATTGTTGAAAAGTCCAATTCAAAAGCTCCTTATCCCACTTCAAACGGGCGCGGCGTTTCTTCTCCGAAAGGAGAGGTTTTTTGACAGACCGACGTCCAAATAATCCAGAACCACGTAGACGACGCTTGACAGTATTAACAATGATCTGTATGTGACTTTTGGTGAAAAAAAGTCATGGTTTTTCGGAAAAATCTACGTTGACATCATAGAACTGACTCAGTTGTCGCTTAATCTCGGAAGCGGATAGACGCGGGTTGCTCTTGCTGTTTCCTACAATGGTGCGATTGATTGCCGGGGATGTTTTGGAAGGATTTCCAAGTGGTTTGGAATCCGATCGAGGTTTCAAACATACACGAATGGTCCAAGTTGATGAGTTCAACTGGTGTGATAGACATTGGATGAAAAGACCTTGTGCTCGGTCATCCTTGATTGCTTTAAAACGTCTGATAGAATGTTTTTTGATCATTTTGATCGTCTCCTGCTAAAACAAATAAAAAAAAACTGATGTTAACATTGAAAATCTAAAAAAAAATCGAAAAAACTTAAAAATTTAAAAAAATCGCATTTTTGAAAATACGCAAAAAAAGGTCCAAAACACAAAAATTGCGTCTATAGTACCCCAAAATGAATAAATTATGTTTGGGAACACGCTATCTGTTTTGTCCAAAAATTTCAGATCGATTGGTCAACTTTTCAGAAAGTTATGATTAAAAAAGTGAAATTGTATATCTTACTGCACGGTACTGTATTTAGTGTTTGAAAAATGGTTGAATTTTTCATTATTAATCAACTCAATCACATCAAATTCGACGCTAAGTGACTATTTCGAATATTTTGCAAGAAACTGAATAGGTTCATTAGACCGTTAGTGTATTCATACTGACTGAGGCAGACAAATTTTGACAAAATTTGACAGAATGATTAACTATAATATAGTCCATCTTAGCGTAAAATGAATACTAAAACCCTCCATACAATTAGTTTTGGATTATGTTTAAATGATGAAAAACTATGAAACAGAGAGAAAGAAACAAAAAAACCGAGAAAGATAAGAAAAACGAAACAAATAAAAAGCAATGCCGGCGGCTAGACAAAAGTGCTGAATGTTCGCCTCAATTTGAATCAACTCATCCCGGCTCCTCGAGAGGTCTCAAGACGACGAATCCAATTAAGTTTTCTATTGTTCAACCTATTTCCGCTCAGATTTTTGCTCGATGAGCACGGCGGCGGCAGTGGAGACGTGAGCCCGCAAAAAATACGCCTAATAATGAACGAGCATAGGATTGTCTGTGTTAAACAGCCAAACACAATTAACGACATAATTCGATAAAGCTATTGATAGAAATCGAAAAAAAAAAACAGAAAGAACGAAAAATACCAAATGAGTTTGAGTTTTTCGGTTCTTCCAAACTAATAAATGCGAAATATGAATCGAGCCATAATAATTAATATTTATGCTTTCAATCGCGCAAAACTGCGATGAATATTTTTTATAAATAATACATTCGTTAAAAAAAACGACCGCACTGCGCCGATTTACGGAGAGCTAACTTCGCAGGTTATTCCTAGAGCGGTACCTGAATTCCCACGGTTTACATTCAAATGTGAATTACCGCCTGGAAAAAGTGCGATGGTCCGCAATCATGCAATGTGCTCGTTGTTTTTGCGATGATAATATATTACATGATTAATAATTTAAATGAAACAAATTCCGAAAAGGAAAGAGAGGAAATAATTAAAAATTGCTGTTTTCGTTTCAAACATATTTTTCGCAACAAGTGGAACGAAGAAAATCTCATTAATACAATGAGCTATCAGTAGGTTTTCCCATCAGTCGGCACAATTTAAAGTCGAAAACAAACAACAGCGGTGTGAGTTGACGACACAAAAAGTCTTAAGGAACCAAGTCTAGAGAAAAAATAAAAGAATATTGATCGATTTGAGCGTACTCACCAAAATTTGGTACGAAAACGGCTATTATCATTGTTTATTGGAAAAAAATCGATTTCTAATCAATTTGACGTCTTACAATCAAATTTATTTATCATCTCATTATTCTTCAATTTTTTTCGAAAAATATATTCAACAGAAAATTTGCCCCAGAAAAGCAAAACAAAAAATTATAAATGCAAAAAAAAATACGAACAATACCTCCAACATCTTCTGTGCGAATTGTCGGAATTGACATCTTTTGCGACTCTTCTTTCTTCAGTTTCTCCTTCTTTTCTTTTTCGCTCTAAAATCAATCAATGTAGCAAAATTGATAATCTCGTTTATATTGATAAATAAGAATGGGTGTCCCATTTAATTTAAAATGTTTCACTATGGATTTGTTTTTAGCCAAAAATGATTCACAATTTTTTTGCTATCGATCTATAAAACCACAAGACAAAAAATAATGTTATTCAAATTCGAAAAATTAATTATATGTGGACGATGAAAACGAAAAGCAGAATAAAAACAAAGGCATCCGAAAATAGAAAGGCTTCTCCTATTCACACATCTAATAAAGCAAATTGCGTAGCCTTGGGAGAGGATTAAATGAAGAATAATTGTGACCGTTTATAGTAAAAATTAGTTTCAGAAATATGAGTTTCATTTGATCCATAAATTGCATTTAACTATTAACAAAGCCGAATAATTTGAAGCAATTTCTCGTTTCTTTGCGTTTTTTTATTTCCTCGAAATATTTTTCGTTTTTTTTTTGCTAAATGTTCCATCTTTTAAACAAACAAATCGTGCAGCTTTTCAGCGGTGTCGATTTACGACCCCCAGAATTAATTGACATGAAATGGGAATTACCTTTCCATTCTCCTTGTCCTTTTTCTTCGATCGCAACATTGCCGAAGCAGTGCCGACTGCCTGAAATCAAGAATCCAAGAAAAACAATACAAGAGTACACAACGGCATTTGTGTTTTTTTTTCTCGCGCTCGCGCATATTTTTCCACGTTTTTTAGCAGCTGAACTAAACGTCGGCCGCCGACAAAAATCACACACACACACACACGCACGGGGTCCGTTTGGCGACGAACATGAAGAAAAAGTGAGGCACGCACGGAAAAAAAAAACATGCAGAAAAAAGGCGTCGACGGGTTGAAGAGAAACAGAATCAAGCAAAAAAAAAATGACGAAAAACGAGAAGGCATCGACTCGAATAGGCTTTCAACATGTGACAAAAAAAATGGCGGAATGTACCAAATTTGACACCATGTTCAGAGATTTCGCTTAAAAACAAACAAAAAACACAATATTGAAAATCATTTTTGTTTCTTGTCAGAAATTGTTGAAGCGTTGAATTATATTTATTTTATTCAGCGCAACGATCACAAAAGGAGGTAAATTTTTCTTTATTTTTTTATTTAAAATTCCCAAAAGGTTGAAATATAGTAAAATGCATTTAAATTAGTATTTGATTTTGCTGTTGGAAAATTATTGAAATATTTAATTTAAAATAATGCGTCTTCTAATTATGTAGGCAAGAAAGAAGCAAGGTCTAGGTTAAAAGTTGTAAAACATGACGAGAAGAAGATACCTTCTAAGAAGTGAAGATATATGAAAAGAAGAATATGAGAGCACTTGCCACGTTTTTTTTTTTGACTTTTGCTGTCTCGTGAAATTATGTTTAGTGATGTCATCAACTTAGAAAACGAAAATATATATAATAAGGAAGACTGAATGCATAATAGAGCAATCTGATTCTGGAAAACAATATTTTTGGCGAAGGAAACACGTCGGAAGACGACGGAAAGGAAAAAGCATTGACGAGAATTCTTGAATTTTGATTAACTCGTTAAATGTCTTGAAGGGAATCCTGCTCTTATTTGTTTTTCTTACTGCCGAAAACTGACGGATTGTGGTTATTTCACCAAAATTCTATTTCGGCGTTTTTTTTTTTGCGTGAGAAAACGTGGTTGGTGGACGAAAAAGGAAAGATAGATGCGCGCTTTGGAATGACGAAAGGAATTATATGTTAGTGAACTCGTTTCATCGAAAATCAAAGCACCAAAGCATTGTTATTTCGAAATCATTTTTTAAAATTTCGTTTCGGTCGGAAGAAACGAACAAACATTTCAAAAATCGTGAAAGTGAACGGATGAATAATCAAAATGAATTTTTGAAAACATTCTTTTTTTTTGCAATGCACTCATTCCACTAGTATATAAATTATTAATTACGTCACAGAAAAAGAAATCATGATAGAAGTGATATGTTCTACATTATCCCTAGAAAAGAACTATTAAATTATTGAGCAACATTTTCGAAATTGACGAGGTCCAACAGCTGAACGAAATTTTAAATAATATTGGCTATGCGCCAATGGGTCTCGAGGTACGCAAAACTACGTACATTGCATTTTATCCTACGCGAATTTAATATTTCCAACGCAAAATTTAAATCTACACCGCTTTCACGAATTTTTTTTAATTTTCTCTATTTTAATATTTTTTATTTTCTCTGCATTGTCTCAAAACAAACACTGGCAAAAAAACACCGTGAACATTTTGAGAGAGACAGTGACTTAAATAATAGAAAAAATGTGTTGTTTCCGTCGAAACGGTATAACCTGCGTATTTTGCCAAAATCGAAGAAAACAACTGTTTTATTCGATAGGTTTTCCGAGCAAAATTGAAGTACTTGTAGAAAGTTTAGCTACTGTAATAAACGGATAAGTTCCTGTTCATGAAAAGATTGAACAAAACTGATTGTTTGAGTGTCCTTCTAGAACAGCCGTAATAAAATTTGTATAAATTGTCGTTTGTCGATATTTGAAAATCGTTTCTCGTATACTTACTCGGCTTTTAAGTGTTGACGAAGCTCCGGCAAACAGATTGGCTCAATATGGCGAGATATACGCAATATCTGCAAAATTAATTAAAATCGATGTGCCTCGGAAGCAATAAAACAACTATTAAAGAACGTTGAGAGCAATGTGATAAACACTCACTCGTTTAAATGTGTCGTTTTCTATTATGTTTCGTTTTTTCGGCCTACTAACCAAGATTGATGGATTGTTAGTTTAAATTGGACACGTTTTTATGAGATAATTGGGGAATCACAATAATTCTGGTATTATAATATTAAACAGCTGAATAAACAATGAAATGAAAGCGAAAAAAATATGACGTGAAATTCAAAATTAACAAATTAAATATTTATTTTAGCATTTCTTATTTACAAATTTCGATAATTTAAATTAGGGAAAATAAGATCAATCACGAAACAATTGTTTTGCAAATAATTGTTAAAAAACGGCATAGTTTTTTTTTGAAATATATTTTTCTCATCGTGCGATTTCCTAAAATTGGCCAAAAGCCTAAATATCTGGTGATAGGTTCTGGCGAGATGACCCGAGCATTGCTCCTACAACCTACTGATCCCGTAAATCTATATATTTAGCTTCGCTCCAAGACCTCTTTCATAGTATTTTTGGCATTGAGCCCATTTTCCATAGTATCAGTTTTTTTTTCACAAAATCCTCAACCGAGGTTTTCTATAAATCTTAAAAATTGGAAGAATAGTTTTTTTTTGTCCAAAATAAGACCGATAACCTAGGAATATCCGTTCTTATCTCTAAATTAGCAAATCTACAAAGAAGAAAAATCGCAGAGAAAAACTGAGAAAAAAGACAAGCCGGCTTGTAAAACACAGCAATTGATTGAAGAAAAACTTGCTCTTTCTTTTGCTCATCGGGAGCCCGAAGGACATTTGACGGGTCGTGTGTCTCTCGTTCATCTCTCACTCTTCAACTGGTCGGCTAAATCCATCAAATCGTCAGACTAGAAGATAATGAAGAGATCGGCTAACAAAAACTAAATGTATTAGAAACTTTTATTACATAAATCAAAAAAGCACAAGAGTGGATAGAAATTGAAGAAAAGACCCGAATGCGTCCCAAATAGGTAATTTTGCAGAAACATTTTCTTTTTTAAAGAAAATATTTCTGCAATAATTTCACCAATTTGAAAAAAAACATGTATGCAGATCAAAATAATACACGAACGTTTAACGAAAAAAGCCACAAGTGAATGATAAGTGAGATTATTTGAAAAAAATGCAGGCAATATTCAATATATCCAATTTAATAGACACATAAACTTGTTAATACTGGCGGTTCTCTGGAGTAAAAGAAAAAATTACCCATTAATTGGAGGATTAGGAAATAAAAGTGTGTTGGGCCGTCGAGGGTCGCGTCGTGACATGTCCGAGTTGAAGAAGAAGTGGCGCGATAATCGATGGATTTTGAGCACGAGCCATGAATGGATGACGGAGAAGATCGCGAGCCGGCCAGCGGTGCGAAACGTCTTTGACGACGCAATGTGAAAGTAGATCAGCAAGCTCAAAAGATACCTAAATATACTTTTAAAATATACCTTTAAAACAATTTCAAAAAATTTCAAACGATTGAAATGGTGAGGCAACTTCAATTTCGGGAAATAAGTGTAGTTTTACGAAATTGATAATTTCCGCCCAGGCTTAGCTGCGAACATCGCGCCATTTGGAATTGTTGGTACACTGCCAGTTTTTTTTTTAAATTTCAACCAGTCGTTCGAAAACCGACAACAAGCAACATAGTTAATATGGTCGGAGTGAAACGACTGAAGGGATGCGGGACCTTCAAATTCGCAAAATCAGTGAAGATTTAATTTTTTCGTTGACTGAATATTAAATGCACGTACGCTATAATGCAGTGTACGCAGTATTGCGTATTTCTCCCTGCCTCGAGACGCATATAGCCAATAATATTTTTTTTTTAATTTCGTCAAGTCGTTTGACTCTGACAATACTTTTTTTTTTCAAAATCTTGAAATAATTGGATACGGTGAATTGATTTTTTTAAATAAGAATATAAGAAAAATTGGGCCCCAATGAGTCAAAAATTAATAAACGAGAATTGCCGTGAAGTAAAACGACGATTAAGAAAAAACTCAAAATTTACGTACATTTGCATGTCTACTAAACCTCGGCGCTTGTTCATCTCGTAGCCTTTTCATTGCTTGGAATGGTTGATCATTGAAGTAAGGAGGTTCGCCTTCGACCATTTCAATAAGCATTATTCCGAACGACCAAATATCGGCGCGAGTATCATACGGCTCACGAGCAATCACCTAAAAAATGAAAACAATATTGAGTAGTTGAATTATATTGTATTACTTCAGCAGCAGTCCAATACGGTGTTCCAACCAGCGACCTTCGTTTCGGAACTTCTTCAGAGAGTTGGCCACAAAAACCGAAATCCGACAATTTGACTGTTCCGTCGCGTTTCAACAATATCGAATCACTTTTTATGTCTCTTAATAACGTTCAATTTTGTGATAATCCATATACTTGACAAGGAAGGTCTTTTGGCTGTCCGTCTTAAAGTTTTTTTTTTAATTTTATGTATACAACTGCTTTAGAAAATTTCCAATCGAATTTTCTGCGCAAACTTCTAGTTATCGAGATATGGACCTTCAAAGTTTTAGCCTCTCCCCACGTGAATTTTGCATACAAATGTGGAAACTCGAAATGAAATAACGGGATGTCTTATACATAAGGTGATCTTACCTATGAATGACTCTTCTCGAATGTAAGAATTCCAACGCTCCAAGAACTTGTTTCGAGATCGTGGCAATCTGCGGTTCGGTCATCCTCGTCGCCGTAACAATATCTGTTAGACTACCAGCCTCCATAAACTCCATCACAACCCATAACTCGTCGTTGACCAAATGAGAAGAGAATAGTTGAACAATGTTCGGGTGATGATATTCACGAAGAATTGACACTTCATTGAAAAGAAGCTCACGACGCTGCTGTTTTTTCAAGTTCATTTTTTTCACAGCGACAATTTGGCGTGTTGAAATCTGCATAGGAAAAAAATTTGTTGAACTAGCTTAAACCAATACCTTATAAGCAGCTTCGACAATTCCAGTGGAACCTTCCCCAATCTGTTTGAAATCTTTAAGATCGTGCCTTGGATCAGACGAATCTACGACAAAGCGTAAAGCATTTCGAAATTCTTCGTACGAAACGCCTTCGGCCGGTCTTGCTGGTTGGTGTCTTTGATGAGCAACAATGGTGGTGATTGGTCTAGTTGGAGTTGGTGGAAGTGTACCAAAGGTGGTGGTGTTTTTGCTTGTTCGAACTGGCAAGGGTGAATAAGTGGGCTCATTAAATGGATAACCACGCTGATTGACAGGAACAGGAGATGGACGATAAGATATAGGAGATGGTTGGCGCTGGGAAATATTTACTACAGGTGAAGCAGCCATCCTTAGACTATTACTCCGGGCAACACTAGGAAGTTGAGAATACGACGCCTGTACGGGTGTATTTAGCCTGAATTTTACAACAAGAAATACTAAAAATATAATGAGCTAATTACCTCGACTCTGGACCTCGAATTACTGTTTTCAGTTCAGCTACATCCATTGGTGTAATGCACGATGGGTCGACGACTGGTTTTGGTCTTGTAATCGACCTGGGCGGTCCCAAAAGTGCTTGCCATTGCTGCAATTCCTCTTTTTAGACTATCAAGTACACTCGACTCAATTGTCTGTTTTTTGCCCAATGCCCTCTCATCCATTTCGCTCGCATTATTTGCTTTCAATGAAATTTGACTCATTTCGATTAAACCACACCGTAAATGTGAGAGGAATTAACAAAATTTTAGTTGCTTTATAGAAATTAAAAAGAATCAAGCATGATTCGTTCAATCGATGAACAGTTAATGTCAATTGTTAAAGCTAAAAACGAAGAAAATTCTAGTTTTAACCGGAAAAAATTTCCAGAAAAGGCAAACCTTTGGTAATCCAGTATAGCTTCCCGTTCTGGAATCATATCCCGCGTGAATTCGATGCTCAAAATTACTAGGAGTTGAGATTTCCGTCTTTTTTACTTTGCGACGCAAAGAAAATGTTCGATTCATTACCACCCAGCGAACTAGCTGTTGTGCATTTGTGTTTTATATAAATCTGAATTAAACATATTTTTTGCAAAATTATAAATACTAAAAATATAAAATGGAACAATAATAATATCAAAAGATAGTTGAGGGCGTACGAAAAAAAAGCGCGTAAATTTACACCCCGGTCGCCAATTTCAATAAAAACTTCGGCCATGCGAACTCGGCCATTTTGAATTATAAAGTTTGATATGCAAGAATTTTAATGTTTTTTATGATTAAGTATGGACAATATATTCACATTAGGTTTATAAAAATAAAAACAGTCGTTGCAATTGCAAAAGGAAGAGAAAACGTTCGAAAATTGAACAAAATCCGGGGTTGAATTAGCCGCACTCTTCCCATTATGAGTTTCCGCATTTCAACGCGAAACAGATGTCGCATGAATGTTGAACTCGTTTCCACACATCGAATTAAAAGCGAACACATATATTCCATTAATTGGAGTAAGTCAAATTGCATATATCATGATAAAAATTCTCATTTGATAATGAACTTGGAGATGGTGAAGCCGTCTTGGCCGCTCTTAAAGAATGGGACTACCTACAAATAATTTCAAAGTAATCTTTAAAAAATAAGGCAATATGAATTATGTGACTAACGTGTTTATCAGACGTGACTTTTAATAAAAATATTCAGTTCAAATTGCAAATGATGAACACTTCGGCGGTAATTAACAATGGCAGTCCAAATGCTCCCGTTGTAATCAACGTCGCGCTTGGAGCACCACTAGTATATAAAAATTGAATTTGACTTATGTAAATCTAATTCCAGTGGTTTTATATCGGAACAATGTCAATTCTAATGTTCAGCTGCAGTTGTTGTGTCTTATGGTGCCTCTGTATGTTTATTTCGCTCGCCAGTATGTTGAATAGCGAATTTTCGATCTATTGATTCATGATTCTCGTAGGAGATGATAAAAAATCAACAACAGCGAAGAGCAGCGCCAGACGAGAACTCGACGCGATTTCACAAAGTATTAGAAGTACTCGAAAGAAAAGAAACGTTAAAGGCGAAGAAGAAGATGAGGATGGAGATGGAAAAATCGATGATAAAAATGATGTTGAGCAAGGAAGACGTAGATTTCAAAAGTTGAGAATAAATTTTGAAAAAAAAAACATATTCAGCGAGATCAAGTAAAAGATCGAAGAAAAGCTCGAAGAGACAAAGAGGAGGAAATGATTTAATGAAAAAGAACGTGGATTCTGAAACGAAAGAATATTTCAAATGGGTTGCTTCATTCAATGTTTTCCTTGTACACGATCTATTTTAAGGTTGCTCAAAAGCTTATGCTGGATGTTTAAACAGTCAATAAGGACATTTTAAAATATCTAATAATTAATTCGTCATGAACTATTAAATAATAAGCATAAATTGTATCGTTTTTTGTGCAACCTACATATGAATATTTTCTAATCAAACAAACCGTTTCCGCCGCAGTTTTTATTGACGGTCAATCCTGGTAGGATAGCTCTGCGTTTCTTTATCTTGCACACTGCTCTGTACTATGAGTAAACTTGAGTTTGCTCAGAGACATCGATTGACCATTCGAGTTGGCAAATGAGCTCGTTTTTCTTTTACTCAGTTCTATTTATATCGATTATTTCGATATTCATTAGTATATACTTTCATAAGCCGCAATTTCCGCCGCTAGAAATAGATAAGGTATGGAATTAATTTTTAGCAAACGTATAAAAACAAAATGTAAATTATTTTTTATACGTCTCTATTCAAACGTTTAACAAAAACTTGATTTAAATTTTGAATATAAAAATCGCAGCTCGAAAATTTCGACCCACAGAATACCAGATTTGGTAATGCCGATTATACTCTATTCATTTTTTGAATATTTCTAATCTGATTGGTAACTTGTGATATTCGATATTTAAGTATTTTGTATTCAAATTAAAGCTTTGAGTTACCAGAATTATTCGTTGAAAGCTTCAAATTTCATAATTAAAAATATTATACTGTTAAAAAAATTTTAAAACTTCTTGAATGAAAAAAAATCACTGAAATGTTGGCTCCTTTTTTTTAGGATGGATATTGGAAGCCTGGTAATCCTGTCAAAGATGACGACACAATTTATAGCCATACTATCAAAATCGATGAAACTGAGTAATTTTTGATTGAATTTAATTAAGGAAAAAAATTGATTTAAGAATTCAAAAATTCAAGAATAAATTGGCATCAGAAACGCGGATAAAATATCGAAATGAGGAATATGACAAGTATCTGGATAGACTTTTTCAAGTAATTGAAAACTTCGATTGGAAACAGCACGAAAATTTCTTAAACACGTTCAAGCAATATAGGTATGCTTCAATTCGAAATTTATTATAATTTGTAATATTATCATAAAGGTTTTCTTTTAAGAACGGAAATCGAAGGTTTAAATGTTCATTTCGCTCGTATCAGTACGCCGCTACAAGGAAAAAACAAGAAACTCGTGCCGATATTGCTTCTGCATGGATTCCCAGGCAGCTTCTGGGATTTCTTCAAACTGGTTCCAATTCTATCAAATCCCAGTCGCCACGGTTTCGATTTCGGCGTAAAAGAAACTATTCAGTTTGATGTCATCATTCCAAGCATTCCCGGATTTGTCTTCTCAGAAAAACCGGAAAAATCCGGTTTGAAAATATGAACTGCTTTCAAAATTAATTAATTGAGGTTTTTTTAAAGGATTTGATGCAATCGCCATAACGCGAATCATCGCAAAATTAATGGATCGTTTGGACATCGATGAGTATTTTGTTCATGGCTGCCAAGGATTTGGATCTGATATTGCAACTCTGCTGACTTCCCTCTATCCCGATGACATCCTTGGACTTCATTTGTCAAATCCGTTTGTGCGTCCGACTTTTTCAACATATACTCTGTCAAAATACGTCTTCTCCGCTATATTTGGCAATGAGGACGAACGTGGGTTCACTGAGATTCAAGAGTACTTCAGAGATGAAAAGTTCTCAGTGTCGATGAGCCCAGAAGTGATAGGTGTCTCATTTTGTAAAATAATCTATGCATTATTGTGAACTATTTAAAGGGACATCGCTTCAAAACTCTCCAATGTCGACGGTTTTGTTCATCGAAAATGAATGGAAGTCTCTATCAAGTCGTGCAAAAACAACCAATCTATTCAATTTGTTCACATTAGACGAAATCGCGACAGAGATTTACATTTACTGGCTGACATCGTCTGCTCCAAGCGCCCTCCAGATTCTCAACGAGTGCTATAATAAAGATTTGATATGGCTAAGGTAGTAATGACGAATCCAATTAAATGCTCTAAAATCAATTTTCAGTGCTCAACCAAAGATTCCAACAGCTGTTGTGTACTCAAAAGAAAGTCCGTGGTTATGCTCAGAAAATCTATTGAGTGACAAATATTTGAACATTACAAGGTAATTTTTTCGCAATTTTGGAACGAATCCAATAATTCGCGTTTCAGAATCACACATCTTCCAAAAGGGGGTCTCTTCCATCATCTACAGGACGCAAAAAAGATCGCAGAAGACATTTTCTCGTTTGTAGAACTTCAATTGCTTTGAAAACAGATTTTTTTATAATATGTAAAAAATAAATAAAATAAAGGCGTGAATAAAATGGTCAAAATGGCTTATTTCTCACAAAACCAAATATTGAGTTTTAAAAGTTGCAATCGAGAAAATGAGCACTCCTGTGTGAGTAAAAAAAGTTTTCTTAAAATTCGAAATATTAAAATATTCTAGCGACGGAGAAAGGAGAAAAAGAAGATTAGCGTTTCGCGCGGGAAAATTCCCAGATGATCTGATCACTGCCGAAAAAATTAAAAAGTTCACATTTGCCATTGAATGTGCACCTGGACAGGTGTCGAATCGAATATATTCAGCCAATTAATTTTGCATAATTGAATTCAGCCGAAGTACACAGACTTCAAATTAACCGAAGGAATGCTTTTAATCAGAGTCCCAAGTTTTATGGTGCCACCTGTGGAGTATTGCGATCATCTTCTCAAAATCAACGATACACAAATTAAATCAAAAAAAGTTTTAGCTCAATTTTTGGCCGAAAATGTAGATCAAAACAAACCACACGTGGTATAGCAAAATCAAAAGAAAATTGCTGAAATCTATTTTTGTTTAGCTTGTGTTTCATGTTCGGAGAATAATGAGTGTTGAACATATAACGGACCATTCAAAATTGCCTTCGAACGCTTCAATCAAACGTCCAAAAACGAATAATCCGTTAGTGAAACCCTCAGAAGGATACGAATACTACAAGTCCGTTATATTTGTTTTTTTTTAGTTAAAATATTGATAAACACATTCTAGGACAATTCTGATATACTTCCCAAAAAGTAAGCTCGGAATCAATGTGAAAAGCTATAATGATGTGGTATTACATTTTCATAATATATAATTTTTCTTTTATTTTTTAACTCAGGTATATGTCGAATCGATCGATAATACTTGGGGCTCAACAACTCGTCGTTTCTTATATGTCGGCGATGCTATTCTCAAAATCGATGATCAGGAAATTTTCGATGTTCAAAAGACGCAGCAAACCCTCATAAATGGATTGCAAAACAATGGAATTGTGACGTTGATAATTGAGAGAGCAACAGCACAAGCTGCTTCGAATTTTGTGAGATCGGTATTATTCTGGAACAAGTGTGTTGATCCCCAACTGGCAATGGACGTCATTCATATTTGCAAGTATTTTTTTACATGCCTCGGCCAATTCACCATGCACACGCTCGGTGAATTGTTTCATTACTTTATTGTGGTATGCAATGGGTTTCTTTTTAAGGAAAAGATACGATTATCACGTTAGGAATGGTTTCGGACCCGAACCGAAGCCGATTCTCCGAGATAGCAGCTCCAAAAAACAGGAGTAAGTCCGAAATCAACAATTTTGTATTAATATTGATTCAAAAGGATCGAAGAATTAATATTTGCAAAATTTAGAATTTAAAAATTGTTTCTTTTTTAAGTTTGCAAATTGATATTTAGTGGTGAAAAATTTGAATTATGCCCCATTTTTCAAAACTTTTCACAATGTTTTCAATTTCAACTACTTACGAAGGAGCTACGCAATTCAATTATTGTTTTTAAAAAAAGTTAAAGAAATTCATTTCAAAAAAATAATTCTAAAAAAATAATCGAATGTGTGCAATTGTGCGTATAGTCGATGCCTGGTGACTGTAGTACGCGAATAGATTTACGGGGGATGCGTCTTTCTCATGGTCTCGCCGCATTTTATGGGTCAGTTCGATAATTTTTACATCGAGTGACGTTGGAAATGCCAAATTCATAAAAAAAAAATAAATCTTTCACGTGAAAACAGCAAAATAAGCGTTCACACGTGGTGAGACCTTTTTGAAATTCGCATTCCGTAAATCTACCCGCGTACAACAGTCTCCCGGTGCCGACAATAAGTGTACAGGGTGTCATTTAAGTTCCCGCACAAAAGTTTGACGCCATGAAGAGATTGACTGTCGCACTTTTTGTGCACCAATACAATTTATTTTTGTTAAATAAGGTATATTTTACTTATTTTCCAAGTTTCACTTCATTCGGATGTGTTTCCGAGAAATGGCGAAGGCTAACATCCATCGCGCTTCCATTATCGAACTTCATAAGCAAAATGTGAGCCCGAGAGCCATCATTCAACGCCTCGGTGTGCCTCGTAGAACGCTTTACGACACCTTCAAACGTTTCAAGGAGCTAAATACGACCAGTGACCGTCTCAGACAAGGAAGACCCGTCTCGGTAACCACTCCTCAGAAGATCAACGCCGTCAAATCGAGGATCAGGCGAAACCCCTACAGGAGCATGAGAAAGATGGCGTCAGACGTGGGAATGAGCATCTTCGCTTTGGAACAAATCGTCAAAACGAAGCTTGTACTGACCCCATATCGTGTCCAAAAAGCGGCAATTCTATCGGCCGTCAACAAGCAGAGACGCTTCGAAAAAGCAAAACGACTTCTTGCGCGCACGCGGTCTGGAGAACACCTCGTCACTGTCTTCTCCGACGAGAAGCTATTCACTATGGAGACGGCATTCTACTCACAAAACCATTGAGTACTTGCCCAGACATCCCAGCAAGCTTCTGAGAAAGGAAGAACAATTAATCGAGCCTCACATCCTGCCAGTGTGATGGTTTTCGTTGCCATCTGCTCAACCGGGAGGTGCCCCCTGGATTTCGTGGATCAGGGGGTGAAAATGAACAAAGAAGTCTACGTTTGGGACATTTTAAAGAAGCATGTGATGCCCTGGACTCAAACGCATTTCGGTGGGCAGAAATGGGTCATTCAACAGGACAGAGCTCCCGCCCACAATGCCAAAACTACTCAGGAGTGGTGCCAGACCCATTTTCCCGACTTTATCAAGTCATCCGAATGGACTGATTGCTCCCCAGACCTGAATCAGCTTGACTTTTCCGTGATGGGGTCTTGCAGGAGAAGGTCAACGCAAAACCCCACTAAAGTGTAGAGGCTCTGAAGAAGACATTACTGGCGGCATGGCACAATCTTTCCATCGAATACCTGCGTACCACAGTCGCATCCTACCCGAAGCGTCTCTGTGAAGTCATAGCTCCGAAAGAAGGCCGAATCGAAAAGAGTTAATATAAAATTATTTGTTATACTATAGATAAAAAATATTTCAAGTCTCGTTTGATTTGGACTTTTAGTCTCAGAAATATACGTCTTCAAAGTTGTGCGGGAACTTAAATGACACCCTGTATATGAATATCGACCGATGTTGTGATTTTTATCTTCATCGAGTTGCGGTATGTTTATGCCCATCTAAATTTTTCTAAAAAAGTGTTTAATCGAACCAATCCGCGTGTCTAATTAATGCCATCAACTGCTAATATCGCATGTCTAGATTTGTTAAGAAAATGTATATGCAGATGAGTTAAATAGTTTGTCGTTTTCATTGATTTTTAAGTACCAAATTGCGAGTATCCATGACGAACAAAGTCGAGAATTTCACAATTGGATGTGATCAATACAATCCAGCTACAATGATGGTGATCTTTCGTGTTTTTCATTTCACATGTCTCATATATTTGGTTTTTTCAGAAAGTTCCAAATTACACTGATCCTATTGTGGCAGCAAAAGCTATGAAAGAAAAATAGAAGAAGGTGGCGATGGCATTTCGGCAAAGCTGTATTTAAATAAATGAATAGTGTTCGTATAATTGCCCACCAGTTTCACATTCATTCACATGTCTTTCACTTTTGAAATCCCGGATCATTATATAGACCACATATTTACACCAAATGAACTTGGAACAGTTTACACTCATAATCCATTGACAGAATGGATTGAGGTATTATTCAGGACTACTTGTGATTTGTATGATGTCAAATATGAGCAAGTTGTTATATTATTGCTGAATATTCTACTTCAATCTATTTTAATTTATATTATTCTTATCGACAAGCTTTATAAAAATAATGTGTTTTTTATAATTCATATTATTCTATCATCGTCGATATTAATTCGAGCCACGATTTCTCAGACAATATTATTAATATTTGCTATATTCCGAGTGAACGTTTTTCAAATCAGTCTTTATATTGACTATATAAGCGATTCTTTCAATTTATTCCTTTTATTCCTTTTAACATTAAATCAATACTGCATTGTTTGTTTCCCAAGCTTTACCAAACGAATTTTTGAAAGGTTTTAAATGTTTGAATAGAATAAAACACTGAAAATAATTCCAGAAAACGATATGTGCTATTGGTTTTGATATCACTAACACTATCGATTATCCTTAGCTATTATTATATTCGATCTGGAAATATTAAGAGAAATTTTTTTAAATATATCGGTATAATTGATACTTCAGAAGAAGAGGAACACGATAGAGTATGAACAAACTGAAATCGATAAACTCTTTTCTTTTTCCAGACTGTCCGTCGTCTAATTTACATATTTCCTTTATTATCAGTCTTTATGCACTTGCATCTTTTCGTGTATATCCGAAAATTTTCCAAATTGATTTTTATGAAAAAAACAACTATTTGTACGCGGCTATCTATCAACATTTTCTCGACATCAATTACTTATTTGGTTACAGTGAATTCCGATTGATATTAAAACATCCTTATATTTCAGATAATTGCTACTCTGGCTGAAATAATTGATGCCATTGAACTTAATCGGTACAAGATTTTGTTGATACGATATCTGTCAATCTTCAATCAAATGCCTGAAATAGTCTCCGCGGTGTTTCAATTGTTTACAAAATGGAAGGACCGAATGAAAACAACGAGCATAAACCAAATTTCTTAAATTTGCAAACACACTTCGATTTTATCGAAATCCGCCTACTCTCTCTCTCTCTCTCTCTCTTTATAAAATTAATCATAGATACTCGATTGATTGAGAGAATTCTTTGTGAGACTATTGAACAAGTTTTGAATCAGTCGAATCAGAAATTATTTGCATAGCATCATATTTATTTCACAAGGCTATAATTAAAGCAAGAAGTGTACACATTATTCCGTCGAATTCATAGGAATGCCACATTCCGAATGACAATACGTTGGCCATCTTTGCAAAGGCGGGCAATTGCGACAAGAGCGACCTGAAATCGAAAATGGATTTGAGCGAATGTGTCCGAAACTCGTCTTACATCATTCGGAATCTGAGCATCGCCTTCCTGAGCGGAAAGGAATAGACCGTATTTGGCCGGATCGTCGTTTCTACGATTCAGTGCGAGCACGATTTGGATTGCCTCGTGACATGTGGTTCGTGTTGAGAGTAGCAGAGATTTGTAGTTGGATTGCGGTGAGATATTGTGATCATAAACGCGGACGAGGAAGCCGGCCGGATTCTGACAAAGGATGAATCGCGACATTCCCATTGGATGGCATCGTTGCAATTCGTATGGTCGCGAGTCATCGTCGAGTTTTAGAAGCGTCACTACAGGAATACCAGACGCTGCTTTTGTTTTAAGCTAAAAATTGAGACTCTTAAAAGTAATCAAACAAAAATAGGAAAACCTCCATAAAAAGATCGAAAAGGTTAGGATCCCGGCAAGTAAGTTTCAGGGTGTTGAGGAATTTTTCGATGACTTGTCGCGTGGTTGTGCTATTGGTAACTCGAATCGTTTTGTAATCAGTGCATTGTTTCACATTTCGAGTATCCACTTTGAGAACTCCCTGATTAATATTAACGAATATTTTATTGTTCGATTCGTCATTTACCATTTCTGAAGAGTCTGAACCTCCGGAATCCATCGAATTAAGTGAAAGCATTGAATTACTGCGACTTGTGGTTGGAACTCCGAGTAGTGTGTCATCAAGTAAAGATGTCATCGAGAAGGAATATGAAGGAGATGATACTTAATATTAAATCATTGTTAATAATATTTTTGAAACAGAAAAGTTCTTAAAATTGAGAATATCAAACAAAAGCAAATGATTTTATTTCGAAAGTAGTTGGAGAAAAAACAAGCTCGAAAAGCAATAGTTTTTAAAAGTAAAATGGCAGTAATCGTTGGTGGATAATCATCGGATAATCATCAACGATTCAAGGCCAAAAAGGGAAACTAACGAAAGGAAATGAGTAAGGACGAAACTTGTAGTTTCTAGCAGTATTGCGAATCAAGTTGAATTAAAATCCGACCAACTGACCACGAAACAAATTTGATAAGGCGCAACTTTGTTATCGTCATTCTCATTCACTCTAATCACTATACATATATTTCATGACTAATGTTACTAGCAAGATCGAAGCCATACAGGAAACAGTAATACCTGTCGATGAAATCGTCGGCGTATTATTGTTGCTGGCGCGAAGTGACATCGAGGATTTCACTTGGTATTTCAGCATTCTCCTTCTGTAAGGAAATTTGCGTTAGATTGTACACACACACACAAATGAAAGTGACGGATTGAATCGCTTATGAGATCGCAAAACTGCTATTAGATCATATAAAAAAAGGAGTAAGGACCAGTCGAAAGATCAAGAAGTTCTTTTGTACTTTACTGAATTGTACGATGGAAACTGATGGTATTTGGGGTTAATATTACTTGACATTTATTTTTTGAAAATGAATGGATTGAAGAGTTGAAAAACTGAGAATTACTTGAGGAAAAGAGAAGTGAAACGAAGATTGTGATATTTGAAATTGCCACTTTCAAATATTAAAGATATTGTTGAGATCCTACATGATCTTATTAATGGAAACAGTTTAAAATTGGATGATTCATAACGTATCAGAGATTATCAGAAATTTAAGAATTTATTAAAAATACATGGTATAAAACATGACTAATGTCGGACGAAAAACATCTCATCCGCAAATATGACAATAATAATACGAAGAAGAAAATGAATAATAGCCCTTTACACCTTCTTGTCCCAATTTGACACTTTCTTGTCAAAAAAACTCAATGGTACAATAAATGTGCGAAATCCGTATGATTTGATAAATAAGAGAGTGGCGGCTGAGAATAAAATAAACATGGGAGTAGATAAAAATGGATACGGCTGTGATCGGCAGCGGTCGCAGCAAAAGCTCCGTATCAAATATTTATTTATTTATACACACAAATCAAAACATAAACAATATTTAAAAACTGAGCACACGGAATCGCGAATTTCTCGCCTCTTGAGGAGGGCACTATTTGTTTTCATATGGACGCGGAGATATCGCGAAATGCTTCCAGTTTCTCGTCCTCTCCTTCGAATCACTTATAATGATTATAATGATGATTATATCATACATATATTATATTGGCATATTATATGTATGTTCAATCTGTAGTCGCATTGTTCGCCGAACAAATTTCGCCACAGAAACAATTAACAACAAAAAATGAGGTAACCGTGATGGATGAGAAGTCGGTCTGTTTGAGAATTCAATGTTCTGCACAATTTAGCGAAAAAAAAAGAAAGTCATAACATTCGATATCAAAAAGAAAGTTTTGTTCTAGAAAAAACGGTTCAACCGTTCAAAGTGAAATGAAGCATAGCAAAATTTGGGCACATAAAACTGTTGGGACTGCTCATATAAAGGGGAAAATGGATGGTTCACAAAATGGAATAGTATTTATGAAGGCGATGCGCAGAGATGGCACCGGCCTTGATTCAACGCAGGTGTATGTGACAATAAACAGTGCCCGAAATGGAGTTCTTGAACACAAAAACAGGGTCGCTTGATTTATAGCAAAATCGAATAGATTTGGCAAGTGATCCGGAGGATGAGGGGGCGGATTCATTCGTTCGTTCATTCATTCATCGCGCCCCCGAAGGGTCGCCATGCAAATTTGATAATCCGATTACTTGCTGGTGAATGTATGGATTCGCGGGTTTTCATTCCTTCGTAATCTATTTAAGACACAAATATTCATAAAAAGTGAAATTGAAACAAAATTTAATCACGGCTGAATTTTCGGTTATATTCGGCGACTGCTCAACGAGGGTAGATTTACGAGTATTCGCATTTCGCTATGGTCTCATTTCGGAACCACTTTATGCCAAATTTTGAAAATTCCGAATTTCAATGATAATGGAAAAAAATTCACGTGAAAATAACAAAATCAGCATAACCGCTGTCGATATCATTTTTAAAGGCGCACGCGTAACTCTACCAGCGTATAGCCAGACACCGACTCTAAAAATATCGAAAACTCCGATAGAGGAATCATGAATAGTTTCTAAACACAAGCATCAGCGTTTCCGAAACGAAACGAAACAATGTATTTTTTATGAAGTTCTACATGGGATCAGAGAGATAGTAGAATATAGATATAATATGAATGATGGATGCGCCTGTCACTGGGCAGTTGCATATCATCGATGAGGTTGATTTGGTAGACGAGGTCACACAAGGGTTTGCATTCAAGTTTTCACAAAAATGAAAGTTCGTGTCTTTAAAAATATTTTTTCGATTTTTTCGAAAAACTTCTCAAATTTGCGCGTTTTGTTAATGAAAGTTAGCCGCATCTGTTCGTCACAAGACCAATAAATTAGCGCGAATTCGAAGGATGAGACAGTCAAAAGTTACAAATTGCGAGCTGCACAGAATTGATGTGAACTGCGCGTTTATAAAAATTGCGTTAAACTTTCCGAGCAGTGTGTAAAATGACGAGGAAAATGTGATCGAATAGATCGACAAGAAACACCACATAATTACGAACAAAAACACGAATTTTGACGAGGCAAATACAAGTTAAATACACCCAAACAAACACATACATATATGTAATTACAGCATCTTGCATATTTATACAAGTTGGCTTCGAGTTTAATAAAAGAAAACAAGGAAAGAGATGGAGATTCCTGTGGAGGAAATGTTTATTAAAACGAGACAACGCTCGGTTTTTTTTAGCGCGTCAAATTCGACAATTCGACATCGCCACACCCATTTTTCGAACATCGCCCAGGCTTTTATGCGCCGCTCCGCAAATTTTGTGGCCCCCGTCGATAAGATTAATGTTCGTATGTACATGTGTTGGTGTGGTACTGTCAAGGAGACGAAAGAGAGCGACCGATGAGTCGAATAATGTCTCGTCTTCTTTTTTTGTACGACCCGGCACCAATTTGAACAATTAATTTGTTCATCGAAAAAAAAACGACGAGTCACAACTAGTTTACGGTTTTCCAAATTTCGAACCAACAAGAATATGAGAAAACATACATGCATACAGTCATCACAGCAATTATGTGCTGCTATCTATCATTGTCAGATGTTCGACATGACGAACAAAAAAGGTATCGCTGGAACCATGATCACTAAACTGAAAATCATTCGCAATTTCGACTTTCTCTGATGACTGTATGCTTATGATTCATATTTTTGAAATTCGACGAATAGAACGATTAAATTGGGCAAGGAGAGGAGAATGAAAAGCATTGTCAAATTGCTTTGAGATATTGCGAAAATTTCCAACTCTGATACAGTGGATTTGACAAAGCAAAAAAATGAATTAGAGATTTTTAATAAGAAATTAGGTGGAATTGCAATTAGAGAACATTCTGCTCTGAAATTTCACAAAAAATATGTAGATGCAAAACAACATTTGAGTAAAATGAAATATATTTTGCCATGTGGTTTCTAATCGAATCACAACCTCGTTTTACTCACTTCCTAAAATGTTTCAACTCAAAAAATACTACACTTTTGTGTAACTAATTTTGCTTGAACAAAAACCGGATCTGTATAATTATTAAGAAGAAAAATAAAAAAGATATAAGCGGAATGTAATTAATTGAGTATCACTCAACGAGGTCCGCAAAAACTGAACGAACTACGGCGACGACGACGACGGCGGCGATGATGGCGGCGGTCAAAACGGACATCAGCTGGACATCTGGTTTCAATTTCATTTCATCTCTTTTTCATACACTTTTGCGATGAGACGATTCCCGCAATATGTATTCTACACTCAAAGATTTATGTGCTAATTATATTCAGATGTTGAAAACCAACAAAATACTGACTTTGAATTGTTTTTGCGGTTGGCGTTTGGGGTTGTCGTTGGTTATCATACAGAATAGATGAAAGATTAATCATCATAAAGAACGTCTAAAGAAAAGAAAAGGACGAGCGAAAACAATTTGAAATGAAATCATGGATTGGAAATCAGTGAATGACGCAAGCAATTCAGGCTATTTTCAAAACTTTTATCGACAATTCAAATATGGCAACAATGGCATTTTTGATAGAAATTCACATAAAAATCGATCAACAATAGAATAAGGGAAAATGTGAGACGAGAGCAAAGAAAAATATAGAAAGATCGAATATTGGTAAATTGTGATCTACAAGATTGGTTGCATCGATTTGGTCATGTTTGATTGAATAATTCTCAACGGCATTGATTTTAAATTTACTCAATTACACAACACGCCCAGAATGTTTTTGGCAATTATAAAAGCACGCCCACAAAAATTCAAAATCGTTTACCAAATTGCAAATATTAAAATGATTACCAGTCACGAGGATCAAATTCAAATTGGCTGACCAAAACGGTTGCGTAATCTGCATTGGTAATCCGGTTTAACCTCAGGTAGGACACAAAATCGCATCAATCCAAACACAACCACATTATACATAATATTAAATATAATAAATATTTACTAGGCTCTCCCCCGAAATAGAAGTGACAAAGTGTGTCCATATTTGAACAGTAGGCGAGGTTGCGTGGGGGAAACAGACCGAAATGTCAAGTTTGTATGCTTAATGAGTTTATTAGAATAAACCGACGTGTTCGAAAAAACCAATGGGGCGAAATACGTGCTTGCGAGTCGGCTGGCTGCTGTTGTGAATGAATATCGAATTTCATTTTGTCGAAAACTAATCATAAATATAGCAAGTGTGTTGTTCGACAGAGCTTCGGTACACAAAAATCATCATTATAATGACCGCAAGCATGAGCCACATGTTCGATTCAGCTGAATAGAACAGCTGCAATCAGTTCGAATCGTATTTTGAGGAATTGGGCTCGAGGAACACGGTACCTGAACCATTTGGTGTAGAGTGGTTGGACTAGAAAGACACTGCTCAATCTCATTTCGCAAAGCTTCTGAAAATGTCTAGATTGTTCATTTCAGGCTAAAATTAATGTTTTTTTCTTCGTATGCAAATTAAAATCTCATATTTGCCGTCTGCACTTGAATTTGTTATCATACAACCCATACATTTTTTGTTAGGTTCTCAAATTTCAAATATTTGATTGATAAAACGCAACGATGTAACATAATGAAAGAAATTTTTTGAATAAAATCAAAGGCGAGTGAAAGAAACAAAAATCGAACATTGGAACATCGGAACAGCTGGCTTCGCAGAAAGAATAACACGCCGAGGAACGAAAAGCAGAAAAAAAGGTTGAATGACAAGTTTTGCCTGAGCTCGAACTTGCAAAAACGTTTCGAGTGTGATATGCATTTTTTTTTCAAACAAAATGTGGTACGAAACAAATGAAGCTCATTTTGGTTGAAAAATACCTTGTGACTGAATGGTCTCATTGGTTTCTGCACTTTCTTCTGGGCAAGATTGTTCGCTCACTGAACTCTCTGCCGGTTTCTCTTCTTTCCTGAAACCATCAAACTCCAATTAAGCAACCAGCCAACCCCCGATTACCATTCAGGCGATTTTTCACCACAAGTGTTGGTAATCTTTTGACACATCGCTTGTATCTCTTCAGTCGTCGCCGTCGGCGAGGTGATGCGCATTTCGGTGACCGATGGAATTGATATTTGTGAGGTGTTGTCGCCATTCTTATGGCGCAGCGATGGTGGCGGCGGTGGTGGAAGTGGTGGCGACGGACACGTTAGGAATCGATCTGTCTTCAGATTGTTCAAGCCAACCTCGCGATCGTTTTTCTGCTTTCGAACAACTATTTTCATTGCTTTTGCTCTTTTCGGTTTTGCATGAAATCTAAATCATATCAAACAATAGTAATAATAATATTCTGATCATTCCGAATTACGCCTCTTGTTCACTTTCAATCCATCTAATGCTGGGAGTTGGACTCAATTCAAGACTAGTAGCCACAATTTCAGCCTCGTTGCACTTCGTACATTCACATTTCTCGACAATCGGGCTGAGTGCAACACGATCGTTCGAACAAGGTGGCTTATCGGCACAAGAGCCGCATTCTGTGATGACTCCGGCAGTGTCTGTGGAATATCTCTCCATGTTGGGACCTTTTTCGGAAACGATGAGTGTTTTGACGCGAGCTGCCTTCCAAATATTGCTCTCGAGAGATTTGCCTACTGCGGATTTTGATGGGCAATCGACTTGTTGAACCGGCTTCCAACTCGAGTGCAACGGACGAACATTAAGAACAACACTGACCTTGATTATTTATCTCGAAATACAATGTAATTCAAAAATCAACAAAACCTCAGTTGTATTTCTAGTCATTGTTCGAGATGAACTTGAATTCTTTAAACATTAGAAATATTGATTAAATGTGACAGAAACCATCACGTCAAACCCGCTAATAATAAACAATAATAATAATAATAATAAATATTAGAAAATTAACCGGTGAAATAGTGAACCGGCTGTTTGGAATGTTGCACATTACAAGCGCATTTGCCGATTTTACATGGAAGTCCGAAGCAGTTGTCAGAAGTTGAAGAACATCTGGTCTGGTGGCAGAAGTTGAGGATTACTTTCACGAATAAATCATAGCCGTGAGTTTGGAAAGCCTTAATAATCATTTTACAAATTTGTAGCCAATTTCAGAAAATCTACCATGACACAATCGCATCTTCCGTCTACACAAGAATTTCGCAAACCTCCACAATCTTCATCCGAAGCACATTCGAGTGCGTTGATGCAAGCATTGCAATCGCACAATCCCAATTCACTTCCAAGACATTTTCCCTACAATTAAAATTATTTCTGGAGTTTTGAGATTTTTTGTTTTTTCAAAATTACAGTTGGACATTCTGAGTCATGGAAGCATTCTTTTTGTGCAATACACGAGAGATCCGGTTCTTGTTTTGGTTTTGGTGTCGTCGTCGTCGTTGTAGTTGTTGTAGTAAATTGACTTATTGTGGGGAACGTTTCAAATATTAATGGAAAATCTTCGCCAGATCCATCACCACTACCATCATCAATATTTTGAAGATGTTGATCATCGAGGAATTCTCTCCGAAGAATTCTTTTCAATTCTTGATCTATGGAGTTGAAGGCATTCTTGTTCTCAATTTCAATCATCCAACTTGGTTTCGGAAAATCCGAAGAATCTTGATGTCCTCGGCATATTATGGAGCCTAGAAAAACTTTGAAAGTTTTATTTTACAAAATAATCAATTGCAATGTATTTCAGAAAAAGACTGACCGATAAAAATTGACGAAAAGAGAAGGGTGAGACCAACCATCTTCAGTCACCCGACCGACTGATACTGAAATCCAAAAATGGGTAGAAAGAGGCCGACAACGAAGAGCGACAATTCAGATGAAGACGAAGATAAAAAATATTTAGGAACAAGACAAATGTGTATATATGGGCAATAGTATACACAAATTGATGATCAACACAATAACAAACACACCGACTGGCCGAACTTGATTATTCGAAAATGGGATTCGAATCAAAAAGAGGGGGAAGGAGGAATAGGAGGAGGGGGAATGACGAGAAGGAAAAGAGGAGGAACGAGATTGATGATGGGTGTTCACACGCTTTTAATGTTTCGATTTCGTTCCGAGAATTGAAATCATGAAAAAAACATTGATAAAATGAATTGCCTCGTCTCAGAAGACCTCATTTTTAATTGAAAATACCAAGTTTAAGTACCTCGATTAATGTTCGAACAATGTAATTGAAGACACCGATCTCGAACGACGGATATTTCAATTTGAATTCATTCCAGATGTTCGATTCAATCATCACAACTCTTTTTTTTTCATATTTTTCGAGCAAATCGAATCGAATAAACATTTCCAATACGAATGCGAGCCACGTAAACTGAATTTCAAACAATCAGTTTAGCAAAATCTTCTTTTTCACAAAACCCTCAGATTTTAACTGAAACAGATATTCTAAAAATACGCCACAGACATACACAAAGTTTTGACATTTCGCAGTTCAGGTCAAAATGTCAATATTGAAGTTTATATTGATCTCCTCGAAAAAGTCTGCAAAATGTTTGAACAAAAAGAAATGCGATTTTTTGAGATGAATATGGACATCAGAAGGTCACCTCGAGACGAATTTCGCGCCAATGACTCATCTCGTCGATTACCACGATTTAAGCGTCACCCAAAACGCGCACACACAAGACGCTTTTTTCTGAACAAGTGTGCACAGCGTCGAGTACCGTACCGATATCTTTTCGACTCTTTTCTGCGCCATTCGAGTTACAAGCAGTTTGAAATATACACAAGACCGTCGCCAGTTCGCACGCTAGGAAGTGTGCAGGTCTTGGAGGGAATAGAGAGCCACACTTGTTGGAAATCCGATGTACGGTGTGTGCGTGTCCGTCGAGATAAAGAACTAGTGAATGCTTAGCCAACACTTTTTTCTGTTTCCCACAACTCCCAATGATTCCTTCTCATTTTCTGTTGTGCCACATTTTTGGCAAAAAAAAACAGATAATTGCTTGATTGCAAAATTTACCAAAATCTATAATTATTTGAAAAAACTGCCTAACTCAAACAAATTTTTATCAATAAAATGATAATCTCAAAAAAATCATAAAATTTATCATTGAAACTAGATTGAATACAGAAAAACAATTGAAAATTCTTCATTTTTTTTTTGTCTTTATTGAGAAAAACAGACAAGATGTCGTCAATTAAAATGCACAAGTCCGTAACATAATTTCAGCGTTTTTTTTAAACAATGTTTCATCTTCCTTGTGTTTCGTTTATTTCCTAAAATCCCTCAATATTTGATTTTAAAAAATCTGAAATTGTAGTAAAATTTTTAATAATGGATCGCCAGGTGTGAATGCTTATTTTGCAGTTTTCACGTGAACTGCTTCATTTTTATTGATGAGTTTCTCATTTCCTTGAATTTCCAACGTCATCCGATGTAAAAATTCCTGTTTCTAGGTTATAAAAATACAATTGAAAATGAATGATTTTCGTAAATTTTTTTTATCATTTTTCTCCGACAATACGGAAAAAAAATATTTTTGCTTTTGTTGACCCTCTCTTTAATCGAAATTTTTAAAATCTTTATCTTTTCTTTCAATCAAATTTGTCTTCGCGCTATTCTCTCATGCTCTTTGCTAATTTTTAGAAAAATAAGGCTAATTATTAGAATATAGCTAATTACTTATAACGGAAAAAAGTGATTTTCTGAAAAAAAGCGCGACTATCAGAATCGATTGTTGCAGGATCTACAAACCTACCCGGAAAGAACAATTTTTGAAAAATTTCAATTTTTTTCCTTGAGAAATAGTAATACTTCGAAAATACGAACTCGCGAAAACCAGTATAAATAATCCCGATGTTTTCATGATTGTTTTATTTGCTCTCGATCCATTTTCAAAAAATGTCCTTCACTTGTTTTACATAGTTTCAAGTCGGCGTTCAAATATTGACAATGAAGCTTAAAGTGCACGTAATGTCCATTACGCAGGCACATTCGATTTCGGTTATTTTGTCATTTATTTTTCTTCTTGATAATCCGACATTGCGAAGCGCATCGCGCGCTGCCAGACCGGCCTGCCTCGATCGGCTCAAGTGGTCATTAGTAGTTGTTTCTCGCCCGAATCTCCGCCCACAATTTGTCGCTGACAATTCTTTGTCGGCAATCAAACTTTTTACTCCATTCACGATATTGGCCACGTGAAAAAAGGGAACATGTTGTAGAAACTCTGCGAAACTACAAAGCCGCAGTAGTTTGGAGCAATGTCTTGCTCATTATTCGTTGCAGAAGTTCGAGGGTCCCGAAAATGTTCAGTTTGCAGGTATCCAACGTTTTTTCGCTTGTAAAATTAAAATACGATTTATGAAATTACAAAAATAATTGAATTACTAATAAAATCACAAAGATTAAATACTAAAATATGGAAATATGAAAAAATCTCAAAGTAATGTTTTCATGCTTCTTTTGTATTTTGTTTCCAACAAATTTTAGAAGAATTCAAATAAATCAAATTCGACTAAAATATATTTTGGAAGCAAACTTATAAATAAAAACAAAAACAAAGAAATATGAATAATTAAGATGTGACATATCGGCTCATGATCCGACGGCAATATTCGTGCAACCTCATCGAATCTTCTCCACCGCACCTCCATTTGTGAACACCTCGCTGAGCGCCAGTGCGAGCTTTTCGAGGTAAACGCACCCGAACGCATTTTGTTTATCCATCTCTTGATTATCAAATCACAAATATTGGAGAAAGAAAGAAGGAAACGATCGGCCGACAATAGAGCCGGCCGTCATTCATGATACCTTCGCACATTTGAATTTCGAATCCTCTCAATGATATCATTTTGTTTCCTGTTTTCTAGTTAGTCAACTTTTCAAAATTCGGATTGTCCCGAAGATTAAAATTGGCTTTTAGGAGATTTTTGAACATCTCAAAATGCGAACTTTCTTTTAAAAAAATGTGTCAGTATTACAGTTAAGAATGTTTGCACATGCTTCAAACACTCTTAAAATATTCAGCTTAACAATTTTCAAAATTGTTGAACAGTTTTTTGATATTTGGATTAGATAACTTTAAATGAAATTTAATTTTTTTACTTTTTTAAAGCAAAACTATTGAAAATATCTAGCAAAACTTAATAAAAATGAAAATGAAAACGAGTGGACAATTTTTTGTGTGAAACCGAGATATCAGCCTGTGATTTTTGGATTTATTTAAAAAAAAAAGTTCACTGTGTGCTATCCGTCGTTTTATTTGTGGTTATATTATTGGAATCGATTGACACATCGAATGGGTGGCGCCAATCTGAATTTAAATCAGAAATTACTGCTTGAAACCGCTCATAGTTTGACATTTTAATACATTAATAATTGCATGAATAATATTGAATTATGTATAAATAATATAAATTAATGGTTCTGATGAATTATTAAATAAATAATCTTATACATGTATATTATAAGTGCAAAAAAAAACGAGCACCCCGTATTTATGAAATTCCGGTACCGTAGTTCGGATATCTTTCAAATTAAATTCACCGTAAATCTGGGTCCTCATTTTTTGCGACTGAAATGTAATATTTGTTGAAAAGTCCAAAAGTATTTTGGTGTCAGATTGTATAATGCTTTAATTTTCAAAATACTTTCAAAAATAGTTTGATAATTGATTGTTATAATGATATATTATGAAATTTTCCGGTTGTAAATTTGGGTAAATTCGCTTAGTGTGCCTAACCGGTTGTTATTGGTAATATAATCCATCATGTTTAATCGAAACCCACCCCGGCGTCAAATATTTGCGCACAATTCCTTAAATGTTCACGTCCGTCGACCTGACGTAACTAGTCGCGACGAACCGACGGACGGACACAACGAACGTGGATTCAGGCGAGTCGATGCAGGTTTTGGCGAGCACTCGGCGCTCTTTTGATTCGCCAATCCCCCTCTCCTATTCTCTTCTTCGCTTCTCTTCTTACTTTGCGCATTTAATGTGTGTTGTGCCACTTAATCCTACAACACGTAGAATCGACTTACAGTAATCCCCTAAATATTCAATTCCAATTGAAACCAAATTGGATTACTAATCAATTCGAAAAATGATGATTAAAGTGTGAGTTTGTCCACCAATATTTTATTGAACCGCCGATTGCAGAATGCCGACGGTTCATCGAGCCGACACGAGCTTCAATAGCATTAGTTCAATTCCAAAGCAGCCTACAAACTCGTCGTTGTCTCCTTCGGAAAACTCGGCATTCACAGTTTATGCCCGACCTCAAATATCATCTCTATCAGTAATAATTCATACTTGTTTGCAATATATAGAGAAATTCGAGTTTTTAGGACCATAGAAGCAATGGAGATCATGTAGTTTTGCGACCTGAACCTCGTCTTGCGGTTCCCCTTATTCTACCGCGGGTTTGTGTTCAATTGAAAATTGAAACAAAAAAACGATAATATTCGTTAAAATTCTGATTTTCTCTACAAATAACAAAATAAATATTTTCAGCAAGAAGGTTCGGATTCGAATATTTCGAAGAAGATTCGCACAAAGAGACGCGAGCGTCCGCGAAGTGTCGGCTTACTCGATTTGGGGTGAGTTTCCGGTTTTTTATGGCATTCTTTTATGTGGTATGAGCTTTTCAACCAAAAATGGCAAAAAAAAACAATCCGACCCGGTTGAATTAAACGGCGATATTTCACGCGCGAATTGCGCATATTTGACGAGTTTCAAAATGAGCACGTGCGGGCACAAGAGAGACTGCGCGCCGCCGTCACCGTCCGTTGCTCCCGCACTGTTATATAATATAATCCCCCACAAATGATTCGAGTTTTTTTCGCGCTTTTGCTCAAATTCCACTTCAACACCATTTCATTTTCATTCAAATTACCGTTCGATTTCTATTTTTCGATTGAACTAAATAATTTTTTTTTTAAATTAAAAACTTCAAGTAGCAAATTTTAAATAATATATATATTGGCTGCTTATCAAACACACTACAAAATTCATCATCAAAAGCTCAGGAAATTTTGTAAATTTCGCGCCAAGAGACAAAACTGTATTTGGACTAGATTCTCTGTATTGTTTTTGAGGTTCATTTTATCAGTAGTACGGTTTATTATTTCCCACAAAATCGAAAAAATCTTTGTGTATTTATTCATTTCCTAACAGACCTGAACACATATTTGAGAAAATTATGGTAATATGAATTGCCGTCGTCGTGTGTTTACACCTAATGCATTTTATATTTTAAAACTTGTCATTTTCACCTTATTGAATATTTTGAATGCCCGATTTTCGTTTTTGAGACGAATTTTATTTTAAAAAAATGTTTAGGAATATTGAAAATAAGGGAAATTGAAATCATTGCGGACTATGCATTTTATTTGACGACAATACTCTTTGTTGGTCACAACTCATTCGTTTTTCTTCGCAAAGAATATAATTTGTGTGTGTGTTTTTTCTATTTCTTATTTTGTTTTTCTATGATCTTTTATGCTTTTTGTATCAAAACGCAAGATCCCACGACAATTTATGACCTTCGAATCCTTTAAACAATAGAATTCGATCATTTCTCCAGAGTTTTGAAACCAATTCAAGAGTACATATAAACTCAAATAGTTGAATGCGTTTAAATCCAAAAATTTTCAATATTGACACAAGTAATCAATCAGTTTTGGTGCCTATAAATTTGACCTCCGCGTTTTCAGGCCTTCGATATTTGCGAGCAGCGAGGAAGAGGGCGAGCGACGAGTTCCCGAGCAGCGCTCGCACGATTTTCAAAAAATCCTCAAACGATTTCAGGTATTTGGCCTATTATCGTGTTAACCCGGTCCTTGTTTAACCTTGACGAAGAGCTCGAAAATTCGCCTACGAGACACTGAGAGTATAGTCTGCTGCTCGTTGACATCCTCATCAAACATACACAATTAGTTGGATTTTCTCAAGTAGTATGTGTTTGACAAGCAACACAAAAAATTTGCTCGACAGTGAAAAATCGTTTCATTATGAGAGAGCGAGCTTCGAATCGCGAACGCGATCATTCGCTTGTTTTCGAATCCATTTTCACTTTTTATTCTCAGCAAAAAAAAAACGCCACAAAATTTTGGTTCGGTAGATTTCGAATCACAATTTCTATTTGAGCCTTCTGATTTCATTTTAACTGTTCAATTCCATGCTTCACTGAAGTCTATGACACATTATAATTTATATCTGCGAATAACATTTCCTATTCAAATTTTAATAGAGATTTTCTTAGACTAGCATTTTCTTTTATTATCAATTAATTGTTTTTTTTACATAATTAAATTTAAAGATAATTATTACGAAAAAAAGGTGTTTTTACTTAGTGGTTCGGAATTTTTTTTTCTAATTTTCCACACAAATAGATCGAGAAATTCCCTATCGAGTGTGATATGCCGTTTTCTGCAAAAGTTCCAAAAAGTCCCAAAAAAATGGAAGAAATGATATTTGAAATCCGCTATTTCGATGACAACTCCAATAGCAAACTCGAGATATTGAAATGTGGATCTGTTCTTGTTCAAAATAAACGAGAAACAGACCCCAAAGTTATTAAAAAAAAAAAATAACTGCTCGCCTCAAATATTTATCCAATATGTCCGATTTCTCGAGCGATGTTCCTTTTCTCCTGAACAGTTTCCCCTATTTATTTAAATTTTAACATTTCCCTTTCAGTCTGCCGATAAAAAGAACTCTCCACGAATGACCCCACCGCACGGGACCACCTCATCGTAAGTTTGTTTTCTTTCATCAATATCCGTCCAACATTTTTGAAATAACTTTTTAAAATAGCTGTGGGGGATGTTGACTGAGTGTGAAGTGTTGCAACTTGTTTTCTAGGTGGTCGACGCCGCACAAAATCGGAGGATCTCAAGATTCTTGGAATCATGCGCTGCCGCCGCATCACCCACACCGCGGCAGTTTGAATTCGAGCTACAGGTTTTTGATTAAATTTATAAATGAATACACTCTAATTTAATGGACAGTCCGGCGAACTCAAGAAATACATCAGCAAGATCAAGACTCAGTGTTTCTTCCGCACAAAGTCCTCACTGTTACCTTCCAACAAGAGAATCTTCACCGCGCAGTATCCCAATCCCTTCAATGGTCCCTATGCGTCCAGACAGCTCTCCCGATATAACAATAAATGAGCTTCACCATTCGCCATTAAGTCATACCGGTTCTACCCCAGAGCCAACAAAAACAAAAGCGCAACCGATCCGCCGATCGTCTTATACTGCTGGTGAGTTCTGCAAAACTGGCCGCAGCGAGCAGGGTTCGAACCTACGCGGGCAATGCCCATTGGATTTCAAGTCCAACTCCTTAACCACTCGGACATCGCTGCATATGGGCGAGTTGAGCGAGAAGATTATATGAGCTCGCACACTGTTCCGAAAACGGATTCACAAAACAAAGTTGACTCTCGCCGCATTTCAGGCTTTCATCAGCCACATACCGACATATACGGAACACGTTGGGTAAAGGAAACAGATGTAGATGATCCGCTCTCAATTCCTATGATGAGTCCAGTCGGATCGTCAGGATCATCATGTGATGCGCATTTAGTCGCATTACGAAGTGCACCACTATCAAAAGTGCCAAGCATGGAGAAAATAGATGGATCGAGAAATGTATCTGGCAGTCAAATGCAATCAAATATTCGAATTTTAAGAATTCCCGCCTGTATAATAACCGAAATTGTCGTCGTTCCGTGTTTTCTGGAACTCCAAATCAAGGAGCAAATGGTGTATACGTACGTCGAAGTAGATCAAAAGATGATCGGCCATCGTTGAGCTACTTGTCCAACTATATGGATAGCCAACGTGAGTGTTACTGTAAAGACTCTCGAGTGGAAAACACTCAAGAATCACAAATCAAAACAAAATTTCGACATACGTTCTATCGAGCGGGCAGCTAGAAAAAACGGAAATGAATTTACAATAACTAATCACACATCGAATCCGTGCTGTCAACTTTTAATCGATCAGGGTGTAACCGCGACCAAATGATGGTCTTGAAACGATAAAAAGAACTCATTGATAAACGGTTATAATTGCATATCATAAATCAATCAAACAATTTAATGGGATTTCGTCTCCGAAAAATGAAGGTTACGGTAGTAACATAATAAACAGTTCGTGCAAACATCGAAGACAAATAATAGCGACGCAATATCATCGAACTATGTAGATAATTTTTTTTAAAGAATTTGATAGAAGAGAAACCAATAAATGAGAAAATAATTATTAATATTTTATAAATATACAGTTTCTAAACATGTGAATAAAATGAGTTTAGCACGTGAATTTCATCAGCGAATCAAAGAATGCGAGATATATGTAGAACAATTAAAAATTGTCATGTGAACTTTATTTAATTGAAACGCAATTAAATAGAAATGTACCAAAGAACACAGTCGAAAAAGAATGAAGAAGACTGAAATTTGCAGGTATCTCGCCTCCAAGAACCACCTCGATTCCCGCATTTATGTCACAAGAAAGCATTGCTCAGACGAGCAGCATCATCCATTCTCCAATAAACAGTCCGATTCAGTCGATTCATAATATTGTTCAAACTGGCAAAAGTCAGCAGAATATCGCCAGTGATGAAATGTATAAGCATTATCAACAGGTATCTTAAATGTTCGTTTTCAGCTTCAGCTTATATGATACGGTTCCAGATGGCTCTTTCACACGTTCACACGCTTAACGTCGTCGCTGACAAATTGTCGGAAGAGAGCCGACGCGGCGAGGAGCCTGTGAGCCGCAATCGATTGGCTCAACTCGACTTCACTTCGTTTGTTGTCACTTCTCCTCATCCGATTCTTACCAAGGGCAAGAGCCTTTTCTACAACGCAGTTTTGCCGAGACAAGGTCTTCCAGATTATCTTGTCACTCTTATGGTAAATAATTATGCTGTATGCTGCATAGTACTCAGATACTGGGTTTTTTAGATAGCACCATGCTCCCAATATGCTCCATTAATGCGAAAAACCGAATCAAATCATTTCGGTTTGCCAGGATTTTTGGAAATTGAGGATCATGAAGGATCAATCAAACAGTTTTTATACGATACCGGAACTCAAAACCTTGATGGTCGTAATGTGAAAGTGATTGCGATGCCTCGATTGAATCTTTGCTCTTTCCATTCTCTTGCCGCTCATCAACTTAATCAGAGACTTGATCGTACTCATCATGAAGAGCTCGTCTCGTTCATTTTGCTCCAGCTTCTTCAAGCGCTCAAAATGCTTCAGGGTGAAGGTGTCGAATCATTGAGCACAAATTTCAAAGAGTTTCTGTTAGCATATCGCTATCAAAATATTAGTAGCACTTTCGAATTTCCTCGTCTTTTATTTTTGCCGGTAAGCACAAGCTTCTACGAGAGCTTAAATGAACGATCCGATTCAGGAAACTCTTGGAGCAGAAATTGAAATCGGCGGAGATGAGCTTGTGGGTCTCTGCCGATATGCTCTTCGAGCCCTTTGCACATTATTACATCACAAAATGGATGGAAAAGCTCCTGTCATCAAATTAAGGTAGTTTCAATGACAGCCGACTTCCGTGAGGAGGAGATTCGCAAAAAATTTGATCTACCTCAATATCAGCGAATTTTGGGGTAGTTTGCTCGTTGGTCGGGAGCAAATTGCCCTAGATTTATGGAGTGCATTTTTCACTATGGTCTCACAACGTTCGAATGTTTTTTTGCAATTTTCACAGGAAATGTACATTCTTCTTGTTGAGTTTATAATTTCCTTTTGTGTCTAACGTCTTTGATAGGTAACATTTCTACGTGACGAGACCAATGCTAAAGGCGCATACCCGTAAATCTACCCAGGCAGTTGCCCAACGCCGACTAATATAATTCTCTAATAAATATTTCTATTTCTAGGTCACGTTTCTCTCGTGCGTTATCCGCTTGTGCGATTCTGCTACAGGAAGACAAATCCAATAGTTTGACAAAAGCAAAGAACGTCCTCGAACTCGCTTTATGGTCATCCGGTGAGCATTTCAAAAACGAGCAAGATGCTCGTGTTTGGATTGACACTGCTCGTGCTGAATGTGTCGATACAATGGTACGTCGGATCGATTCGGAATCACAAATATATGTGTTCATTTCAGCTTCGGCAACTGATCAGTGAACCTGGTCGCAGTTTAGGAGCTCGAGAGCGATTCCGTGTCGAATTCCTTCTCGCTGCCACACCGCGCTCAATAATGGAGTCGCAACGAGCGACACTCGCTGCAAACGTTGACTAAATTTCTTTCAATTTTTTAATAATATTTATTAGTTTCCTTCCGAATTAACATACTGTTTTTAAACGAATTCTCACTTCCTTTAATATTGGATGTATAAAATTTTAATTAAAATGTTTCAAAAATGTCCATTTTTCTGTATAGTATTAAAACACAAAGAGCAAACTCGAATGCTCTCAATTCTCTGAACTAGCCAACGATGGATGCAGGCAAACTGTGATAATGAATGCTCTTTATCTTATTTTTATGTCATCAAAACCTCTGATAATCGTATTGACTTATATTAGAGGCCAATACATCGATGAGACTCGACCAGCAGAAAGGAAGGCGTGGCCTCTATCGTCGTTACTTTAAAACCCAGCGGAACATCACGCCTACATTCGCATTGTCTTTTCATTTCACCATCAGTTAATTTTAGAAGGATGGGCATTATTTCCCTGTTTTGTTTTCTACGAAGAATGTATATTCGTTAAAAAGAAACAATTAAATTTAATTAGACGACTAAAGCAAGTTTGCACTATATTAACATACTTGAAAATATGAAACAATATTTTGAACACCTATTTATTAGTAATCTTCAAAAACGTTTGGAATTTTGCCAAGAAAAGTGACGTCACCGATGATTCTATTGCATCACATTTGAGTCGCGTCGCGGTTCTTTCGCCATCTTCCCTCTCCAATCTCTAACCATCAGACGCGGGTTTGTGTTGCACTCCGTTAATGTTGCTATTTTTTATTATTAATAATTTGTATATCAAATATTTGTTTTCAATATTATTAATCGTGGAATATTCAAACGTCTTCAAAAGTAAACAACATCTAATTAAACTTTCGTTGACCTATGCTGTTTTCAATCAAAAAAACTTATCGACTGGTTTTGTTCCGATAGCGATTCTAATCACGGCGGACATAAATTACCACAGAGATTTTCTCTAGAATCTCTATAGACCTTTTGACATCAAATCGTCGTGAAACACTATCATATGAGCGGTTCCTATCGTAGTCGTTTTACACTTCTCAAATTGATTTCCCCCGTAGCAATATTTGATCTAATTTGTCAAAGTCGAAACCAGCGAAAATTTGTCTCAACAAATCTTTTCGATTTTGTAACATCTCCTTAATAGCTATGATTTTTCTAATCGCAAAAAATGTACAATTCTGGTTAAATCATGCCCATATTGGTGGAAGTGGAAATGTTCTGATAACTTCGTTCACATTATTACAACATTCTTCTGAACCGATGCATAGTTTCTTTTCATTTAGCAAAACAATCAACATAATTTTACAGTTCAAACTTCCCGCCGCTTCCGCAACCTTCAAGCTCTTCTCTTGCTCCAGCTCTTCAGCTCTCACAGCTTCACAGCCGTCCAGTGTTTTTTGTTCTCTCATCCAGAACTTTGTCCAGCTCACACAACTCAACAATTGTTGTTGGCTTTCTCGTCTATCGACTCTTCCAAATCAACTGCATCTAATTTTCTTCAAAAAAAAACATCGTAAGTCGTTTCTGCAGATCACGTGAAAATCACGAAGATAGAAGATAAATTTCGATTGCAAGAGTGTATTTTTTGCAGGAATCAACCAAAATGTGTGCTTTGTTCTCCGAGACCGCCTTGTTCGCCGCCGAATCGTTCGAATCCGCCCCTCCTCCGTGTATACCGCCGTCGGAAGGTAAACTTCAGGCATAGTCTTGTCAATGATAAAATAGTTAGAACACGAAATATAAATTGTCGAAACAAGGAGTGAACCGTTTGGACTTTTGATAATAATTTTATGGATCGTATGACATTGATTGCGGGGAAACACTGTCAGGCTATTTATTTTTGAAAAAAAAAAACAATATTCTCATATAATATGGTTTTCTAAAAAAATTCAATCGTTATTAAATTTTTGATTCTTTCGATTAAAAATATAGTTCGAGACGTGGGTAGATTTACGCGCATGCGCCTTCGCAATGGTCTCGAACGGACTAACAGGTTATTTTGTATTTTAGAGGTAATTCTGTTGCTCTATTAATTTTGATATAAAGTATTCAAGGAAATTATAAACTCATGAAAAAAATTAAACAGTTCAGGTGAAAAGATCAAAATTAGCATTCTCGTGTAGCGAGACCATTTCGAAAGGCGCATCCCGTAAATCTACCCGCGTACAGCAGTCGCCGGACGCTGAATATGAGAATTAATGAAATAAAAATAACGGAATCTCTGAGTGAATTATGACGCAGACGTGTAGAATGATTCCAATGAGTTTAGAGATTTGTTTTAGGAGAACAGAGAAAAAAACCAATTTTTATTGTGATATGGTGTGTAGATACATAAATATTGTAGGAATTATGTCTCAGATCCCAATTTTTTAGAGAGCTCCGCTACCGTAAACGAGTGGGGAGTTTGGCTCGCCGACAGCTCTCCACAGGACTTTGATTGTCTCACCGCTCTCACTGTAAGCTCGTGCCAGGCGAATTGATATGAAAATGATGCCAACTTTTGCAGGAATCCGAATCTCGTGTACGTTGTCTCTCAGCCGCCAAATTGCGCACCGCGCTTGCCCCCGACAGCAAGTGTGTTTTTAAGCGGGCCTTCGCCACCGCCGCCACCACTGCCGCTGGCCCAGCCGGACGTTGCCTTCTCGGGGCTGGCACTCAATGCGAAATGGTACGTAAATCGACCTCGCAATGTCCATGATGTATATAAATTCATTTTAGCGTACCACTGGGGGCACAATCGGAAGCATGTCGATTCACCACCATCTTGGAGGGCACTCGTCCAGTAATTCGTCGTCCGAAAATGTTGCCACCTCCTATCAGCAGCGATTTGTCGTTGATCAGCAGTAAAGAAGCACTCGATTCGAGCCACAGCAGCAACAGTCCATTCAACCATTCCATATCATCATTATCTCCCTCCACATACTCATCATCTAGTTATTCACCACAACTTAAAGACATTGACGGTTTTGGACGCGATTTCTCACCAAATATCTCGATTCCATTCATTGATTCGATCATCGCCGAAGTTCGTCAAGAATTGAACGATGAAGAATCGGCGTCAGATATTACATCGGTGAGCAGACGCGATCTCTACATGAAACCCGGCGAGACCATCACTATCCGTGCAGAGGACGGAAAAGAGTACAAAGTTATAATTGAGCCGGTCGAGCCCGAGAACGATTTGCAAAAATGTGCACCTAAGCGAAAGTCATCGGTTATCTCAACAACGTCGACGTCTACCGTCGATTCCAGTCCTTCCCCAGTTCGGCCTAAAATAAAAAGAAAACGAGCCGCACCAGTTTCTCTTGCAAATATGAGCATGGAAGAGGTAAGACATTTAATTGAGCTCAACAAATCAATTAAATGTGCTTTTTAGATCGCCGAAAGAAAAAAGCAGCAAAATCGAATGGCGGCAATCCGATATCGACAAAAACTTCGCGAGGAACGATCAAGCGACGAACAAGAAAAGGTTTTGACGGTTTTCAGTTTCCGGCAGTCGATTATCCGATTGATGTTTCAGACTCGTCTTACTGCTCGCAATGCGTTCCTCCGCGAAGAACAAGTCCGACTCGAAAAAGAAATTGCCGATATTCGTGCGCTGCTTTTTGCAAATATTTAAATGTCCTAAAAACTGTCAAAAATGTTTTCCATTTATTTTCTTATTAGCTAACTTCGCATGTTTAATTTTTTCTAAATTTATTTTTTGTTATCCAATCTGTTGCTGCTTTTCCATTTCCAACTTTTAATTCATTCTGTTACTACTAACTATTGAACGGTATTCGGGGTACTGTTCATATATTCATACATATATTGCATTCTTCATCAAATAAATCATTTATAGACAAAACAATTCAATTCGATCTCAACAGCAACAATATTACGCGGAATGATTTTCTGAGATTTAGAAAAGTAGCAATGTTTTCACCAGACTGATTTTTCTTTAAATTCTCATGAATTCGAATCAGTCATCGGTAAAATAAAGACGAGATTGCTTCAAATCGCAGAAAAGTTCATTACGTATGTCTTACGCATTTCCTCAAAAAATTATAACGTTTTAAATTGGCTCTTTTCAGATTATATGTACATACATATTACAGAAGCTTATGAAGCTTTAATAAGATTTTAGTAATTTTAGTTGAAAACAATATTAATTATGCGTAGACGAATTCAAATATGAACCGCATTTTCTTGATTGAACAACAATAAAAGCAGCTGGAAAAATTATTTATAGATTTTGGAAGATCGAGTTTTAATAATAATTATCTGATAACGTATTAACAAAAAAAAAAACTGAAAATATAGAAAATTTCAATTGTTTTTGGAAGTTCATTCACATTGATATCGGAAGATGGTTAAACTGAGTACATTCCGTTCGGTTCTTCGAGTTACGTGCTATTCAAACTTATTGGTTTTCGTTAAAAAAAATCAAATTTTGTGAAATCGCAAAGTCTTTATAAGTTGAAGCTTTCGATACTCGAAAATTTAGTTGTGAGTAACGGCATGATTCTCGCCATAAATCCATTTTCTGCGTTTACACTCGTCATCATAGCTCGTAAAAGCAATCATCAAAGTGGAGTATGTCACGATAGACCTACTTGAACAGAGTTTTCGATCTTACACGAGTTTATTCTTGCGAAAAGCCAATGCAGGCAACTTTCATTGGCTCCGCCCATTCGTTGCGATATAAGAAGCGGCGATTCGATTACGAGAAGCCGGCGATCGCCTTGAGGCAAAAGAACTTTATTTTCAACTCGGGCTCCTAGATATCTACAGTAGTGGAACAATTGCATTTATTTTGTTTTCTACATGGTTTCATTCCACGTCACTCGATTTTGTGCTTTGACTCTCATTCGATTCTCGTCAAGAATTTGTCTTTTCAATGTCACCGATTTGAAAAGTTTCTTTTATTATGCATTTCTCTTTCTGTGCAATTAACGAGGAAGTGATTTTACATTTGAACTGTATAAATTAAGTGGGTGAATTATGGAAATTAATATTCGCCCATTTCTTCTCAGAATCATACTCACACTCTTGCCGCTTTTTTATTTTTTTTTCAGCTGCAGGTGCACCTGAAATTTGAATATTTCATGATCTTTATCCGGCTATAAAAGTAAAAATATCCCAATTTGTCGGAATTTAAACAGATTGACAAAGCATAATAATAAGGTACGGTAATATCAGAAAACGTTGTTTCTTTTCTTGGAAGATGTCTTGTTCGGTGGGTGTACTCATGTTGAATACGTGCTCCGTATTGCAAATTTTAAAACCAGATTGTAATGCGCGTCGTCAACGTAAAAGCGAATATTAAAAGTAGGACAACGTATACATCCATAATTTTGAGAGCACTTGCTTGCTCAATGTTTTTAGTTGCCAAAATGTTCATATGTTTACTTGTTTGACTCGACATCAATTCGAATTTTTCCCTGATTGTCATTGTTCTTTTTTGTTCATGAGACATCATAATTGAAGCTCTCAATAAATCGACCGAAATCCCTTCCATCAGTATCACATCATTATAATCTCACCTGGTTCGTTGTAGTACATAAAACAATTAAATGCGGCTTACAGATTATCAATGTTGTCTGTTTGTGTACTGCCTTCGACTAGGATTTAATTAAAAACAATTAATTATATTATATGTATTTATGGCTTCAAGATGTTCCCTCTGATAAGCCTGTTTTTTGTTCGGTTACTACGATTGCGTCAATTGAACGCACATTCTAAATTTCGTGTTTTTTTTAATGAAAAAGACTTAAACGACGGGTATCGAGGATTGTTCGAATATTTTTAATATGCAAAAAGGATTGCCCCAAGGCATTCGCTTCAATGTTGTTTTGCTCATCTCCATATGAGCGTATGACATTTTCGAAATCTGTTTCCATTCGTTGCAATGCGTCAAAATAATTTAATTTCGTTTTATTTCTGTTTCAATCCATTCACAAACAAAACGCATCATCGCAATAAAATATCCAATTGCGTTGTCGAAAAATGTCAGGAGAAAACAACACAGTTTGCATATTTAGTAGAACTTTCAGCGAAAGTCAAAAATTCTTTATTATCATTTATTTTTCTTTCAAATTTCCATCCTTCGTGCCACAAAATTTAAGCAAACATTTTTTGCTTTTGTCCAGGCTGATGTGATTTCAGGAAAACAATGTTCAGATGATTCAAATTTGCATATTTGAAGTAATTTTCAGTCTACGAAATAGACAGGAATTATTATAGTGAACAGAAATGATGAATAAAGGTTCTCGAAGTACTCACCTTCTATTTGAAGGGGTCAAAACATAAGAGCCTCTTTAAACCACCATTTTTGAGCGAATTTTCTTTGATTACAAATTTCGTTTCTTTTTTATCTGAAAATTTCGGATTCTTTTAAATTATTTACCAACCAATAATTTCTAAAACCTTTTTTTAACGGTAAATAATTAAAAATAGACTCTTATTTTTCATTTACTATTACTACAAGAGTAATTATAATTAAAAACTATAATAGGGTTTTTGCAATTCCCTTCTGAATTGCTTAACTACCCATTTATTGTCTCATTTTCAAGAAGCATTTCATCTTTTGCATACGACCATGTCATTTCGAAAATGCATAGAATTTTGTTTGAAGAGAAGGACCCCTGAGATTTGTGTATTACCAAAAAAAATGTGGCTGGTTGCCATTAATCAAATTCGGCAAGATGACGTGACGAGGTTTCGTTATCGAAGCGAGAAAAAAAACTTGGAGTACTGGTGGTATTGCCCGGTTAATTCCGCCCAGCAGCAACCCGCTGACATCACCTATTCTAATTAGCCTTGTTAGGTCTTCACTTCTGCATTCCGTTTCGATATCTTATTTTTGTTTTACTCTTTATATGTCTATTCTTTTATCGTGAGATATTCCAATTTTGGCAGGTAACCCCGCGCACACGACTTACTGTAATCAAACGCCAAAAATGCAAGGATCCGCGATTGTTGCCCTCGTTTTTCTCGCCATCATTGCAGTTTCAGCTGTTGGTCGGTTATTTCAATTCTCTTCTATGAAACTATTTTTGGTGACTTCCGGAATGATCTAATTTGATCACATTAACCCCACTTACCCCCCCCCCTCTCAATATCTTCTGGTCTACGAGAACATCAAAAATTTCAGTAAACGCTGCTCCGCAAGCTCCGCCCACATCGTGTTCTGTTGATGAGCGATCAAATATGCCATGCGTGTGCTGTAAGAAGGATTGCTGGTACTCAATTGCTGCGGTTTGTTTTTTTTTAATTAAACGTTTTGTTGAGAAACCGATTGAATTTAAAAACTATAAAAATATTATATAAATTTGTTATTATATGTATTATTACCGTTTTATGATGGGGCGAAAATTAGTAGATTCAAAGCTGATCTCTGGTTTGGTTTGACATCTTCTTGCTATTAGAGATTGAAATTTGAATAATATTGTTATCGTCTTATTTAATACTTTCTCTATTGAGACTAGCCATTTTCAGGCGGCCACCCACGAACTTGGTCATATGCCTGGCGAGGCTGGCGAACGCGAAGCGATGGCTACGCTCAAGTTGATCCGCGCATGCATGATCACCGAATGTGCAAATGTGTGCCTCGCCTCGCCGTTCTAGACGTGTCCGCTTAGTCGTCCTGCTTCGTTTTCGGCATTCATCGCGTGGCGATCGCCTTCATTGTTTATAACATGCTGATTATGCTAATTCTAATAATTATGACAATAAAATATGGTTGTTAAGACACAATCTAAGAAGTCAAAAAGATGAATGGTTTATTAACCAGTAGGAGATGGACAACCTCAAACTTGGGTAATTAAACTTTATTGTAAAAGAAATAAATTAAAAATAAGTTAAACATGAATTGGACATAAATTGAATATAAGCTGAACAACAACCAACGAAGGGAAAGAAAGTGAAAAAATGGGCGTTGAGGCTCCCTTTTATAGGGGCACACGAATGCAATATAAAAGTTACACTGTGTGCGTAGGTGGCTTTGGTGGCGTGTGGCTTTGGCGGTACAATTTAATAATAGTTTATCAATTTTAAACTTTCAATAATGTGCTTCAGATATTAAATTGTGATGGCGAGGAATGATTTGTGATGGCCTTTAGACTACTTTCCGGTAGTCATTAATGACACTCCCCCTCAAGGACGGTGACGTTGGGGAGTCGACAAATGGCCGTGTGGTGGGTCTTTGCTGCTTCCATCCTTCCGTGGGTTGAGCAGTAATAACATTTCGAATGGCATATTCCTCGATGGTTCCGCTTCACGCACCTCTTGCATCTATCCGTTTTCTCCAGATGACGCTCTCGGTCCTTGGCGTTTGTGATTTCGAAGCATTTGTCGGAAAAGTGCGGTCTGTAGCAAAACGCACAATTCAAGTCGTCTCCATCGCGGGTGTTTTCAGTGGCTATCCGTCGTATGATGAGTCCGGTTTTCCCGTGATGGCGTTGATCGTTGCGGTCTTCTGATTCTCTTCGATGGCGTTGATTGTTGCTGTCTTCTGATTCTCTTCGATGGCGTTGATTGTTGCGATCTTGTGATTCTCGTCGATGATGTTGACGATATGTTTTTCTTGATCGTGATTGTGATCTTGATTTCGATCGTGATCTCGATTTCGTATTTGATCTCACATATGACTTGGGTGTTTCACTGCTGCTTGATCTTGGCGAGCGGGATGACGAATTTCGGGATTTTGCGTTTGGCCTTGGAGATTTTGTCGTGCTTCTGGCTCGACCTTGGGCCTCCGGCGCGAATGACTGGCAAGTGTTTTCAATGTTTTTGGCGCATTCTCGCATTGTTTTTTGAATGGCCTCAAATAGTTGTTGGTTATGATCCATTAGTAATCCTGTCATTTGTTCCTTGTCGGATTGATGTCTTCGGAGGTATTCTTTGATCTCCTTGATTTGAATCGTAGCTTCCATGGCCGTTGTTCTCCATTCGTTAACTTCTTTGTTCTGGGCAATCAATCTTTCCTGTGTGTGTCGGTCGTGTTCCAACTTTGCTGTCTTGTAGGCTGAGCTGAGTCGGTTCATGATTCCCTCGAATCTTGCTTTGATCCTGCTTTTCTCCATTCCTTTGTTCTCTATGCGGATGGCCGTTTCTAAGGTGTCTATGTCTCCCAGGATTAGCAAATCTGTGATTTTGTCCATGGCTTGAGCGTATCGATTGAAGGAGCTTTGCACTGTGATGATTGTGTCCATAATCTTGTCCCGTGCTTCTTGTTCGGTTCTGAATCGGTTCACGGACCATCTGTTTCCGATTGCATTGCTTCGCATTTTTGCTACTTCCTCAAGCGTTTTGTCTGCCGTGTCCGCTTTTTGTTCGAAGACATGTCCTGCCGCGAACATTTCATGGAAGATTTCTTTGATTCTATGGCATCTTCTTCTGGCCAAATAGTCTGTTCTTTCGGGTTCAGTGTATGAGAAGTTCATTGTTTTCCGGGCTGAAATCAATGACGTTGAGATTGTGTAGCTGATTGTACATGCAGTTGTCATGCGTATGGTTAGATACATGATGGTGATAACATGCATGGATCTCCAACAATTTCGTGCGATTTTGAATGGCAATATTATGATAAATAATGCAATCTTTATGCATATGATGATTGTGGAGATGACAATTTGGCTGCCATAACGGGCTATGGTGGTATAGATGATGACTGCGATTATTCCGATGACGATGATCAGGATCAGTAGTGTCTTCATGTAGTTGAGGTACGTAGTCCAGATATGATTGAAGTCCGGTAATTTGATTTCATCGTAAGTTTTCGATTTTCCTTCGATAATTTTCCATGATGCGTCCCACAAATTTCCGTGAAATTTGAGTAATGCAATCACTTCAAATTGAGTTGTCTGGTTTCCTCCACAGGTGGTCTCGCAGTTTCTTCTGAACCGCGCAGTTTCCGATGAGAATCGGATTGTGGATTTTCGTCCTGCCGGTAAACATGGAATCGCGAATTTTTCGGAGCTGCAGTTGATATCTGCCATGACGTCTTCCTTTTCGGATTTGCATATAATGTCGGTTTTTATTCCTTGCTCGCATTGGTAACATCCGATCGTTGCTTCGACTTGAACTTTACAGATTTCATGTGATCGTAGAATTACTGGAATGACATCTTGATTTATATCGATCGTGATTGTTGTTGATGTTGTCGCATCTGTTGATCCGATGATTGTGTTTCCTACTCGTCGTAAATTCCAGATACTTGTTGAGATTGGTAGAACTTTCTCTAGAGTTTGTAGTTCATTACTGAAGTTGTAGTTGATGCAATTGCACTTCATTTCTTCTTCAGCTGCTTCGCATTTGCAATTTTCGGTGAAAGTGCATTTCATTAGATTTTTTGCTTCTTGACGCGATGAACATTTGACTGGTAAATTCAGTTCTTGTTCTTCCATGATGGTGTGATTCCTTGATAGAATGAACCAGCTTTTCAGAATTGGCGAAGGTGGAATATGAATGGATGATAATCGTAATTCGAAGCCTTCGAGTTGAAATGGTTCGTTCAGTTTTGTGAGAATCTTGTATTGTTTGAAATTGTTCTCAGATGTGTGTAGATTGGCGATGGCCACTTCTAATTTCAGTCGTTCATCCCATGATTGGCAATCCATGATTTCAAGGATTTCGTCGCTTGTAGGTTCTGCATATAACCTGTAGAAGAGACATGCGCTGCTGGGGTAAAAACAATCGCATCCTAACGATCCGCAACTTGCAACACATCCTGTCGTTCCGAGGTAGGTGTTGGCTTCGCTTAGTTCGGGAAGGATTGAGTTTCTGTTGATGTCCATGCACTTCTTTTCTGTGCACGATCCCATATGTGGGCATCGCTTTGCGCTCAGTACCTTTTGTTCTACTTCACGTGAGAAGTATCGTGGGTTTCTTAGGCATTTTAGTTCGATTGATTTCCAGTTGATTCGAATCTCACGAATGGCTTGTCCATTATGATTGAGTCGTATGCATGCTTCGCGTTTGAGTGGATTCATTTGGATTATTTCTGATGTCCTTATATGGCAATTTGTTGATCCATTTGCGTATTTCGTGCAGATTTGCATCCTATTGTTCATCATTTCAATTTCTTGGCAAGCATTTGTCGTCGATACAATTAATATGATCATGATGATTGGTTGAACTAGGCTGTATATTTCTTGGCGATTGCCTCTTGCTCTTCGTCTCCACTTTTTGATAGTTCTCCACATAATGCTGGCGAGATTTCCCATGAATATAACTATCACGATGACCAATTTTATTAAAATCCGGATGAGCTTGATAGCGAGGAGACATGGTCCTCCGAGTCTAATCGGGACTGTGCTGATCACGTAGAGCATTGTCAAGATCAGATAGAATGTGATGACTCCTCCCGTGATGGCGAAAATTGGGTGACATTCTGGGTTCGCTAGATTTGGTAGACACCAAGTGCAGTCGATCGTTTTGCAGAATGGAATGGCTGGGCATGTCATTTGGGAGATTTTTATGTCCTCTTTCTGCAGTTTCTTCATTTTTATGAGTTGCTCTTGTCGTTTGAGAGATGGAGGTAACCAAATATCCTTCCATTTTTCCTCACTTGGGCTGTCCCTGGTTGTGCAATAATGGTTTACACAGACTTCAATTTTCTTGAATTTTTCCATACGAATTCTGATTCCGGCGTCTGTGCATATGTCTTCTTGTGATATTTGACTTGGAGTTGTGACAACAGCTGCTGTAGATCCTTGGGTAGCGATCATCAAAATTATCATAGCCATAGATAAAGTTGATATCTTGTTCGTTCTGAAGGATGATTTCCGTTCTGATCCTTCTTGATTGGATGATCTTGCTTCATCGTCTCCGTTCTCCTGTCTTGATTCGTCGTAGTTCACTTTTTTCTGTTGTCTGAGTGAGTATCGGGTTTTTCCTCTGATTAGATTCGTATCAGTTTCCTTTGTCATCGATTTTTCGAAATCATGTGATGGCGTTGGCTGAGTCTTCGAATTTTTGTTTTCGAGGAAATTTTGAGGTGAGTTTTCGATTTCAAGAGGGATGATTCGATTCGGTGGTCTTCGGATCGTTCTTTTTCCCCATCCACCACATCTTGGATTTGTTGGGACAATGATTTTTATCTCTCTTGTGGCTCCAGATTTGCTCAAGATGATTTCTTCGATTTTTCCCATTCTCCATTGATGACGTGGTTGGTTTTCGTCGATGATTAGGACTATGGTTCCTTCTTGGGGTTGTGCTGAGGCGTATCGTTTGTCTTCGATTCTTGTTTTTTGCACTTCTCGGAGTTCTTGGATGTACTTTGTAGTCCAAATTTTCCAGAATTTCTCGACGTTTTCGATAGATGATTTAAGAGCTTTTTGCGTTTCCAGTCGTGTTTTCAGTCGAATTTCGTCTTCTGGCGACATGTAATCTTCGTCGTCTTCATGATTGATTGGATTGACGAGATAATCCGTGAATTGAGGTATCTCGAAATGTCGCTGAATGAAGTCGATCGGACGAATTGCTGTGACGTCGTCAATGTCGTTTTCGATGTATGTTAAGGGTCGGCAGTTGGTCATATTTGCGATTTCGTAAAGAACTGTACGTAGGGAATCTTCCGTCAATATTTGTTTCCCGATTGTTTTGTATAAAGATTCTTTGACGAT